GAGAGACCAAAGGTTTTTACAGATTCATTAATGCAGCTGTTAAATGCTCACTGCCTGTGGCCTCTTGTGCTGCTTTCCCACGTCTGTTTGTCCTTCAGAAAGCGTCTGCCTGTGGACAAGTGTTGTCCAATCAGGAGCTCCTCACAGCTGAGAGCCCTTCACTCCCACAGACACACAGATCAGGAGCCCTTCAGTCAGAGTTGGGCACCAGCTTCTGAAATCACTGCTTGCCGCTCGCTTTTCAAGGAAGAAAAAGTCAACTTTTCTGAGCATAACCAGCTTTAGTTAAATATTTTATAGAGTAAATTTTCAATGCTGATTTAAATTGCAATGCTTTCCAATAGTGTCTTTTGGAAATCACCCTCTGGTTGAATTTTTTTAGTAAGATGTGGAAGCAGGATTTCACTGGTTGTAGTTGTCATATTTTATTCATTTTCATGTTTTTGATGCAGGAAAACAGCATGAGGCCACATTTGTTTTTGTTTTTTGTGTTTGTTTGTTTGTTTGTTTGTTTTAGGCATTTACAATCAACAGAGTAATGCAACACAGACTGCCTGATGCTGTGAGACATCATCTAATCTTGACAGCTGCACTGAAAATCAGTACTTCAACTTCAATTTAGAGCATTTCATCCAATCTTTAAACTGTCCCTGTTGATAAAAAAAGTTCATACTGGGAGTACAAGTAACACATTAACAGGCGCTGTGTCTGATTTGTAAGAAATCTGCTTTGAGGCAAATCAAAGGGCAAAGATTACTAATTAAAGTTTCTGTGGTGATTTGAAATGAAACTAAAGAACAGCACATGGAAAATCCTTAAAAACACGTTTATCCTCCAACAGACTCCAAAAACATGTGTCTGAAGACAACAACAAGCAGCAACATCTTTATCCCATCAGTAAGCATCAGTGTTTACAGGAAACATGATCTTAATTTCAAGAAGCACAATACCACTGGAATGAAACAGAGGCCAAACGTTGTTGGTGCTGTGGTTTGATTTGTCGACAGTAATTATACAACAACGGCGTTTGTATTTCTTTCTGAATGAAACGTTCATGTTGAATCCTGATTGCACATACTATGATGTTTTTATGGTGCAGGAGACCAGTAAGTCTACAGGGAGGGTTCACTTTTTGATGAACACTTTGGTCACAGTATAGATACACTTCAGATAAAACATGCACTTCCTTTGCATTGGCGTAATTGCAGCTCTGTCAGTGTCATGGTGCTTTCGAACACGACTCTGCTGGTATCCTGCAAGTCTAACTATCATCTCCAGCCTCTACTTCACTGTGCTGATGTGCTGTACCAGTAAAGTATCAGTGAAGTAAGCTACCATGAAGCGTGTAAGAGCTATAAAAGCTCCACACAAACAGCACTTTGTTAAGAAGCAAGGTTTTTGATCTCCCATTACGAAGTCAATGTGTACACTTCAGAAGAGGGTGGCATCTCCAGTTACATAATGTAATGTTATTTCACAGTATTAGTTCTCATCAGTTACATAACAACACAAGTATTTATTTTTTCCCAAAACACACTCATTTTCCCCAACCTGCCAATCCTTTAATTACTTGAAAATAAGCACTGTGTCCTTTTGCTTAAGTATAACCAACTGGAATGCTTTAAATAATATTAACCACATGTGTTATATTGTTTCCAGGCACATAAATTACTACCCTGATGAAGTTATCTTCAAACACTAAAATGTTGACAAAAGCTGATTTTAAAACCCTATATTGGTTTGAAAAGAAAAAGCGCAAGGACTACCTATCAAATGTTAAACATCTCCCAATCAATGATGTTAGTTTGCAACAGGTTAACATCCTGATTGGGTCTGTAAAGACTGTCCAAGAGAGGTTGAGTCTCTCAGAAGTCAAGACAGGAAGAAGTTCTCACCATTTAACAATTTCATCATCTATGCAATGTTAAGAAATTCAAAAATTTAGAGAAATCTCTGAATAAAAGGAACAAGGCCAAAAAGAAAATAGATGACTGTGATCTTTAGGTCTGCAAAAAGCTCTGCAACAAACATGACTCTGAAGTGGAAATCACTGCATGGACTCAAAACCCCTTTTAAAACCACTGTCTGTGAACATTAGTTGCTACATCCACAAAAGCCATGCATCTAGTGGTGTGATAAATCAATATGTGACATTCCTTTTGGAAATCCTGGAAACTGCACATGCTGCATCCTCCATTCAACAGAGGAGAGAGACCACCTATAGCTTGTTCGTCTGCTCTTGAAAAGCCAGCATTTGTGAATGTTATGGAGACGCAAAAGTGCCCATGGTATTGGTGGCTCACATATCTTGAAAGGCATCTTTATTTCTGAATAATATTCAGAGGATTTGAAGCAATTATGTTGCCATCCACACAATTCTTTTTTGAGGAAACCCTGCATCATTCAGAAATGCCAAACCACATTCTGCAGAGTTTGGGTGCCAAAATGGTCCACCTGCAGTCCCAACTTGCCAGCCATTGAGAATAACTTAGTCAGCATGAAATAAAAAAGATGACAAAGGAAACCCAGAACTCTTGAACTGCTGAAACCCCGTATCAGAAAAGTAAGGGACAACATTTCACTGTATAAAAATGGAAATTGGTCCTCTTGGTTCCCACACATTTACAGTCTGATAAAGTAAAAGGCGATGCCACATACTCTTAAAAAGAACCCTTTTTTGAAATGTGGTGCTGGTGTCAACTTTGAAATGTGCACTTAAACGATATAAATTTTCTTAGTTCCTACATATGATATGTAATCTTGCTTACCAAGAAATTTGGGTGGTACAGTTCATGCATGCTGTTGGCTTTAAAGTGACATGGCAAAAGCTTTAAAATAAAAAAAACAACACCAAGCACCCTATAGACGCTTTGTGTTCCCCCATGGATCTGCCAGGACACGACAAGTTCTTTCTTTAAACATGAACTTGAAGCCCTTTCTTGGCACAAAACAAGCCCTCAGCATGGCTACGAGACACACTGTCATCTAAAACACTCAGCATTCCTGCTCACACTTTAAGCACTTGTCTCCTCCTCTGCCTGCATCAGTCTATGAAACATGTATGACACTCTCTCTTCTGGTAAAAACAAGTCTTCACCAAAAGACTCTGGGTTGCGGTAACACTGACACGTTGAATGGCTCCTCTTCACCCTGGAGTGACCCCTGTGTTCACATGAGGACTGGCCTGTGAATAGACGTGCTCAGGAGGGGGGTTTGAGAAGGCAACCCACAACTTAATTAAACTACAGAACACGTCCCATCAGCGCTGAAGGGGTTAAGAAAGGCCAAGTATGCACGAGGCGCACAAGCTGCAAAAATGTGAAGATGCATTTGATTTTTGTGTCCGTGCTGTTTGAATCATCTGTACTTGAATGAGTTCCTTATTTTGAAAAGGTCAGCTGGTGTAAACTACAGAGCCACGTTTTATATTTTCTTCAAAGCAAGAAGTTCCCTCATCGACACAACCTTAACCATCTCAGTAAGAGGGATAGTTCGTTGTTTTTGAGTGGGGCTGTAAGGGGTACTTGTCATTTGTATGTATATTGCCCACAGGAGATCAGCACAGCCCCTTTGAGAAACCAAGTGGAACCTACACAGAAGAAAGAGCTGGAGTTAACAGAGGAGGAGCAAGACTTAGTGGACCAGAAGAAGAGAAACTTAGTGATAGCTACAGAGCAGAGAAAGCCAAATTACCTGGCGAATAATCCAAGAGAGCAGCAGCTATCAGGAGTAGGACTTGGTAATAACAGTTTATCAGGACCTCTCTAAATCAGAGGATACCAGTGGTTCACACACAGCTGCTGTCTGCATCACTCAATAACCAGAGTTTCCTGTCATTCAGAATTCCTCACTTTAATCAACATCTTTGAACATTTAGAAGTTAAATAAGAAAACCAAAAGTTGGCTGGGGGTGCACCTTCAGCTTTTAATGTTTTTTTTATTGTATTACGATAACCTACTGAGTTTACAATATCCAGTCAGATACAGTGTGTCAGAAAGAAACTTTACATCCATATCTGCATCTTCTAGATAACTTAGACTTTTATGTGAAATTGAAATGCAAACATTTTAAAATTCACAGTACATTAGTTTACTTGGGGTGCTGGTTTGGCTCATGTGGATGAGCAGGTGTCCCGTATACAGAAGCTTGTCCCATTGGTCATGGGATTGACTCCAAGACATGATTTGATGCATGAAAGTCCCCCTGTCTCACACACTACATGTCATGTCTCTTATGTGCAATCACATTTAAGTAACAAACACACAAAAAAAATCTAAAAGAAACTTCTGGTGTACTGGGCTAAACCATTTTGACCTCTGTATCATAAACCCACACAGATGATCAGTGCACCATGAGTAGAAGAACAAAAAATGAAGCGGGTCCAACACACATGGACTTCCTGACAGAAAAGTAAAATACAGAAATCTTTAATATGGAAAGCACAACTACATCTGCATTAGAGTTAAATAGGTTAGATTACATGGTTAAGTTCACCAATATCCTTAGCAGCTAATTTTCTGTGTATGTAGAGTGTCTTTTGGGGACTTGGTTTCATGTATTTTTAAGCAGCCGAATATCCATAACATGTATTATTTACAGTGCAATAAATGTAGATAAGTGTATAGAATGGTGTCAGTCTACTGATGTATTTGCCAGTGACTTTTACCAAAGAGCACTAATACAAAATGCAGAACAATGCAGGATGTGTTAGAGTTATTAAATGTAGTTTGTAGACGCACTATTGTAGCATCTTTGAATGTTTGTCAAAGTCACATTGCATGTTAATGAAATCACTTATCTGATGTTAAAAATATGCTATGAATCATCAGCAGGAGCGTGCCTCAAAAGGCGCCGGTTTGGAGAGACTCTGTTGTGCGTAAGGGAGGTGCTGTTCCCTTGGAGCGCTCTCTCTCTCTCTCTCTCTCTCTCTCTCTCTCTCTCTCTCTCTCTCTCTCTCGGTGGGACAGACTTCTGTCGGGCAGCTGTTGGACGTGAACCGGAGGAGCGTCAGCCTCAAAAGCGGAGTCTGTGAATCAGCAGCTCATCAGTCCGGGTAGAGCGACAGTCACTCCGCACAGAGGACACCTAGCTGCACGGCCAACAACACGGAGGGAGTTGCTGTAAAACTCCAATGTTGTGATATTTCCCCCCTCTGATTTCCCTGTGGAGAAATATCGGTGTGATTAGTGGCAAACATCTTGAATTTATCCGGGAAAAGCCAGAGAACATTTCCAGGGCAGAATGAAGGGATGTACACCTTTCTTCAACATGATGCTGGTTGCGCTACTGACCGCCACCGTCACAGCGACCAAGTTAAACGTACCTCGGCTGAGACTGTCATTCAAAGGTAATAAAGTGATCAATAATCTATTATCCCACATTTCTGGGCTTCGCACAGGTGGCTCTGATAGGTGAACTCTGGTGTCCTCGCTCTGTAACTCTCAGCCTTTTTTTCTGTGAACATTTCAACTTGACGCCCTCCTGTCAACAAAGCTTGAGTGCGTATTTTCTTTTCATTACGCATTTATTTCACACCACCTATTCTCTTCACGGTGGTCCGAGCTGGAAGCGTGAAATTCAGGTCCATGTTTTGGCTACTGTTCTGGAGGTTTGTGTGTTTGAGGAGTCACACATATGTTACCACGGTAGTTTCCAGGTTGATACCGCTGTGCAGTGCAGGCGGGGATCCAGCCAGAGGAGATTTTGGCAGAGGTTCATCTCTCTGTGGTGGGATACACCGGGGTGTGATGGTCTCATTACAGATATTTAGTAGGAACGGCAACCGCAACGAGATACCTGAAGGTTCAGATAATTACCGGATGGCATGATTTTTCTTTCTTTCTTTTTTTTTCTTTTTTTCTTTTTAGAAATTGGCCTTTGGCATTAAATCTGAACGACTTTGAAACAGCCAAAAAGTACCACATGTAACTGATTTACTGTCTGTCCTGCTGAGCGGATTTGGTCCTCACAAAGTTCAGAGTATCCAAACTTTGAGGATGACTTTTTGTCTTAAAACATCTGTACAATAATTTGTGCTGCTGTTCTTTGACTAAAATAAGACAAATTTGATAAGAGTTAAAATCACAGTAGTTAAACTATTTAATGCTGTATTTTAGACTGACATTACCAGTCTCAGACATCCTCTGTTTGTTTTTGGTTCCCTGCCTTAATTCTCTTCCCTCCTCCACCTCTCTGATCTAAATCCTGTTTTTGGCCATGACTCACTCAGTTTTAATGATAACAAGGCAGAAAACGACCCAGCAGGTATTTGTGTGTGCAAGTGAGTGCCTGTGTGTTTAATTGCTGTTGACTGTGTGTTGTTGCCTAGCTGTTCCCCATTGTTTCCTCTCACCCAGACCAGAATGAGTCTGCAATCATCATCAGCGATAGATATCACACAGGATTTCCTACAGTTCAGTTTAGCCCACTGTTTTCTAGGGAAAAAGCCCCAGCTGAGTGCGCTGGTCTTCCTGTTGGCTGGACTGGAAATAAAGTGTGTGTGTGTGTGTGTGTGTGTGTGTGTGTGTGTGTGTGTGTGTGTGTGTGTGTGTGTGTGTGTGTGTGTGTGCCTGTGTGTGTGTGAGGACAATTGCCAAGGCTTTCGAATATGGAGTGATTTCACCCAAAAAAAAAAAAAGAAAAAAGTTAAGAGCTTCTGAACAACAGTTTCTGACCCCTGTTGCAACTAAAAGCAACTTAGTGCCTTTTTATTGTCTTATTGGCCATTTTAACCCAAGATATGAAGTCTTCGGTAGGTTGGCTGTGGCCCAGTAGTAGAGGCGCTGACTCTACTGTCTCTGACTTGAAAGCTTGGGAGTTTCAAACCTGTCTGTAGGCCAGAGTGTCCTCGAGCAAGACACTAACCTCAAGCATCTTTTGGTGGCTTTGCTGGTAGTGTATAAATGGGCTGGGTGCTCTGTAGTCAGTGTGTAAAGATGGTGTGAATGGATAAACATAAGAGTGATTTAAGGGGTCAGAAGACTAATGAAAATCCTGTCAACTGTAGAGCCTATCTTTCTGGACAGAGTAAATAAGAGCAGGAGGATGAACCCCAAAATTTAAGGTGGTCTGTGGTCTGTGCACTGCAGACGCTGTAATACTTCTGCCTTAGTGTGTCTCGGTCTGATTGCATTTCCATGAAGAAATTATCATAAATGTTCTTGCTTGAGCTGTGTCACCCCTACACTTGTTGCTACAAACAAGTGGCTGCCTGAAGAGAGTAGGTGAGTTGTGTTTAGTCTCTTTGCAAAAGAAATTAGGCAAAGTATCTAGTAACTAGAGAAGCAACTGTTTGGCGACATTAATCTCTGGACGGGGTGTCTAACTCGGTGTTACAGTGTGTTTGACCCTAAATAAATTTTACGCTGGAATATCCCTTTAAAGTCTTCTTAGTGGTCTTTCAATTGTGATTATGAAGATTTTAGCCAAACTCATGTTACCTGTGTCATTTTCAAGACTTTTCTTCTGCAGAGCTCCAGTAGCTCATTAGCAATTCACCTCTGAGTTGTGGGCGGAGACAGCGCTGCTCTGCACACTCCTCTTCATTCTAGCTTGTAGTCGAATATTGCCCGTGTAGTAGAAGTGGCAGTATCATAGGAGCTATTCAACTCTCAGACACTGATGTCTTTGGGGACATGATGAAAGTTAATATCATAATTAGCTTTCTTACGAGCATTGCGATCCGCTGACGCATACGCTTGTTCTGCAATCATTATCTCTATTTTAGAGTCTGGCCTGCATAGCGGGACTCCGGGGACAGAGCTTGCAGTTGTGACATTGGAAATCTCACTGTATCTGAACCTGCCATGTGGGTCTGCCAGAGGTTCACAGGGATTTGAATGCAGTAATACTCAGAAATGCAATTTCGCTTTTACTTTTCTCATGATATGTCCTGTAGCATCAGAAAAATGCCACATGAACATGCAGACAACAAGAAAAACATGATTTTCATCAGAGTGGGTCTTTAAAGTTCCTGTGAGTATTTTATAGTCACTGAAATCAGCTGAAATCGTGTAAGCCTCTTTATGATATCCAAGAGCAAACTAGACCATCAGTGACAAGAATGATGATTTTATATATATATTGTAATTTCTAATGCTTGAAAACAGAGAGAGGGGTAGGTGTCAGCTGTTACATTGTCAGCATAAGATCCTCCTGACAAATAATATATTTGACCAGCCAAAGCCAGCGGGGTAACAGGAGGCACAACTCGTGCGTAGATGATAAGGTAGTGACTGACTTCTTTGTCCACAGGGGGGTGCCAAATTTGACGCAAACCGAAAGTTCCTCCCGAGAGCTTTTGGCAAATTAAGGATGCGTGTCATAGAATGAGCACTGTGATGTTGTCTGTTATCTTGTATCATGGGTGAAAAGATTGATAGAAAACAGACTCATGCCCTCACAAGACCACAGTAGAAGTGGAAAAAGCAGTGCCTAGTTTCTGAGTCATGCCAATATGGAGCCTCGTATTAAAAGTATTACAAAGATCCAATTTCAACTTTGGCCTTGCAATAAAAAAAAAGTTTTTCCTCCTTACTCGCCTGAATATCACAGCTCCAATTTTGCAAGAAGGGAGTGTGGGAAGAAATTTCTCCTAGATTTTCATGAGTGGCTGACCAGTTTTTCACTTCCTGCCTTTGTGACCTCAAAGTTGACCCCAGTGAGTCCTGTTTTACGTAATATTATTGCTTTATTAAACCTTTTAGAGAAAATCATTCTACACGTATCCAAAGGTATCATCTTGACCGTCTTTTGTCAGAAGTCTCCCACTTTAGTCACACTCAAAGAGTCATCATCCTCCTTTGTTTGTGTGTTTCCTCCTCAATCAGGCTCTTTTCTCATTATAACCCGGATAAGCCCAGAGGGTGTTTGAGGTCCCAGGAGGATGTGACGGTAATTTGGCGACAGGAAAAGCCGTCATTATCTCATTTTAATCAATTAGTGAGCAGAGGTTAAAGCAGGAAGAAGCCCATTATACCTCTGAGGTTCATTTCAAGCATCCAAGTCAACACCGCTGAAGAGATCTTTTTGAAAAATCATACCCAAGTTTAAACTTTGCTGTATTTAAATGAAGAACTTTTTTGGGTGGATCATCTTTAACTTTTCAATAACATTGAGAAATCTTAATTCTTACATTGATTAGTTTCTAAATTCATGTCTGATAACACTGAAATTATAAATCCCGATTGAAAGATGTTAAATAGAAGCCTATTTCAATGGATTTAAATAAATTTAAATGTATCAGCTTGACTGAGTGGTTGTGTAGATGACCATTAAACATGTTAAATATGGAGCACCTGCCTCTTTTCCCTCATCTCCCTGCTCTCCTCTCTCCAGCCGTGGCGGCCTGACTGTTTGCCCCCACGCAGCACAACAGGTTGAAGATTTAACCATAAACCCCCCATAAATCTTAGTGGGCTCAGCTACCAAACTTAGTAACACGCATTGTAGGTTTGCTCATTAATCTGAACTGTACATGATGAAATGAAAGTGAGAGCTGTTAGGAGAGAGGGACCATGCTCATGCTAAACTGTAATCAAAATAAAAGAGAGGGTGCTCTCTGTTAATCATATAGGACAAAAATGCGCAATTGCACATGAAATTCACTTTCAAGTGCAATTGCGCCATTTTTGTTGCCCTGCTTTTTGTGCCCTGCTCAGTACTTTTCCACTGCAGAGATCTGGACTAAACAAAGTTTTAGGTACTCTGTTCAACTACCTAAAGTTCTCTGCCTCTGGGGTAGAATTTTCCAAAAAGACAGGGACTTTGGGTTAGGTCTTGCAGGGCTGAGTGTTTCTGATTTTTCGCTCACTCACAGCGTTAAAGGGATATTCTAAAGTAAAATTAAGTTAGAGTCAAACACACTGTTACACCAAGTTAGACACCCCATCAAGAGCTGAATGTTCCCGAATGCTTGCTTCTGTAGTTATACCAGCTTTAGTAACGACCACAGGAAAGCAATACAGAGAGCCACGCACTCAACCAAAAAGCCACTCTATTGCCACAAATAATGCTCAGAACAGCACCTAACTACATCAACAGTACATATAAGGTCCCAGCCATAGTACTAGCCATCAAACATCTTTTTACCTTTGCCTGATTTCTTTAACAAACTCACCCACTCTCTTCCAGCACCGCGTGCTTGTGTGGAGACCTCTGGGCGAGTCCATCGACTGCAGCTCAAGGAAGAACATTTATGATCATCACTTAATCATTTCCTTGAAGTAATAATCATCAAATTAACCATTTTGTGCTGCAGAAGCGGTAGTTCTTCTGCCTTAGTGTCTCAGTCTGATTGCATTTCCATGAAGTAATAATCATAAATGTTCTGCTGTGTCCCCCTGCTGGTATAACTAGAGAAGCAAGCAGTCTGCAACATTCATCTCTTGACGGGGTGTCTAACTCGGTGTTATGGTGTGTTTGACCCTAACTTAATTTTACGCCGGAATATCCCTTTAATACAAGCAGAAAGTTTGTCTCTCAGATTAAGTCACAACATCATGGGCTCCTGTAAAAGTAGCTCCTGGGACTTCAAGCTCTGGGTTGTTTTGGTGGAAATGAAGCTTTTCATGTATTTGGCCAACAGTCAAGTTCATAATTTTTTAACAGCACAATTTGCAATTCAAACTGTGGACAACAAATAAAGACTGTGTGTGTGTGTGTCTTTTGAGGCTACAGCAAAGTGCCCGGGTGTGTGATGTATACGGTTGGCTGGCCTCCCAACCCTTTATCCTCCTGCCATCATGCATCTCATTTTTCTACTCTGCTTGTCCTTCGTTTGTCTTCCCCTGCTTTCAATCTGCCATCTTCATTTATTCATTTGAATTCCCTGTGTGGATATTTGTGAGCAGACACGCTGACTTTATACACTCTGTCTAAGACAATATTCACTTTGTCTGGCTGAAGACAGGGGAGCTCTTGAAAATGCCAATGTACACATCAGCGTCCTTATTTGATCAGATTGCATTAGTTCTCAGAGTGAAGGCTTCTGTTTGTTTTCACTTACAGCCTGTGAATTAATGAGTTTGTTTTCTCAGTTGGCGTTGCCCACATGCACACTGAAAGACGGGTGTTGCTTATTCTGAGGCGGAGGGGGTAATCTTTCGTTGGAGGCTCCAGTGCTGCAGGAATGTAGAGCGTCTCTCACCCTTTCATCTTTCAACTCTCTTTCTTTCTTCCTCAATTCTGTTTCATCTATCTTTCCGTTTTGGAGCCATCACTCCATCACCCCCCCTCCTCCATGTATTAGCATGCTCATTCCAATTTTCCTCTCTGAGTTTAGTTTAAGTGCTCCCAGGCCTCAGGACTGATCCACTAAACACAGCAAAAGAGAAAGGGAGGAAACAAAGGAGAGAAAGTTGAAGGTTCAGTCACCTCGCCAACTGGCTTGTCATACATATGTTGTTTTACAGAGCTGTATATAAACTCCAGCTCTGACTTATATTGTAAAGAATGGGGAGTTTCAGAGGATTTAGTACTTTAGTAATGGTTGACATGTGTTTAAATCTTTAGAGTTTGTGGAAGTTCTTATCATATGGTCAAGGGGGTACTAAGCCTGCAGGCAAACCAGCTCAAATGTAAAGTTTATAGTGCATGAACAACAGTCCAAACAGTTGTAATGAAAAAAAGAGAAAAAGTTCAAAAGTGAGAGACAGTCTGGAAATGAAATCAAGGTCCAGGTGAAAGTTGTAAATCTGTATCAAATTTAGCTGGGATACAATATTTTCAGTGACACATTTCATACACACGTCTATAGAAGTGTTTTATTGTATGGACTAAAGACACAGAGTGTAGAAACTGGAATATTTGAAGGTATATCAGGCTGTCAGGTTCTCGACTGAAATGCTCCCTTGCTCACCCCTCCTATTTGAGGACAAGCTTCCTTCAACTTCTGTGAGTATGATCCTCAATTTTTCAGTTTTTTTTTTCATCAAAAAAAGCTCCATCATCACCAACAACGTTTTTTTATGTTTTTGCTTCTTTGTTGTTTTCTTCTTCTAATGCAATTTGTATGACCACTTACTGAATACAGAAACATATGTTTGTCTGCTCTGTCCTACAGTGCAAAACAGCAGCCTCCTCATGACCTACAAAGTGAAATGAAATTAATAGCAACAGAATCATTGTGAATAAAGTGTTGGGGCTTGATTTAGGCAGTGACATTTCCGTAGGTTAGCGAACCTATGCTAAAGATGTACATTTTCTATTGAGTTTTTTTTTTTTTTTTTTAAATTGTGACAGAGCAAATTGGCTTTAAACAGGATTTGGTTATTATGCTTTTGTGGGAATGCTTATACTGAGGTTAACAACAAGACACTAGATCACTTATGGGAACTGTTAATCAGGCTAGAGTTAGGTAATAAATAAAAATTGGGTAATGCAGACGTTTTTGTCATTTTGAGTTAGAGTTAATGACTTTGTGACTTCAACATTAGCTTGTCATTCTGCATCCTGCAAAAAGTTGTTGTATAAAAAAGTCAGTCTTTATTTAGTTTATTTGCTTCCACAACTGATGCACTCTTTGGGGACACATTTTGTGATAGCGGTTAGTGGCGCTTATAGGAAATGTAGTCATTATCCAGGAAAAATACTTATGAGTCCATAAATCAATCAAAAAATCAATTTTTTATTTATATAGCGCCAAATCACAACATTTATTAGTCCAAAAGGGCAAGGACACCATGAGAACTCCTCACAGAGGTTTAACTGGTACCTGCAAGTACAAGTGTTCTTACCAATTACCCAAACAATCAATTTTGTAGTTTATTGCAATTGCATTGTTACTGTTCGAGAGAGAAAGTTTACTCAGCCCCTTGTGGTTTTTGAAATAATAAAAAAAAGCTCATGAGTCTTCATCCAGGAAATGTATGACTGAAACATCTGCAATGCTTCTCATAGACCCCAACTTCAGCAGTATTGATTTTAAAAGTTTTAGCATTTTATATGGAAATTGCTTTGAGTTGAAGTCATCCCTCTTTGAAACTTGTGGCTGTCCTTGTTTCAGTGTTTTGGTTTCAAGGGAAAATCACAGCCTGAACTACTAACTTAAAACTACTGAAGTTAATGATTGGACTGCGAGAAATCCAGGTGGTTTAAGTCTTCCAGATGACATTTTTGTTGTCATGATACAATATTTGTGTGGTCAACGATATTACATTTTCAGTATGTATATCTCAAAAATTTGAACAGCAGAACAGAAAGTGGCTTTGTCTGGTCTGTAACGAAAAAAAAATCGGCCATATTTATTTTGGAGGTTGTGGAGCCACAGCAGAGAGGTTTTCGTTGTGGTATGTGGACCTGCTGACAGAGGGAACACATTACATGTTTCTGACACCGGCTACATGATGTGAGGGGTGAAGAGTAAGTGTGTGTGTGAATGAGAGAAAATAAAAGGCACCGTTAGTTTGTTCGTTATGAATGTGTGGTTTTGTGTGCAGGGGTTTCTATTCTGTCAAAGAATTTGTGTTGGTCTGCATGACTGTGTGTATAAAATGCTACTGAAGCAAACATCTGTGTGTACTTATCCATTCAGAAGGTGTGTGTGTGTGAGAGAGAGAGTTTGAGGTTAACTGGAGAGAGGGGAGAGGGCACTTACATCTGAGGTGTGTAGACATCTATGTGTCTGAAGGTGTCATTTGTGTCATGTCAACAGCATGTCTCCTGTGACAGCTCTCAGATTGCGGTTCGGCTAGATCACAGACAGCACACAGAAGGAGGAATCAGAGATAGTGGGAGCGGGAACTGACTGTGTCAAGCCTTTTCCTGCTCTCTGTCGCTCACACATGACATAGAGCCAGAGCGGAGAACACAGATGAGGTAGCTGTGCTGAGGAGAGAAACAGTAATCTGGGTTGTTTTAGGGATAGAGAGGGGACAGATTGAGTTAAAGTGAAGTGAATTAGCATAATGAGAATGAGGCTGGGGGGTTTGAGTATCACTTATCTGGTTGAATAAAATTGATGATGGCAAAACTTTTTTGATTTTTTTGCTTGCAGCCACCAATGATAATCCAAGTAAAGTGCTTTTTGGAGTTAGTGCAAATCAGTGCTTGGTAACTGTGTTAACTCCAGTGAGGAACTGTGCTGAATTTGGCGCCCCCTCTGGATAAAGTAATTCCGCTTATCCCTTCGAATCCTCACCTGTTCATTTGTCTTAAGTCTTTCCTAATCTCTCTGTCTCTTAATGAACAAATGACTGACTCATCAAGAATATCTGCTCTGAGAATAAAAAAGGGGTTGTCTTTCCTTGTGCCTCCCCTTATTACATTTACATTTATTACATTACAAAATAAATGGTAAATCATTTTGCTAAATGTCTCGTTTGCTTTTGTAGGTCATAAAAAGGCCTCACAGTTGATTTCACAGACTGCCACAAATACATTGAAGTCCAGTGGGAAACACTGCAAGGGCATCAATGCTGGGTTTGCACTGTGCTGTCATTATGTGGGGCTCTTTTGGACAACCAGACAGTTTTCTTATTTTTCATGGAGGCCCCTCATGAGTTTGTCTTGATTAGTTGATGAAAGGACCTTATGGGCTCCTTACTGGGACCCTAATGTGCAAATGGAGCTCACTTGGGATCCATCCAGTTTTCATGTTTGTTTTCTAAACCCATCGTTCACTGTACTTTCTTCTTAGTTGCCTGTGCCACTTAAATCCAGGTTACCAACCCATGCCTGACACAAGTAAGACCTGATCATAAGATAAACCTTTATTCAAATTTGCAGTTTGCATGTGACTCAGTTAAACATGTTGGCTGGGAAGGAAGGGGGTTGGGAGCATATTGACCACAACATGGATCCAGTCTCTGTGATATCAACCATCAACCAAGCTTTTGGCCTAGGAGTCAAGTCAGCTGCACCCCCAGTTGTGCCTCATTCTGAAAATCATGTGGCCTTAATAATTTCAAAACAAATATGTTTTGAAAAATATCAATTTCTAATATAGAGAGTCGGGCCAAGACTATGTCTCTGACTGTAAATATTGTCCTTTCTGCTGAAAAATGGGCAATTCAACATTGGTGTAAGTGGGGTCTCCTTGACTTTTAGACCCAGCTGTTTTTTTTGTAACTCTTTAACATTGGTTTCCTTTTATTGGTTTTCATTCTTTTACACTAAGGATAACAATTGATGTAGTAGTATGTTTACAATCACAATCTGTATGGAGATTGCCTGACTGCCTATACGCGATGAATCTAAGGACCCATTATAAGTCCTAGAATGGTCAGATACTCCCCAAACAGCTTAGCTTTGCTGCAGAGACATGTCAAGATAAGCCCTACATTGAAACCACTCAAAGGTCACAGGCCCCTGGATAGCTCAACAGCCTGAACCACGACTGAACTGTGAACTAAAACATGTGCCCCTAATGCTGGCAAGAACCAGAGGGCTGAAAGACGAATGGAAGAAGGGAATAACCATGAAAGAGAAGAAACATCAGTGAATTTCAAAGAAAAGAAAAGGACAGAGGATAAGAGGAGGAAAGCAATGAATAAAAGATCAGGAGGGGAGGAAACAAATGATGGAGCCATGAAAGAGTGAATGTAAAGGAAATGAGAGAGGAGAAGCCAAAATGAGGTGGACGTGGAAATTCCAGAGTAAGGCAGATAAAAAGAGGTCATGCTACCATAGTGGAGAGAGATAAATGGACGGAAGAAAGAAAGAGAGGGGCTGAGAATAAAAAAAAAAAAAAAAACAGTGGAGAGAGATTTTGGAGATGGAAGGATAGGTGGATGAAAGGGAAGAGTTCGATGACACTGGCCCCTTTGAGACTGCAAAGGTTGAGGGTTCAGGTCCCAACAATGTGGCTTTGACCATCTGTAGATTACTGAGCACCCCACTCACAAAGAGATGCACACATCTCTGCTAACTCCTGTGCGCATACTGGTAGTATCCTGTATCTCTCTTTCACTATCCATCCACAGAGGCAAAGTCAAAGTAAAGATGTGCATGTGGGAGGACTCTCTGCACTTAGCGGCAGGCCAAAACCAATCCCAGTGTTGACAGCAATGGCTGTTGTATTAACATGACCACTACAAATCTCAGCAGTGGACATTCACCAGGGGGTTGAAATCCTGAAAAAACTATTTATCTAAACTTTCCACACTCTTCCACACCCCGAAAACTGAATTCACACCCCTCCCTGTCAGACCTCAGGGGTCTGACCCAAATCTCTGCTGTGGTACAAATCTCAACTGTCCTGTTTTGGCATTTTTTATATGATTTCCATTGTTTTCCAGCTGTGGGATTTAGATGATTTGAAGCCTCTCTGAAATAACACAGAAGGAATGTTTTTGTTTGTGACCAAGTTAGCAAATCTCAGGAGACATGTTGACATCCATCTGGTAGTTTCAGTCTTATAATACAAGCCTGATCTTTTACTCTCTTATGTTAATGCAACCAGTTGTTAGTAAGCAATCATTATCAGAGTTGCTGTTTTGAATGAAATGTTACACAACCCCTGCATGGTTTGTTTTAGTCAAGCCAATTGAATCATTATGTGTGATATCCTGATTGTCCTGTGGTCTCCCAAACATATGTATGTGTGACATGTCATCAGTTTAAATCCAAGTTATCGTCATTTGTTTTATCACTGGTTTAGTTAGTGACACAGGAAAAAAAAAAAGAAATTTCACACCAGTTTGTTTTGGGAATGTAAAGATTTCCAAAACAAACAAAAAAACAAAACAAAACAAAACAAAACAAAAAAAAAAACAGAAGAAGCTACATCTGAGCTGCTTTGTCTGAAGAATAGCGAACCTAACAGCTAACATGCCAATGTTTAGGTTCAGTGATTACCTAGTTCATCATCTTTGTATAATATGGTAAGATCTTTTATTAAGCCATCACACCAGACAAAACTGAAGCTATTGGGAGTATTTGGGAGTTTGGGAGTTTGAAGTCTTCAACTGAAGTATTGGCATTTAAATGTTGACTTCATGATAGCATAGGTTAAAGCACCAAAGTAAGGGCCTGTGTCCACAGACAGCATCCAGAGCACATACTACCTCTGCTTATATTCGCTACGTCATGTAAGTGGTCCCATGGCATTTTCTCTTGACTGTCAAGTATGTCTTTTAATGCTCAGTGTCCGTCATATGTTCTACGATTGACAATAAAACAGACAAATAACAAAACCTTTGATAGAAATAGTGTTGTAGCAGTAGCATCATTTCTACACCTGCAAATAGTTTCATTTTAAAAGGGAGTGTGGTCAGTTTTGCATTGACATCTTCTGTCATTGTTGTTGTTCACAAAGCTAACATCAAAAGTCCTGTTCTTTCTTGAATTTGAGATATTAATAATGGAAACATACCACTTGTGAGTTCAATAGTCTTTCAAAAGCTAAACTTTTGTTGACTGAGAGCATAGAGAGTGCAACAATGAAAAACACTGAGGGCCCTTCAGCTTTTAGGGCACTGCTAGAACTACAAAACAATGTTAGTGGACAAAGGCCCTAATGCTAGTCATTTTAAAGGAGACCAGAATGTCTGAACCAAATATGATAATCACCAATGAAGTAGTTGTAGGATCTGGTAATAAAAAATGTAAAAAAAAACCAAAACAAAACAACAACAAAAACAAAACAAAACAAAACAAACAAACAAAAAAAAAAAAACACTGGAGCTGAAAGCATGAGGGGATCATGAAAGGTCATTGGTGTAAATGTCAGTTAAAGGTCAATGGAAACATAGTAATAGTTTCCAGGATGTGGTTATTATTTAAAAAGGCTTGTCAGATCTTGTCTAAGCGCTGACATGAAACTTTTATTGTTCAGAAATGAAGTAAAGCTAGAGGAAAACCATTACAGTTCTGTCAGCATGAAATATTTGACCAGAAAGAGGTCAATTCTGGGGCCCATTTGATAAAATTGTGACATACAAAATGAAATTTTAAAATCTAATTTGCTTATTGATTTGATTCACTTGTCCAAACCAAATGCATGAAAAACAGTCAGTGCTCACAAATCACTTAAATGGAAACTTTTTTTTATTTGTGCTTGCTTCAGCGCCTCTGGCCAACAAACTTTCTGGATGATGATACTGCTCCACATTTGCAACCTGGTGAAAACCTTGTTCTGAAATGAAAGTCGATATAAATGACATCCATGTCTGCTGCACACGTCAACCTAAAGCTTTTAATACTTTCAACAAATCACTCTAACAATAACACCTAGTGAAAACTTGGTGCTCACTTGGACTAATGTTGAACTTGGCCTCCTCCTGTACGTCACGGTTGGCCAAGTGCATGCTGGGTCGTGGTGTTAAAATGACAGATGCCTTGCCAGTTTTTTTTTTTTTTTTTACACCAAGTGTTATTGTTCCAACTTGAGACAGAAACAATCCCTCAGAACCTTCTCCGTATGAGATAGATAAACATCCTCAGCCCTGCTTGCGTATTTTTTTACTGGAGACATTTAAGAATTATTTGACATTACCCAAAGAGCAGCTGGGTCTCCCTGCAGAGAGCAGCAGGCGCGTAAGAAAGCAGTAAGAACAGAACAAACATGCTGAGATGGTTACACACACTCATGCACGCACTCACACACATGCACACACAAACACTTGCCAAACCATACAATGACAAAGGGGGTTCTTCTTGTCTTTTCATGTCAGTCCAGTGTCCTACTATTCGGCACGTTGGCTCAGAGCCAATGCAAAGTGATAGAAAAAAAGGTCAGGGGTGATGGGAACCCTCTTAAATGCAGAATAGGAGACATTACATGTAACACACACTGAGGTGCTGGACCCCCCCACCTTCACAACAAACGCCCTCTCTCCGGCTGTAATCATTTGATTCCACTAGAGCTGCTGACAGGAAGAGCTGAACACAAGGGCCCACTGTGGACTGATGGATCTATTAGACAGCAGCTGACAAACATGAGGCGATCCATGAGGACAGGCCGTGTTTAGTTTGTGCATGAGCACCTACTGGGCGCATCGTTGTGTTTGTATATAAACTGACAAAGACTGCAGCCTAATTTGTAGTGTGGAGGGTTGTCACATACATTTGCTTGCTGCAGACCAGAGTGTTACTTCTATACCTAGACCCCTTTTACACATGAACAGCATTCCTGGGAAAAAAAAAAATATATATATATATATATGTATATATATATCCCCATATTTTCCAGAAGGTTGCATTTGTGAAATCAATCTACACTGACTCAATGTAGACTTTTCTCCGCTGGCTCCTGAGATAAGTCTGCATAGAGCTTGGGTATATTGATGTTGAAATGCAGTACCTAACACTGACTGTAACTTCAACGATGTAGAGTCAGTATGGTTATGAAGTCTTGTATCCTCACAGGAACCTGTTCCACTTATTTTCTTCTGACATTTTCTAGATGAATTTGCAGGGACATCAAGGCCATAATAGTGCATGAGGAGATTTTAACAATAGTGACTGTTTAAGGTGCTAAACATTCATTAAGATGTTTCTGCAGTAAAAACTTGAAAGCAGAATACCCTAAAATAAACAGCTGAAGCAAGCAGTACAAATTAAAAAGAAGGGAAACTGCACTGAATTACCTCAACTTCCAGCAGAAATTTACAGGGGGGAAGGCCACTTGCATTCACACATACAGCCTATCAGGATGAATTAAAGTATGGGGATATTTAGGAATTTCGGCTCTTGTTGCATACTTTCTTTGTCTGTTGAGGTTTTATGTACTGCTCAGCTTCCTAGCAACACACCCATGCTTCATCTTCTGACTCAAAGCCCAGCCTGTGAACACTGGAGCATGTGCAGACTGCCTTGGGCAGTTTCGGTCTAAATGAGCCGTGTACATGACACAAAAAAAATCTATCTGCAACTGAGTTATCAAGGTATGTTAGTCTGACTATGAGAAGTTTGATTTCAGTGTGGTTTCAGTCAGACTAGCGTGTTTATATGAATTTTTGGGGAATGTAAGTGCCTCTTTGTGCAAAATGGAGGGAAGACTAAGAAAAGCAAAAGCAGCATCTTTCAAATATACACTTTAAAACTGATTTTCCATGATTTAATGTCAATGCAAAAACAATGTAAGATTCTGTGCCTCTTTGAGGAACACCAATACAGCCAACATTAAACAGTTTAACTATTCTTTTGTTTGTTTTATTCAGGTCAGTTCTGAAATTTCAAAATAAAAGCATGTTTTTACATTAAAGTAAACAGAGAGATGAAAATGCCATATGTCAGAAGAAAATCATCACAAGAAATCATATTATAAGGGAATTTCTTCTCTGAGGAAGTTTCTCTCTGAGTTTCTGAGCTGGTTAGCTGTTCAAAGATTGTCCATGGCTTTCACTTAAAGGAGAAGAAATAAAATGCTTGTGTGCCTGCAAGTTGCTGCTTTTAATTTGTTCACGACGCCTGCAGAGAGTTGGCATTTCTGTTTGAGCTGAAACACACAAAGGCCAACTGAGAGTTTAAAAGTGGGTAGGCAGCTGGAGAGTGAGTAAGAGTGGGATGAGAAAGAAATTTAAAAAAGAAATGAGTTAAAAATACAGTAGTGATGCAAGAAAAAGTGTTGGTTTGTCCTCTGAGGGGAAAATTTGGTAATGTGTGTGTGAGATGGATGAAGTGAAACAGGAGGGGGAATTTAGGAGGGAGGATGACAGATATCTGAAGCAGAGGGAGGAAGGTGAGAGTAAGATGGAGAAGTACAGATGGGGGTAAGGACTAGGGAGGAAAAGAGTTTGTAAAGAGCAGTTCAGTTTGTCATGGATCATTTCGCATAAAAGAGATAAAAAGAGAGAAATGTATGTGTGGTACAGATGAGTTATGGAGAAGGACTACATAAAGAAGGGGGGAAGAAAAGATCAAAGTGGACAAAAGACAGAGATGGAACAAGAAAGTGACTGGCTGTCAGGAAAGGGGGGTCTATTAGGGGAAGAGGAAACTGGAGAGATGATGAAATAAGGGAGGAAGGGGAGGCAGAGGAGGCTGAGGGCTGATGAGGTAACACCCTGTGCTGTGTTTTGATTGGCCCAGCAGGAAAGATCTGGTAACGGGACCTCTGTTAGCCATCCTGAAACAGCTGGAAGAGAAGAAGCTTGGATTTATCAGTATGTGTGTGAGTGTGAGTACACTTATTCAGAGTTTATCTCAGTTCTCACGGCTTTATCACGCGATTATGAGTGTAAAAATGTGAGCTGGCTGTATATAATGACATCACCAGTGAGGAGCAGGAACAGGTTGGCAGGAAATCCCCGGATTTACTCTGTCATGACTTATCAGGTCTGTGGTATCTCTGCCAGCATAAATCCCTTTGAGATTGAACAATGAAGTACAGGGAGTCATCTGTCCTATACGGCAGAAAGCATTTTGGTAACATAGACTGAGCCTTTATCAGGGAGCAGGTCCTCTGAAATTAGTAATTGTTGCTATAACCTGGCTCAAATAATCTCTTCTTGTCTTACAAGATTAATCTTTTGTTGTGCATTGTCCCTGTTTTAAATAAATAAATTCAATCAATTCAATGGAGGCTGCCATCTTGGACAATTTAGTTGCTCAAATCAGCAACATATTGTACATGTTTTTTGTATTTACATAAAATGCACCAGTTTGAGGACAATAAGGAAGAAGAGAGTGCCACATGTGTAAAACAATTCTGTTTAACTTGACAAATGGATCATACTCATTATGCATCATCATGGCTTTCTTGTCCTTGAAGGCTACTGGGAGCCCTGACAAGTCGATCACAGAGTACAGTGGGAAATTCATGATTATTACTTCATGGAAATACAATCAGACCAAGACGCTAAGTGTAAGGATGCCTAGCCCATGTTCACACTTTAAAAAATGGAAGGTCCACATGAATGATCATTTTGACAAGCTTTACTGGTTACAGATCTGGGTTACAGCTTCATCATGCCACAAGTGTAACACAAGTGTCACCTAAGCGTAACAAAGATTGGTCTGAGACTGTTCAAGTATATATAGTCGTCCAAGTTTCCAAACATTCCGCTTGCATCTTGTTGACCGAGTAGGGTAATAACATGGGTACAAGGTCCTTGTTGAGGATGGTTGTCTGAGGCCCATGGCTCCAGAAATCTAGCACCAAAGTTTCTGAGGTATTTGAGTGACACAGCTCCACCACCCTAAAGGCTGACATGACTGGTTAAAGAAAATCACCCTAACACTTAAGGCAGAAGAACTACCACGTCTGCAGTGCACATACAAGATACACAAGAACTCTGTTTGCATTTCCATTAAGTAATAATCATAAATTTACCGCTGCACTCAGTGATCGACTCGTCAGGGCTCCCCCACAAACAAGCGACTATTGTAAGAGAGTGGGTAAGTTGTGTTTAGTCTCTTTGCTAAAGAAATCAGGCAAAGCTAAAAAGATGTTTTATGGCTAGTACTATGGCTGGGACCCTATATGTACTGTTGATGATGCTAGTTGCTGTTCTGAGCATTATTTGTGGCTGTAGAGTGGCTTTTTGGTTGAGGTTTGTGTGTGTATTGCTATTGTGCAGTCATTACTAAAGTTGGCATAACTAGAGAAGCAAGCAGTTGGCAACATTCATCTCCTGAGAGGGTGACGAACTCAGTGCTATGGTGTGTTTGAGGATAACTTAAACTTACACCAGAATATCCCTTGAATTCAGTTTTTTTTTTTTTTTTTTGTTACTCATTAAAGAAATGCAAGTCTCCCCCTCAGAAACCACATCTGTTTGATTCACAGTATTATAAGCTCAATTTGAATTTCTTTAAAATACAGAAAAATGAAATGAATGCAAAAAGCAGATGATTTGTCCAGCCCTTCTATAAATCTTGTTCCTCAAGGAGCAGTAACAAAGGGGGTGAGAGGAAAAATGAGACCTGCGAGAGAAGGAGAAGGAGGAATGGGAGTGGAGGTGGTGAGGAAGGAGGAGAAGCGCTGTGAGATGACTTTTTGAGCATGCAGCAGATTCCAGACATACTTGGCACACTGCAACAATATACACCCCAATCTAACGATACCCTGGGAAGCTGGTCACTGGTGTAATGAGGCTAATGGCCCTTTATTTGCTTGTAAGTGTGTGTTTGTGTGTCAGAGCTCATAAAAAGCTGTTTTTAAGAGCAATATTTGGAGATTTTAGTTTTGTCAGCTGAGGTGGGACTGAAGTCGAGACTTATTGATTCATGATGGCGTCTATGTGTGGGGGCCTTGGATAGTAATGGTATGCACTGGGGGATCTAATATGCTTCAGATGCGAAGCCTACTTCAACAGCCAATGCTAATATAGACACAACTGAGTGTGTGCCTGCCTGCATACATCCCTGAGTGTGTGTGTGCAGCTTAATGCAGCTTACACTCTGCCTGTGCTCAATTTGTACATTAGAGATGTCAGCATGAGATATGGAGGTGAACTTTTTCACTCTCTACCTCAGTCTCTCACCTCCTGAACCCTCTTTCACGCTCATTTACAGCCCTGTCATTGCCAATCTATTTCTGAACTTCCTGTTGTACTTTTGCTTTTTATCAAAAACTCAAGTATGCAGCAATGAATTAATTCTGCCCTCAGTCGTATCCCTGGATATTTTCTTTGTATGTTAAATCAGAAGTTTGATTACATTGCTTCGGACCAAGGATGATGAAAGAAGGGTGCAAGCTCCCAGATCAAACAAAAATATGCAAATACCCAAATGCTCTCTCAACAGCAGCAGGAAATTAAACTTCATAGTCCACATGTGGGGCTTGCCGAGTTGACTGACAGCAGGGCGTTTCTTATCCTTACTGTGCAGAACATTGACAACACTGACAAACCTCAGAAAAGATTATTGCAAAGACATCTTTGAAGTGGTTGACACTGCATCATGGGATAGCTGAGGTTTGACACGTACAGTTGAAACCAGATGCTCATTCGCGTGTCGCATTGGTTTGGCTGGGCTGCTGTTTGTTGGAGCAGCATTTGGCTGGCAGTCTGTAGGGAAACAAGACACATTAGACACAGATGTAAACGTTTCCCTATGGAGGCTTAAAGGACTTTTGTGGATGTATAGGGCCTTAAGCAAAGACTGCATGAACAATGAAAGAAGCCATCAGAACATCACCCTGTGGTTTTTCTTAGGTTTTACATTCTGTATCAGGATATTGGTCTTTTGTGCTGTGTGTGACCTTACTGGGCTTGAGGTTAGTGTTTGAGAAGAGTAAGTACAACTGTCTAACCTGTAATGGCCCTAAAAATCTACATTTGGAGAAATGTGCTGCAGATTTAGTGGCAACAGAAGAAAACTCAAAAGTACATGCAAGAGTCTAAAACAAACAAAGCAATGGAAAAGTGTTGCAAACAAAAGAAGTTCCTTTTCTCTTATAAAATGTCCCACTTAGTGCACCCTCTGGGTATTGAGCAATTTTGTTGTTGTGTCATAATTTGCTGTTTCCTTGTTTTTCTGAGTTTGCATTTTTCATGTATTTGCAGTGTATTTGCTGTTAATTAGTTGCAAGGTTTGGACTTTTTGTGTTGTGACAATTGTTTGAAAATTGGTCAGCTCTATTGCCTATCCCACCTAAGCCCAATATCCTCAACCAAATATGGTCAACTCTTACTCCAGAGAACCAACATGGTGATGGCCAGAGTACAAAAGTATTGGCAGCAAAACAACACTTGACAAGCCATTGGGTGATACTGAGTTGGCTGCTTCTATTTATTTTGCAGCCAATACTTGGGACACTCGGGTGACATTGTGTTTGCTTGCCAATGAGCTACTTCGCCTTCATGTCTCCAAAAGCATGAGATTATAAGTATGATGATAGCTGAATGGAATTTGTGGATTTACTAGAGCATAAAAGTACAAGAGCTTGAGGAGACTGGGGACTCAGTGCTTGTTAGACAAAATCTCTGGTGGAAGGAACAGTGGCTAGTGAGCAACAAGAAATGGGTAACTTGAAAAAAAGGTTATTACAATCTGTTGTCTTCCCTGCAAGAAAAAAAACTGTCTCTAAAGCTGTGTCTGCAACACACAAATATATGTTTGAACTTTAAATAAGCTTAAAGCTGGACACAGACATTAGCCACTTATAATAATTTTGCAACAGCACTTTAATGATGTTTCACAGTCATTTAACCTTTATGTGTACACACCCAACAACACAACAGTGTTATTTATGTGTCCCATTGAGTAATTTCAGACTGTGTTTCAGAAGTGCAAGAGCTCCAACTTGTTAACACTCTGCATACACACTCAGACATGCCAATAAACTCAGTGTTGTTCTGCCCTGCTGGCTATGATGTTAGAAATTCCGATCACCTTCCCTTTATCGTGCCTCTGACAGCAAACCCACCTATGACCCCCAATTTGCTACGATCCGGAATGGTGGCATTTTCACCATCTGCCAATTCATACCAGATCCGTTTGTGAGGTGAATTTCCTGGCAGAGTACGGACAGCAGGAATTGCGAGAACTCACAAGAACCTGCAGATTCATGTGCAATCGTGTGATAACACGATTGTCTCTAGCCTTATAGGCAAACCATATAAGCAATAGATTGTGTCATTCCAGAGGAAGATATCTACTTCTAGACTTCAGCATCAGCATCCTCTCATCCATGGTGTCATCGGAGTGAATTGATTTCTATAAACCTTTCACTTGTTTGTCCCTGCCTGTTTGTATGGTGTGAAATACGATCTGCCTGAAACACGAAGTGTTGTGTTTTGAAAAGAAGCCAGATGTCAGATGATATGCTGCAACAGAGGTGTGATTATCCCCTCTTAAATTGCCTAAAGTATGATCCTATTGGTACTTGTCAATGAATGCTAATCAGAGAAAATGCTAATGTGGAAGTGGCTGCTTGAGGCTGACCTGAAACCTGAAGATACCCCATTAGGTAGTAAAATGACTTGTTTACATTTGAATTATACGTATTTATGAAGTGGGGTGGAGCTGGTTAAACTGACAGGTGGGTGTGTTCATGTGCATATGTGAAAATGCAAGGGAGGGAAAGCAGCAGTAATAACCTAGAAAAGAACAGGGCCAACATCGGTGACTACACAATTTACATGAAAAACAATGATAAAAGAAACAATGACACACACACAAAACATGGCACAGTGACCAGAACTAAGCAGACAATTTGGAGTCCCAAAGTGTCTCCCCTGCAGTTCTTCCATGCAGTTAAATAATTTTGCTATATCAGGCTATAAACATTTGAAACTGCGGCCTTTTGATAGTAAGCCAAATGGAAATCTACTCCTTTTAGAAAGCAGCCTCAAGTGGCTAGTGAAGGAACTTCGAGAGAGTGCTGTTTGCTGTAAGAGATGACAGAAATATCTAGTAGCAAAGTGGGATGAGACATGAAGACAGATCAACTGGCATGTGGCGTGAAACTGAAGAAACCTTTAAAAGTGACCTCAAGAAGGCAAAAAAAACAACACCAGGGAGGAAGTTAAATGTGATGGACTGAAGAGACAGCGTGTGATGGAAAGGGGAGTGATGTTAAAATGATAGATGGAGAAGAAGTGAGGATAGATAGACAGCAGAGAAGGGAAAGAGGGGGTGAAGTTGTGGAGAGGTGAGACAGTGGTGTGGCTTCCACAGTGAGGCGATGAGCTGCCGGAGTGATAACAAGCTGCAGATGGAAGCTGTTCGCTCACCTTTCCCCTCTGTTGGGGTGTGTGTGTTTCAGTGTGTGTGTGACCTGACTTGTGGTATTTATGCTCGACATTTTTGTTGTAATCTTTGGCAGATTTGTGTATACTTCTGAGTGATTTATGAGACATGTAGGTGGAGACATCAGGAGTCGAGTGTGTTTGTGAGTTTGTGTTTACAGCATGAAGGGGTGAAACAAGGTACACAAAGCAAACAGATCTTAGGTTTGACAAGGATAATTGTTCTGTTTCGAGGATGAAAGTTCAGGAAACTGGGTCTGTGACGACATCCTCCACAGTAAAGACAAATGATCCAAGAGCCTTTCAAAGCATTTCAGACTCACCTTCAGCTGACAAACACTCACAGAGATGAGAGGGTTTTATGTACTTGAAAAGCTACTTATCATTGTCTGAATGAAACAAAGAACATGCTTTTTTTGTTCTGACTGGATAGGTTTACACACTAAATCACACACAGAGGAACACCAACAATTACTGTACCTGTGGAAGAGCTGTGACTTTTAAAGCAATGCTCACAGATTGACAATTCGTGCTATTATGTCTGATGTCCAAAATGTAATGCTCTGTTTAGACCAGGGCTGCCCAACCTTTTTTAAATCAAGATCTACTTTAAAAGTATCTTGTCTGTTGGGATCTACTAGTTCACACAGTCATCCATAGTGCTTGCCGACAGCCTATCAGTGACATATTTATTTACAATGCACACAAGAAATCAACACATTCAGGTGACAATCAAGTCATTCTATCTTAGTGTGACTCACCAAAAAGTGCATCAGCAGCCTCGATGAGGGCTTTCGTAAAACTTTGTTGTCCTTGAACAACTTCTTGTGTTTGGCAAGAACATGAGTAACTCACTAAGATGCCATTGTTGCAGCCTTAAGGTCCTTACATACCGGCGAATTTGTGGAGCCAAGCGAAAAAGCGAGACGAAAATTGCGAACATTCGCCGGTCCGAAAAATCGCTTTCGCCTATACACACCGGCCGCGAAGCGAATATGCGTATATTTTTTGCAAAGCGAATTAATAAAGTCGCTTTGCGGCACGGACATGACACATGACATCTGTCTCCTAAGGAAGACAAGAGAGTGTCATCTTGTGAGAAAACTACTTCATTAGTAATTCGAAAGAGTTTTGGATGCACCTCAGCTGTCTTTCTCTGCGTTTTCATAATCTCAAACTTCTCCCTCTCCTCCAGCCGTATGGGTCTGTGACGTCATCAACAACATGACTTTTGATTGGCCAGTGGTCTAGCAGGTCCAGATATTCGCCTGCGAATATCCGAAAAATTCGACACAGGAGCGAAAAAATAAAAGCGGCTTTTCGCCCCGCGGAAAAATCGCCGCCGGTGTGGAAGCTTGCGTTGACTTTATGCTGTTTTAAAAAAAGGCGAATAATTCGCTTGGCGAATTCTCGCCCGGTGTGTAAGGACCTTTACTCTTGGTGTTTGGTCTGGTAGAAACAGACTGCTGCATGGCAAGCTCACTCTTCAATTCCCGCACTTTCTGAGAGCTTAGCGGTGTTTTAGCAGGAAAATCTGTCTCATAACATTTGTGTACTGTCTTGAAATATTGTTCCAAATTGCCCGTCTTTGGTATGGCCACACTGGCTTTGCAGATGAGACAGATGGGACTTCAGTTTAAGTAGACAAGAAAATAATCATCTTCCCACTCTTGGTGAAAATTGTAAGCTTTAGGTCTTTTTGTGTCTACCGTCTTCCTTCGTTTTAGCTGCTAACTACCATACCAGTGAGGGTCTTTCAGCATGCGTGTGACCTGACCTGACAGCAGTGACCTAGTGAGAGGGGGTATGGCAGTGGTGCAGCACAGCCACAACATAAATACTATTAAAGCGTGGATTTATTACAAGAGTTTTATTTACCGTTGTCAAGGCTACTTCTCGCGATTGACTAAGAATTAGTCAGCGATCTACCAGTCGATCAGAATCGACTGTTTTAGCACCCCTGGTTTAGACATTCCACTTTCATTGTATAGTAAGCTTTTATTTTATTAAAAAAAGTATGCAATCTTATTGGACCAGGAACACAGGCTGGCAAGTCATGTATTGTCAATCACTGATACAGTTATTATCAGTTACAGTAGAAGCTGCCTCTGTACCTAACACTTCTCTATCATCTGAACACTGCATGTCCTCAGACTTGCAGCACTCTGCAAAGACAGGAGTTATCCATATGCGTAAGCAATAATAAATCATGTTTACATATTCATACCATCATATCATCATGCTTTCAGACTCAGCATAATTCCACTATTCATAAAGCATCATGAGTGCCTTGCGCTTGCATTCATGTGCTGCATATATCATAGGTGTGCTCTAGTGCTAATAAAAAAAGCACTAAATAGACCAAATAATCCTCACAAACAGCTTCCTCTCACATATGACTTGTATTGAAAAGCACATGAAAAAAAAAAACCTTTCTAACCTGACAACCTCTGCAATCTCTTATGTCAAAACAAAGAGGTGGTGTGAACATTAGATGCCACCATCATACTGCCATCCGTATCTGCAGCATGTCTCAGCACACACCTCAAGCCATTCTTCATCACTCACTCTGCAGATGGAGGTCATCTCTGGAAAAAGCTGAACTTTCAGTGACAGTCAGTCAATGTCTGACAGCTTGTTGAGCTGTCTGCATGTTCTGCTGATAAGCTGTCAGGAAGGCCATTCAGTTCTGCTGAAATATCTACTTGTTTGTGCTGCTGACAGAGAAAAAAACATTAACTCTGAAAAACACAACAATGAATAAACTCAAACAGAACAAAGAGGAAGTAAAACATATGGAGAGCATGTGATGTGATAGAACCAATCTCCATGATCTACAGCCATCTTCTCCTCTTTCTCCTCATCATATTTTTCTGCTTACAGAAGCCAATCCCAATAAATCCATCTCCCATCACTGCACCCTCTGTCTCTCTTGTGGTTAACTCTGCCTGTCTCTCATCCTGCTCATTATTTTCAGACTCTTACCAGCTGCTAAAAGCCACAACCTAACCCCCTGCCTCCCCCTTTTACTTTATCTCTCTCTGTCTTCAACTCCCTCAGACTCCCTTCAGCACATCCCTCAGGTCTTCTCGCTCGGGTGTCTGCTCATTAGTTTCTCACCAGCAGCTTTTATATCAACTTTTATTAGAAAAATTTGACTCATAACTGTCAGCAGAGAAATGTTGTGTTAAGTTTTGACGGGCTTCTTTCTACATATGTTCTCCTTCTCTCCCTGTATCACAGTAAGTTGGCTCTATCTGGGTTTTTTGGGGGTTAATCCAAATAGAGAACTATTCTTAGGCCCAGTTCAGCATGTGAGTTCAGTGAGAAACTGAGGTGTCTTATAAAAACAGATCTTTGTGTGTGTGTTTGCGTGTCTGCAAGGACATGGTGATGGACAAGGTGTCACTCATACACGGGTCTGTGGTGCTTCAATCCATCAATGCCCTCACTGAGTGGTGACTGACTGAGCCTTCTTTCTCACTGTGTGTTTGTGTGCGTGTGTGTATTTAGTGCAAAACTTCGAGGACTAACAAGTGTGACATTTGAGCGATGAGAGGTAGACAGAAAGCCGATTAAGACTCCTCCAAGTGTTTGGCATACCGAGGACGTCTTCTCACACATGCATATTTTTCTCCTTGTCTAAAAAAAGTTGAGGGGGTGACAGAGGTGATGTAGGAGAGGAATCAGGTTAATAAAGGTAGAAGAAGCACAAACAAGAGTGAAAAAGTGAGAGAAGAGGAGGTGTCTCATACCCACTTGAGAAGTGAGTGAGACACCTGACTTCTACCTGAACTTCAATCCTGTTGCTCCCGCAGAGAGGTTGCATCAACCTTTTGACTTTGAAGTTGTTGCCAGATCAGAGAGAGGAGCCAGGTGCAGACTGCTGTGTTCAGCATGCTCTTTCACTATTACATGTTTACTTAAATTACAGTCTGTTTCAGGTGTTTGTGATCTCCTACAGCCATGCACTTTAGAGTTATTCTCATTTTAGCATCACTGAATACAAACCCTGAGGGTGGTGGTAGAAGTACTTCTTGATGTTTGTGTGTGTTCTTAGAGATAAAGCAGGTTGATAGTGTTCATTTCTTGATGCATTTATTGAATTTACATGTTTCACTGGCATTGGCTGACTTCAGGACACTGTGGTGTACAAGCAGCAGTGAAGGAATTACATTACTACCTTGAGTGGGAGCCAGACATGATAACGTTTCTATCTTAATACTTTCCTCTATTTTTAATATTATTAAATATATATAAATATTATTGATATATATTAACTCTACAAAGAAGAATTTTGGTGGGTGACTAGGCTTAAGTTAGCAACAGCTCAATATGCAGCCTCAAAAGCCTTGCTGCAGATCATCGGATTGATATTTATTCTCAGTTTTTAGATCAGATTCAAGAACTTTAGAGTTTTTCAATCCTTGAATCTGATTTGAAACCCCTAGAACACTGGTGCAGAAGTAAACACAAGAGACAAGAGACGTCTTCCTGACAGAATCTTCAGATTTGCATTACTACCCACTACACATAACCTCTGATGTGAAACAGTTTCAGTTGGTGGTTGGCTTGTTCTATAGGTCTGGACCATTTGCTTTTGGAAACACAGGTTTTAGTCTTTTTGATGCAGCTTGTTCTGTTGGTGTGGTTTTATTTTTGAAACTCATACACTGTTGCTTTAAAGGAAAGTTGGACTTATTCAGCTTTATCTCTCGTCTTAAATCCATTACTCTGTGTAGACATGTCACCTCTGGTTGGATTTTCTTGAAACTGTGAAATCTTACCTTCATTTTCCCTTCTTTCCATCTCCTTATCCCACATCTTGTGCACCCATCTCTTGAGTGTAATTTTACCAAGTTTGACTGCTAATCTTCTCCTCTTCTCCTCCCCCTGCAGACCTGCTGTCCACCAACAGGTCGTCCATCTTCAGCGGTCATCACGACCAGCTCTCACTCACCGCTGTCTTCCTCGATGAATACCGTGACCGCCTCTTCCTAGGAGGGAAAGATGTCCTGTATTCTCTTCTGCTGGGACCCACCAGCAGTGAGTCCAAAAAGGTGAGGACTATAAAGTATCCTGCCTAGCTCTGGTGATGGATGCCACATTCATCATTGAATCGAGATTGCAGGGACTCTTTGTGGGGTTTCAGTTTACATAAAATGATGAACCGATTGGAGACATTCCCATGAAATAAAGAGTACTTTTACATTTTCCTTTAAGCAGAACATCTGTGGAAGTGCTTTTGAGTGATATATAAGAGTGGTGACTCAAACCTGGAGAGACTTTTTTTTTCAATGCTATCGTATATTACTGAAACAGAAGCAGTAATGGAAATATTTGTCAAAGCTTAGAGAGAGCTCAGTTAGCGGTATGTAAGATTAAAACTCATACATCACTTTTTTTCATGACTCAATTGATGATCCCTTTAAATTCACGAGCTATCTTTGGTCAGACTGCACCTCTGTCTCTTGACAATCACAATTTATGTCTTGTGTTTTTTTTTTGTTTTTTTTTTTTGCCAAAGCATGTTGCTGATCTCCTGCCCTTCCTGTGGAGAACACCTGTAACAGAGCAGCTCATCATAAATCAAACCCTATCTCTCCATCTACGTTGCCTTTAAACCGCACTCTCATTTGTCAGTAAGGCTGTCAAACAAAGGGGATGTGCTGTGACAGCTGCTTAGGTCAATAAAAAGGCACGAGAGAGATTTATGAACCGCAAGGCGAGGATATTTTTGGTGTCTTATGGGCAGTCATGTTTGTGGACCTGTTGACCTGAATCATCATCAAAAACTCACAATGTACAAATAGAGTGAGCGCTAAAAAAAACTGCCACAATTTGAGCGCTGTTTCCTCTTTATTCTTTATAAAAAGCTGATCTTATATATTTAAAAAGTGGAAGTTATTTCTTATTGATGTGGTACTTCTAAAATGTGAAATATTAGAGGGATAATTTGGAGTGATCTTGTGGTTATGCAGATTTAGGCCCTGAGAGGGTGAGCAGGGCCCCAAAATGAAGCATCAGGATCCTGCTCACCCTCTCAGGATTTTACTCTGCATAACTACTATATTTACTACATAATCATACATAATGATGCCAACAAAAAACACAAAAATCAGAGAATTTAAATGATTTACAGATTATTTATTCAGATCACAGTTCGTCATATTTGTTTGCTTCCATGGCAACAAGGTTTTATTAGTCATCTTGGGGGAAGAATTAGCATTAAACTTAATATTTCAGTTAATGGTCAAGCTAAAACATTACTGATCATAAATGTTATAAATTAAAACAGAGAGAACATCTCAGTTGAAGGTCATATTAGACACCTCTGCAGTTATATTGGTGTTTACAGATCCCTCCTTATCCAGCTCTCTTTCAGTGGGCTCCTTTAAACATACATGAGGTAAACGTCACAACTTCCAAGATCATTTCTGTTTTCACCACTGCTTGTGATTTAAGTTGTTTTATGGCTCTACAGCTGTTGCCTGGATTGCAGGACAGGCAGTTTGATCCCTTTTTAGCTATGAGAGATAGTTGGGTCAAGTTGCTTCTCAGGCTGCTGAGAATCAATCATGTCGTTGTTAGGGTGTAACCAATCAGAATTGAGCGTTAATCACAGCTCATATTAGAATATTACTGTAAACTCTTCAGAGCATCAATAGACAAAAGAATACACTTTGCTGGGATTTGTAGTTATTTCACTTTAGAGTTATTTCTTTTCAGTTTTGTAGACGGTATTTTGTATTGAGAGGCTTTAACACTGAGGAGCTTGTTAAATACTAAATGGCACTATGGAACTTGGGCTCTCTTTTCTTTAACTGTAGAGGAATATTTTTGTGAAAATATACAGCCTCTGTCTTATCACTCCTCAATATTTTTTAACCAGTGATTCACTGTGTGCTACAAAAGCTGTTTCCTGTTTGGCACAGAACAAAATAACTCAAATAGAAAACCTCTTAAAGCTTAAACATTAGCTGAAAGCAGCAGTGTGTGCATGTAAATCTCTGATATGGGTCAAACTGAATGGCTGCTCAGGGAATTTCTGTACACAGAGAGCCAGTTGTCGCCCACCTCATCCACCCTTTGCTTCCTCTCTTAGCCTCCTCTCACTGCTCTTTGTCTCAGGCTTATAATAACACATGAAGCTTGCTGATACTCTCATTGCTGAAGGGTATTTGGTGCCTAAAATCAGGGTTTCTTTCAGAGCCAGCCGATGTGAATTCTATCAGTGATGCCAGTTCAAATTAACAAAGGTTTCCAACACGGCATACGCCTGCCAAACACTCAATTTGACTGGCATTTAAAAGAAAGCAGCAGAATGTATACGAACTGTTTCTACCTCCAAAATAAGAGATTATCACTCTATGAAAACATGTGGATGTTTAACCTGTGTTGCTATGACAACCAGCATTAACGCTGAAACCTGAGGGGCCCCCAAAGTGGCCAGGAACTGATTTACCTAGCTTTACAGTTGCACTAAAAAGATAGTTTAGCTTAAATCAAAGGTGTAAATGTGTATCAACATTATAAAGTCATTATACAACAATTGATCTGTACGTATTTATTTTTTCATTAATTATAGTATAAAATTTATTTTTTAGTTTGAGGTTTTAAAGGTGCTGGTAGACCTCTGGTAGACCGCCATGGCCTCTGACTTCTCTCAATAAAAGCTAACCTTGTCTTTTCCTTCCACCTCCAAACTTATTTATGAGACGAAAACTGGTTTCCTCAGCTTACTATTGGAAGGATAGTGAATCAGTGCACTTTTCATGAAATTCAGGATTCGAAAAAAGGAAATTTGGTTTCAGACTAAGGGTTTTCAAAGTCATCACAGGGGGGTTTCCACAAAATCTCGAAGCAACTTAATCGGTCTGGGGGAAATGTATAACAAACATAAGCTTCCTTGAACAAACAATATTTCGACAAAGGGAAACTAAACCATTGCTGATAAGCGTATGACTAGAAGCTTAACTGTCCTGGGCAAAGAAACGAAACCAAACAAAAGACAAACACTGTGCAATCTGAGCACAACTTATTTTGAAGTCAGGCTGAATTTCAACCCATTGGTGCAATGAACAGTGAGGAACAAATGATCATGTCCTGATCAGCAGCTCCCAACTAGTTAGATACATTTCTGTTTAAAACGTTGGGTGGCTGACTGCTCTGACTTGCACAATGAAAGTAAAACAGCCTAGGCCTTTTTTTCCTGATGTGCCTGTACAAAATGGCTGACAGCTTTTGGAAGTAACCGTGGCAACACACTGCATGATGTGGATACACAGATACACACCAATCAGAGATACCATCACCCATGTATTTTGGACTTGAAGTTTGTTGTTTCACAATAACAGAGAGGGTTTGAATTATGCCTATTAACATAAAATCCAACAATGATGCAAAAACAGACCCTCAGCTTAGCCTTGTGGGTCCATTATAGAATTATTATGGCATCTACAGCATTAGCCTTTGCATAAACAGGATGATAAACTACATTTTAAATCATCTACGGTGCACAGCAGAAGTAGAGAGTGCAAACAGATTGCGCTGTTGTGCCCCTGTACACACATACGTAGATGCATTGACTATTATAGCTTCATCCATGGAGAGAATTTTAAAAAGTAATCATTCTTGCTGTGCAGTGTGATTGAGAGAGACCCGTGGTCCACCCACAGGACCTGAAAAGAGTTTATGAAGGAAATTGATTGATAGCTGTCAAAGCTTTATCTAGGTTAAACTCTTCCATCGAGTGCTGAAGTGGTGCTTGACACCTGGACCACACAGTGTGAGCACATAAATTGTGAGTCCACACTTGTCAGTGGTGCATTGCAAAAGATTCACTGGAGTGTGATTTCACCTCCACCAGAATATTTGTAAAATCTCAGAGAACCCTGAGAGAAAACTCCAAGTGTTGAGTAAATCTCACAGTGACGTTTATATGATGCTTGTGCAGACTCACAAAAACTCCAACAACAAGGGAAAAGTTAGGAGGAACCTCTGAGGGCAGGAGATCTGCTGGTTTATATGTGCACAGAGGCTCTAGCTCTAGCCCTATCAGCACAGCCATGACCCTTTACTGTCTTCTTACACTGTCTGGCCCTCATCTCCCTTTGGTTTTTCTATCGGTAAACCCCCCCCCCCCAAAAAAAAATCGCTCAAGAAAAAGAAAGAGCCTCAGTTTCTTCTGATGGTGAGATCATGAGTCAGCGCAGTGCTCACTACACCTGGGGCCTCATGTATCAACGCTTGCGGCGCAAGAAAACCTTGCGTACGCCAAAATCGGCGCACACGTCCAGATTTATCATCGCGAAACGAGCGTCGGTTCCAGCGCTAATCAACGCAAAGTCAGGAGGTGGTGTAGAAATTGGCGTTGAGCTGGATATTTGCGTTGACTGTGATTCGCACTTTGGCGACGCTGTGTGGCGGTGTTTGGTGACTCACTATGTGACAAGCGTGCACCACATCCCCGTGGCCGGGCAGCACGTCGCCCCACATGACGAACCAGCAGCAGACGGAGGGATGCGAGCTGATCCCTGCCGGGCCGCCGTCCTCACGCGGGAGAATCTCATCGCCACAGTGTGAATGGGTAAGAAGTGAATACACAGTTCAATGAGCCAAATTAATTTATTTTCTCCACCAGACGCTCGAGGAAATTTACGAGCCGGTCCAGCCGCTCGTTGATCCCCGCGATCCCCCTGATGATTTCTTCCTGCGATTGCAGGACCCCCTCCGCGAGGACCCTTCCACTGCGTCCGGGTGGTCCAGCGGAAGCGCCGCGGCTGGTGGACGCTCCACCGCTTGTCGACGCACTGGTGCTGATGCTGGTGCTGGGGCCGGGGGCCGGGGTGGCCCGAATGCCGCTGGTCCTGGCCGACGACTCCGAGCCGGCGGACGGGCTGCCGCGGGCCGGGGTTCCGCAAGCCGGCGACACGGCCGACACGTTGATTTCTGTGTCACAATAAAAATATTTGTTCATTTCAATTCCTGCTTCTGTGTATCTGTTGCGTTTACATCTCTCTCCACGGTATCATAGGTAATGTAATCCAGTATTTCGAGGTCAGTTATGCACATTACAGTTGTTTATTGCATAAAAAGTTATCGAAAAATAAAGTTAAGGGCGAAGTATAAATCACGTCTAAAAATAGACTGAATCCCGACGTTGAAATGAAGTATAAACTTAGACTAGACGTCTAATATACGTCTTTTGCTCAGTGGGATGACAAAGCATGTGGACATTTGTGTGACACGCCACTTACCCTATAATAATAATCGCCACCACCCGCTGCTCAAACGGTGTGAGGGTCTCCTCCCCCGGACCCCCACCTGTCTGGCCGGTACTCCTCCGGAGGGCAGCTGTACGCCGCTTGACCTCCACCTTGAGGTCCGACCACTTTTTTTTAATCTCCGCTGGGGTGCGTGTCTCGGAGCCCACCGCATTCACCCTCTCGCAAACTTTCTCCCACTCCAAGCGTTTTTGTTTTGCACTGATGCCACTGGACAGGCTGCCAAACAAAACACGCTGTCGCTCCTCCACCTCCGCCACCAGCACCTCCACCTCGCACGCCGTAAATGTAGTTTTTCTTGTCATTTTGTCTGCGTGCGAGGACAGGGAGACCCTATTTAAATAAATCTGCATATTTATAGGAGGGCGTAACGGGGACGGGCCCAGTCACTCCGACATCTGCGCTCAATTCCACGCTGATTGGGATTTATCAAGGAAACACACGTGGATTTCGGCGCCCGCACACATTGATACATACGGATTTTTTTCAGCGTGACGGACCTTGCGTGCGCTCGTTTCTGGTATGAGTTCCACGCAAGTGTTGATACATGAGGCCCCTGGTCTTGATCAGCGCTTAATAAACTAACCCATATGTAGGTGTCCATATGAGGGTTAGCGCCATTTTGAGGGGTGTCCGAAACCTCAGTGATCAATTCCAGTGCCCAATATAGGGGACTCAAAATTTCCCATAAAGCATTGCAAAATGTAGTGACCATCCGATGGTCACTCACCGGTGGTGGGCATCTCATCATGCATTGCATCTTGCTATGTAGTGTCCGAAATCTCCGGTGATTGAGTTCACTACATAGTCAACTATATAGTAAAACCCCATATGGGGGTTAGGGGTTACGGATTGTGTGATTAAATTTCGGACCCAGCCAAAGAGTAGCAAGTGTGGGTTCTCCTTAGGAATGAACCTTCAACCATGTGTTAGAAATTTGTTTATAAACTGCATGTGATCAGTTTGAACCCTGCAGTGCCATAATCTGGCACATGGCACTAGTCCAATTGTCCTGAAGTTTATTATGATAATAAAAAACAGTGAGGTTATTTCATTCCTAACAGACATTAGACAGTAAATAAACATCAGGTTAATTCATCTATCAGTCTACATGTGTATCAGGTTAGCACTTATGTCTGTTATCATAGAATCTACTGTTTAACACTTTCTGCTCAAAGTCCCTCTGACAGAGTGGTGAATGTGGAAATTGCATGAGGGGAAATTTTAAGCTGAAGGCTTCGGGTTAAAAATGTCAGCTGGCATTAAATCACTGCGCCCAGATAACTTCATATTTAATTGAAACTGTTCTTACAGCTTCAGTGATAATAACATAAGAAAAACAGAAAGATACTGATTAACTTTAATGTAAATAAAACAGTGAAGGAATAATGTTTATTTGATGACTGCACAGTTGCAGGTGTGAAACTTTCCTTGTTTGATTTTGTTTTAGCAAGAACACTGGTTTTCTTTGTTTACTGTTTTTCCATCACCCACATCATGTATTGTACGTTGCTGTGGTTTCTTAGTGATACTGAAAGGCCTCTGGCCCAGACTGGGTTTATACTGGAGTGTCTTTTCAGTCTCAGAACACAAGAAGGTTAGAAGTGTTGATGAAAGAAGATGTTTCAGAGTTAAATCACCTCCCCGGGGACTATATGTTTTCATCCTCTGTTAGTTTCAAAATGAAGAGTGCAAAGGTTCTTACAATGTTTATGTCTAACATATCAATCAGGCAACTCTAGACTTGCTCCATCCTGATTAAGTCAGAATGAAACTCATGACATCCCATGATTCCCGTCGCTGCTCTGCCAAATTTTACCTTGGCTCAGTAACACTGAGCTGACAGGAAGACAGATGGTTCTGTGCAGAGATTTACAACTGAGCTCACCAAAACTGGAAAAGAGTCCACTTTTATCAGAATGAAGCGGCATGATGTTGCCGCATCTCGTAGCTTGTATCCTAAATGTTTCACTGCGTTTAAAAACCAGTTTTGCATATAAAACATCTTCATAGGTAGTCTTTGCTATCACATTCAATGTTTCCTGTGACAATCCAGCAAAGATGAGGTACATTTAATGTGTGGTTGTGTGTAGCCTCTCTGCTTTGGTGGTATTATTTTAATTTCAAACTAAACCATACCTCCTCTTAGGGGTATTGCTCTGTTGCATGTTACTGGGAAAGAAACAAAGACATCACCTAAAACTTTAATCTTTTTATCATTCGGAATAACCTTGGCAGTATTGTGTTCATAGTTGAAGGTATTATTCAGTCCCAAGGCTTATCAAATTTGGGTATGGTAATTTGGTATGACCAAATTATTTTGAAGTCCAGAGGTTAGCCAGTGTTTTAGGACCGTCTTTCCTGCTTTGTCTCAAGTCTTGCCCAGTTTCTCTACTGGTTAAAATAGACCCTTCTTAAAAGATCAAACACTGGTGGAGGGTGGATTGAAAAATAAAGACCACTTTAAAGAGGAAGGATTACAGTGATGAAGTGTCAGAAAGCTTTCAAACCCAGGAAGAACCACAATGATGGATGGAGGTCGGCCATTTTTCCAAAAGCATGCAGAGAGACTTTTGAACAACGGATGTGATGTCTTCAAGACATGCATTTAATTTGTATTAACAGTTAAAGTGACTTTTATTATGTTAAGACTTTTATTTTGAAGGGAATTTCTTGAGTTAGATAGCGACATAATATCCTGTTAGAAAGATCAGGAAATTCAAAGAAGCCACATGGCAGATAACCTCATTCATCCAGCCACATCCAGAGAAAAGGACTGAAATCAATGTCGTAAGTTATTTCATTTGATTATGTACATTTTTAAGTTAATATATTAAGGACTATTTGGTTAAAAAAAATGAATAATAAGTTAAGATTAAAAATATTTTTTGAAGGTTAACTATTTACAAGAGGAGAGTTAGTTCATGGCTTTTGTATATATACAGTATTATGTAAAAGAATGATTCAAGATTGTTTATGTATTTTATTACAGTTTTCACTCCATGTCAATGTGAAGGAGTCATCAGTAAAAATCTTAAATTACAACGGCGGCTCATCCCTTCTTTTGAGTGGAGTTTAGCTCAGTGTTTAGTCTGCGGCTCTTACGCTCTGATGAGAACACTATAGTGAAAAGACAGAAGAAGATCAGTATCAACAAAACATCGAAATGGCTTCTAGAAGTGCAAAAACCTCAGTCACAGGTATAAGATCAACACACTCTTCAGCCAGCACAGCAGGACGTGCGAGAGCTAAGGCTGAAGCAGCTAAAATAAGAGCAGCATATGCAGCAGAGAAATTAAAGTTGAAGATGGAGCCAGCTAATAAGGATTTGGAGGCACGTGCTACAGAGGTTGAAAAAATAAGGATAGATGGAGAACTAGAAGTGTTACAGCTACAATGTGAAGCAGAAGCTACAGCAGTGGAAGCACAGATTTTGGAAATGGCAGAAGCTACGAAGGTGGTAGAGGAAGCTGAAGTAATAGAGGAAGAAAATAGAATGCAACGCACCCGTGACTACATCCATTCTCAAAACACCCTGAATGAAAGTGCAGACTCTTACTTATCGGTTCCTGGCCCATCCTATAGGGAGCCAGAGTGCTCTGTCTCTTCCCCTCTCTCACCTGCTGCGCAACCACCTTGCGAGGAGCCGTATGAGGGCTTATTAATGGAGCAACCACCTGCAGTGGACATCTTACACCCATCATCTTGTAACGTCAAAACCGAATTAAAAGTGGAAAAAGACGACAAACCCTCTCTACCAGCCAAACACCAAGTCAAGTCAGCACACCAATGGCCGACCTACAACACAGATGGAAACAAAGAAACATACTTACCTCATCACACTAATAAACTCTTTCAACCCCACACCCCTGAACCAATGAGCATGCACTGGTCACCCTATATTCCCAAACAACCTCCTCCGGTTATGCCAGCTCCTGCAGCAGAACCATTGGCTCAATACTTGGTCAGACGCGACCTCACGACCTCGGGGTTGTACCAATTTGACGACAAGCCCGAAAATTACCGTGCATGGTACATGTCATTTAATAATACAATCAGTGGCATCAATCTGAGTGCAGCCCAGCAACTCGACCTCATGACGAAGTGGCTAGGGAAGGAGTCAAGGGAATATGTGAGGCGCATACGGTCAGTGTATGTTAACAATCCTTACGAAGCCCTACGCAAAGCATGGGAACGCCTCCGTGACTGTTACGCAGCCCCAGAGATTATGGAAAGGTCACTCTTTCAGCGATTGGATAGTTTTCCAAGGCTGACTAACAGAGACCATGTCAAGTTACGTGAGCTTGGTGACTTGCTGACTGAGATTCTAGGTGCAAAAGAAGATGGCTATCTAACAGGGCTGTCATACCTGGACACTTCAAGAGGCATTGCACCAATATCAGAAAAATTACCTTTCTCACTCCAAGAGAAGTGGTTGACCTCCGGATCAAAGTACAAAGAAGAGAACAATGGTCGGTTCCCTCCCTTCGATTACTTCTGTAGGTTTGTGTGTCATGAAGCTAAAAAGAGGAATGACCCCAGCTTCATGCATCAAGGAAGTGCTGCAAATCCTATCAAACCAGAGAGATCTGCTTCGAGGAAATACAGTAATGACGGAACTTTCTCAGTTCACAAAACCAATGTTTCTTCAATCAAAACCAACAAACCTACGAGTGACGACCTGACTAAGACCTGCCCAATGCATAACAAACCACACTCTCTTCAGAATTGTAGGGCGTTCAGGAACAAACCAATCGAAGAGCGGAAGGTCTTCCTCAAGGAGAGAGGTATATGTTTTAAATGCTGCGCTTCAACCTCACACCTCGCCAAGGACTGCAAGTCCTCAGTTAAGTGCTCCGAATGTGATCGCACGTACCATGTGACAGTAATGCATCCTGGACCTCCACCTCAAACTCCACAGGCTCTTTCACCGCCACAAGAGGATGGCGGGGAGGGAGAAGCAGATGTTAACCAGGCTGTCATCAATTCAAGCTGCACAGAAGTTTGTGGCGAAGGCCAATGGAATCGCTCCTGTGCAAAGATTTGTCTCACAAAGATTTATCCAAAGGACGCTAGGCACAAGGCTGTGAACGCCTATGTGATAATGGACGACCAGAGCAATCGCTCACTGGCCAAACCAGAGTTCTTCAGTCTCTTCGGTCTGGAAGGTAAATCATCACCATATCAGCTAAGAACATGTTCTGGTTTAGTTGAAATGTCAGGGAGACGGGCTGAAGGTTTCCAAGTTGAATCTCTGGACGGCCGGGTGGCTCTTCCTCTTCCAACGCTCATCGAGTGTAGTGAAATCCCGAATAATCGTTCAGAGATTCCAACCCCAAGTGCTGTGCTACACCAACCCCATCTCCAGCACATCGCCGAGCACCTACCGGAACTGGATCCAAACGCAGAAATTCTACTGCTTCTAGGGAGAGATGTGTTGAGGGTGCACAAAGTTAGACAGCAAGTGAATGGCCCGCACAATGCCCCATTCGCTCAACGCTTAGACCTTGGCTGGGTGATTGTGGGGGAGGTGTGCCTGGGAGGTGCTCATAAGCCAACAGTGAGCAGCTTCAAGACTAACGTGCTGGATAGCGGACGTCATACGCTTTTCCAACCCTGCACCAGTTACATGCATGTCAAGGGAATGCAAGATAGCTTCAACCAAGTAACCACAGCTACAGAGACACTAGGAAAAACTGTGTTTAACACAACAGAACGCGACAACAAACTTGCTCCATCAATCGAGGATACAATCTTCTTGAAGAAAATGGATGCTAGCATGTACAGGAATGATGAGAAAACCTGGGTCGCCCCACTTCCTTTCAGAGAGGCACGCCAGCGTCTCCCCAACAACCGCGAGCAGGCTGCCAGCAGGCTCTCTTCTCTCGAGAAAATGTTGAGAAGAAAGCCAGAGATACAAGAACAGTATTTGGCATTCATGGCCAAGATCTTCCAAAACAGGCATGCTGAGGTGGCACCACAGCTGAAGGACGATGAGGAATGTTGGTATCTTCCTACCTTTGGAGTGTACCATCCTCGCAAACCCAATCAGATCCGGGTAGTATTTGACTCCAGCGCTAAATACTGTGGTGTTTCCCTTAATGATGTATTGTTAACTGGCCCAGATCTGAACAACGCCCTGATCGGAGTTCTACTCCGCTTCCGGAAAGAGAAGGTAGCAGTGATGGCAGACATCCAACAGATGTTCCACTGCTTCGAAGTAAGTGAAGAACATCGCAACTTTCTTCGTTTCCTCTGGTACCAGGACAACAATGTCACCAAGAAAGTCATCGAGTACCGGATGAGAGTACATGTTTTTGGTAACAGCCCTTCGCCAGCTGTGGCAATTTATGGGTTGAGAAGAGCCATCAAGGAAGGTGCTCAGCGGTATGGAGCCGACACAGTCGACTTTGTGCAAAGGCACTTTTACGTCGACGATGGCTTGATCTCCACATCAACTGACCATGAAGCGATCGACTTAATGAAGAGAACGCAGGCCTCTTTGGGGGAATCAAACCTACGTCTCCACAAATTCGCCTCGAACAGCCAGACTGTCTTGAAGGCGTTTCCTCCTGAGGACTGTGCCACAACTGTCAAGGACCTGGATCTCGCCGGAGAGCTACCAGTCACACAACGCAGCTTGGGCCTTCTCTGGGAGATATCCACTGATACTTTCACTTTCCTTGTGTCAACAGAAACCAAGCCATTCACTCGGCGCGGGGTTCTTTCAACAGTAAACAGTGTCTTTGACCCCCTTGGTCTGTTGGCACCTGTAACCACCCAGGGAAGGTCTCTCCTAAGAGAACTGTCCTCCGAGCTCTCAGACTGGGACGCTCCTCTCCCAGAAGAAAAACGTGACAAGTGGGACACCTGGAGAGAATCACTCCAAGAGCTCAAGCAGCTTCATGTGCCACGTACTTTCTCAAACATGTCCCTTCTCAAGGCTGAGCACACTGAGCTATGTGTGTTTTCAGATGCTTCAACAAGAGCAATCGGAGCTGTTGCGTACTTGAAGACCTTTCAAGAGGATGGACAAATTGAGGTTGGATTTGTCATGGGCAAAGCGAGGCTAGCTCCCCAATCGGACCCTACCATTCCACGCTTGGAATTGTGCGCGGCTGTGTTAGCCGTGGAGATGGCAGATCTCATACAGGATGAGTTGGACATCAAGCTTGACGCCATACATTTCTATAGCGACAGTAAGGTAGTCCTTGGTTATATTCATAACTCAACCAGGCGTTTTTACGTCTATGTTCACAACAGGGTGCAGCTTATACGCCACTCTTCAAAGCCAGAGCAATGGCATTACGTTCAGTCTGGGGAAAACCCTGCTGACCACGCATCAAGGGGTTTACCTGCATCTCGCCTAGCACAGACCACCTGGTTCTCTGGGCCGTCCTTCCTGAGATCACCACCCGCAGGAAGAGCACAAACAAGTGAAAGATTTGACCTAGTAGAACCTGAAAACGACAATGAAATCCGCCCAGAGGTAAAAACCTACAAAACTTACCTGAAGGAGGAAATACTCACCCCAGATCGCTTCCAACGCTTTTCCAGCCTCCGCTCACTCCTCAGAGGTGTCGCTTTTCTCATTCACATCGCCAGATCCTTCAAACAGACGAACAAAAACCGTGAGTGTTCTGGGTGGCACAGGTGTAAAGTTTCGCGCACCCCAGAGGAATTAGATCAAGCGATGCACATTGTCCTGCAAGCTTCACAAAGGTCAGCCTTTGCCAAGGAACTTGCAGCTCTCCAGGCACAAAAACCAATCCCAAGAGACAGCTCTCTCCAACAGCTCAGTCCGACCATCAAGAATGACTTGATCCACGTTGGAGGCCGGCTGGAACACTCTAACTTGGAAACCGGCGAAAGACATCCCATAATTCTGCCCAAGGACAGCCATGTATCCCTCCTGCTGATACGTCATCATCATGAACAAACAAAGCATCAGGGTCGCCACATGACTGAAGGAGCTGTAAGGGCAGCGGGGCTGTGGATCTTGGGTGGCAAGAGACTCATAAACTCAGTGCTTCATGACTGTGTGACGTGCAGGAAGCTCAGACGGAAGTTTGAGGAACAACATATGGGAGACCTACCTGCTGAACGCCTCCAGGTATGCCCTCCATTTACATATGTGGGTCTCGATGTCTTTGGTCCTTGGTTAGTTGCAGCCAGGCGAACCCGTGGAGGACAGACAGAAAACAAGAGATGGGCTATCATGTTCTCCTGCATGAGCTCAAGAGCAGTTCATGTCGAGTTGATTGAATCGATGGATGCATCAAGTTGCATAAATGCGCTCAGGCGTTTCTTCGCCATTAGAGGCCCAGCCAAGAAGTTGTGGTCAGACTGTGGCACTAACTTCATCGGCGCAAGTAAAGAACTCAGGATGGATAGCAGCCAGCAGGACCTAGGTGTTCAAAGATACCTAAGTGAACAAGGATGTGTCTGGGAATTCAACCCACCTCACGCTTCCCATATGGGAGGCTGTTGGGAAAGAATGATCGGCGCTGCGAGACGAATCTTGGATTCCATCATGCTTCAACTGAACACTCGCCTTACTCACGAAGTCCTCTCTACTTTAATGGCGGAAGTCACTGCCATCATGAATGCGCGGCCACTTGTACCTGTTTCCACAGACCCGGACAATCCTCTGATCCTTTCTCCATCGATGATTCTCACTCAAAAGTCTGGAGTCCCACCACCTCCAGGTGACTTCTCTGAGAAGGATCTGTTCACAAAACAATGGAGACAAGTCCAAGCTCTCGCGAACCAGTTTTGGACACGCTGGCGACGCGAGTACCTACCTTGCTTGCAACGCAGACAGAAATGGACATCACTTCGCAGAGACCTGCAAGTTGGAGATGTAGTCTTACTAAGAGACAAACAGGCTGCACGAAATTCTTGGCCTATGGCTAGGGTTATTACCACGTTCCCTGGTAAGGATGGACGTGTCAGGAAAGTTGAGGTTAAGACAACTGATCATGGTGCTGTAAAGACATTCTGTAGACCAATTACAGAAGTGGTTCTACTTCTCCCAGAAGACAAGTAATGTTCCTGTTTTGAATTCTTTGTGTGGGAAGTTAGTGACCTCTTAGAGATCAGGCGGGGAGTGTGATGTCTTCAAGACATGCATTTAATTTGTATTAACAGTTAAAGTGACTTTTATTATGTTAAGACTTTTATTTTGAAGGGAATTTCTTGAGTTAGATAGCGACATAATATCCTGTTAGAAAGATCAGGAAATTCAAAGAAGCCACATGGCAGATAACCTCATTCATCCAGCCACATCCAGAGAAAAGGACTGAAATCAATGTCGTAAGTTATTTCATTTGATTATGTACATTTTTAAGTTAATATATTAAGGACTATTTGGTTAAAAAAAATGAATAATAAGTTAAGATTAAAAATATTTTTTGAAGGTTAACTATTTACAAGAGGAGAGTTAGTTCATGGCTTTTGTATATATACAGTATTATGTAAAAGAATGATTCAAGATTGTTTATGTATTTTATTACAGTTTTCACTCCATGTCAATGTGAAGGAGTCATCAGTAAAAATCTTAAATTACAACGGCGGCTCATCCCTTCTTTTGAGTGGAGTTTAGCTCAGTGTTTAGTCTGCGGCTCTTACGCTCTGATGAGAACACTATAACGGATGAAACATTTCTGACTCCGATTGTTGCCAGCCAGGCTGCAGGCTGGGCCTGATTTCACAGTATATCATTATCAGACAGGCACGCTATCAGGCCTATTAGAGGTCAGACTAAGAGTATGAGCCAGGCATGCTTTCATATCAGCCCAGCCTGCTGACAAAGAAACCTGCTGAGCCAAGTTTTGGACCGATCTTAATGTATACAATCACTCTGAAGCGTGAAACAAATGTTTCTTTCTGATAGATTCCCAGTAATGAAAGCCAGACTTAAGACAAAGGCAGGCTGGTGTCGAACAAACCTTCCAATCGGATCGTGTGATAGTGGAGAGGTCAATCAAAAGCAGAGCTGCAAGTCCATTTAACACTTAAAATGCTCGTTTCCATTTTGTTTGGATATTTCTGTGGCTTTCACCAGTTTACAAAGAATTACATGAAAATATTCAATATGATAACTGGTCTAAAAAAAAGACCAGTTATCATATTTTACAATTGTAGTTCTGTATCAAACTATGATGTCTTCATTTAATAGCCTTATTACTGCACATATAGGAATGGTATAAAGCTTCTTATATAACTCTTGGCGACAAAGAGCAACAGTTTGTTCTCCAAGGTCTCAAAAATCACCTTTAAGAAATTTTCAGAAAGCACAACAAAACCATTGCAAAAGTTCCAAAATAAAAAAGTGCTGTTTTATTCAGCCAAGAGGGTCCATCAAATCAAGAACAACCTCATATCGCCATTGGTTATTCAACACACAGACATGTAGACATACAGAGTAAAATTCTCATATTTGGGGGAAAGAGGTAACTTGTATCAAAGTTTCACCCTAGGTTCCCTCTATGTTGTGTTTACAAGGGATGCAAATGCAATTATTTACTAGCTTCAAGGGATATGCCGGCGTAAAATTAAGTTAGTGTCAAACACACCTTAACACCTAGTTAGGTGCTGTTCTAAGCGTCATTTCTGGCTATAGAGTGGCATTTGGGTTAATGTTTGCGCGTGGAGCCATAGACTGCTGTGTATTGCTATTGTTCAGTCGTTACTAAAGTTGATATAACTAGAGAAGCAAGCAGTCAGCAACATTCATCTCTCGAGGGGGTGTCTAACTTGGTGTTATGGTGTGTTTGACAGACTTAATTTTACCCCGGAGCATCTCTTTAATTTGTGTATAGTTGAACCCCTGTGTTCTGTCTTTCCTTGCATAATCCTCATGAACAAGGCTCAAGGAAAGCTTTCCTTCATGCCACAACAGTCTGTTTTTATCAACATGGTAGTGGTGGACTACACTGACAAAATGCTGACACAGTCCAACCTCCTGCCTTACTTACCTCAAAATGTGTTATGTTTCATCATTGTTGGGATTGAACAAAAAAAAGTAGTATTGTACAGCTCCTGATAATCCCTCACATCACCTCAGTTAAAATCATCCTCCATTTTTCATCTCCATTTGTCCTTTTAGCCAAGAGAGCTTTGGCTGAGGTTTGTCTGCAGGTTTTAGATGCCAAAGAAAATGCAGATTGTAATTGAACAGATATTGAAATCTGTGTACATGGTTAATGAGACTCTTTGTCATAACAAGGGTCCAAACCACAGATGTTCTTACTTTTATAATGACTTCACGTTAGATTTATTTCTGTGCATCACCAGAAGGATGCCCTAAATACTGTCTCAAAAACTTTTATCATCCATCAAAATCTAGAACAGTGCAGGCTCTCTGATGTCACATCTTTTCAGAGAGAGCATTCAGAGAAACTGAATCCTTGTGCAGCCGTTTCCACTCACTTTGTTTGATGTGATTAGCTTGTACTCATGAGGGAGATCAGATCTGTCTCTTACTTTTACTGCTGAAGCTGAACCTGAGTATGATGAGCATAAGAGGGGATGTGGTTTAGATTTTGAGGTAAAGAGGCAGAACATTTTCACTTATCTTGTCAACTACATTTTCACTCTTTCAATACTTTAACATCATCGCTATAGGATACTCATAAAACCCAGCAGCTACCGCGGTGGTCTGTTGACACACACATAACCTGATACACACACTACACTTGATCAGAGGTTTGTAATGAAAGTCAGGCTGTTTGTCCTGCTCTCTGGTTCCTATTCCCCCTGTTAGTCAAAACAAAAGCCAGTTTCATAGTGGACCAGACAAAGACCTATTGTCTCTCAGAAACCCTTTGGTTGTCTGCAAAATACTGAACACGTCATTGTCTCCAAACTTAAAAAGATCTGGTCTTTCCACCTCAGTAAAAACTCCTCCTCCTTTTCTGAAATGAGCGAGAAAACTTGTTCCATTGTTTCAAGTCCAAAGTCTATTATTACGTGCTTATCTGGGGTTCACCTCCAAGAACTAGAGGAGGACTTAGGGACTTTTCTTTCATGCAATCTTGGATTTGAGCAGTGAGAAACTGAGTCAGGAAGAGATTTACATCTGCTCATGTTCTTACTTTGTTAAAGCCCCAAATCGTCTTGTTAAGACACTCCAAGGTATCAGCTTTTCTGCTGAGTTTAACCAATTTTTAGGCAAAAACCTGAGCATTTACACTGAGGGACATGAAGTAATGATTCTCAGGAGCTTGGTAGAGGGCAAATTATTCATAGCACATAGGAAAAGCAAAAACTTCATCATTAGTCAACCTCCATCAGTTACAGTGGGATAATATGGCAAATCAAGCTTACAGACCTCAGTAGCAAATACTGTGAGGCTAGTTCCTCTGGCCTGCATGATGCAAACAGTGTATGTCTGTTTCACAAAGGCAAATTTCTCCCCAAATGTATTAAAAAAATAAGAAATACATAACTGTCGTGGCTTTGGCTGATAACTTTGGTTCAGTTCATAATGATTAAATTATGCGTTGTGTGCATTTCTATCGTGGAAACACAATAGGGTCAAAAATATTTTTTTTTCTTGTGTCCAAAGCATTTGATAAATGACATTTAAACAAATATACCTCCACTCTGGGTAACCCACAGGTTATTTTTCACACAGACTATTTATTACAGAGTTGGTAGTTCCAATGACAAGTGGTCTGTTTTTTTTTTCTTTAAATATATTTCTCTGAGGGAACACCACAAACAGATTCCTTTAACCTCCATTGTTCCAGAAGCAGATTTATAAAATAAATATTACTTCACAATGTGGAAAAATAAAATGCTTGGTTAGATATGGGTACATGAGACTTTCTGTTGTCCTTAATTTGGGTGAATCAAATGTTTATATGCTCTGTCAAAGTGGAATGATAGATGGGTTGGTCATGGCTCAATCAAGGCCTCAGCTGTAGCCAAACTTAAGTCATTGGTTGAATTCAAGTGATTGAATAGTCATTGTTTCAACATATGTAGAGGATCTGATTTGCGAAATTTGGCTCCAGTTGCTTTAAAGTCACCTTTTTGTGCACACTGATACAGGATATGTTACAACTTTAGTTTAGTCTTTAAAAAACTGAACTTTAAATTCTGACTAACCAACTTGTGTCCTGGCAGCATTATTTATCAACTCACACTTTTTTAAATCTGTTCTCTCATCTTTCTCTGTTTCTCTTCTCTTGTAGATCCACTGGCCACCATTACCTGGAAACAGGGAGGATTGCATCCAAACTGGGAAGGATCCACAAGTAAGAAATTATAGTTCATAACTTCTTTTAAAGCTCATGTGAGGAACTTTCAATGTTTGCCAATTTTGGCCCATTGTGGGCAGAACAGCCTCTTCTTATTTATTTGAAAGTCTCCTGTTCTCTTCCATTTTCTCCCCATTAGTATGTTCAGAAAGTTTTGAACTGGGCTTCATTAACCTCGAGTTGTTTTCCATTGCCCATCTACAAGAGATCATCTCATTTAGACATCAGCCCACACCAGAAGATGGTCTTTTTCTCTGGTTTGTCTTTTTTTTTTAAGTGTTTGTTCCATGCCTTTTCTGTGTAATTAGCTCTGGAGTTAATGTCCTAACTATCACTGGTTTTGCTCTTTTCACTTTCTGGCCAGCCATTTGATTTGATCTGCTAAACCTTGGCATCTGCATTTGGATTCCCTCTTTAGTACTGCTGTAATTTAGACTTGGACACTCTCAAATGGGGTTTAAAAAATCAACCCACTGGACCTAAAACTGAGGTGACCACATCGACCTTTCCAACAAGCAGCTCTTTTTATATTTGGCCAAATATGCTCCAAGTGAAGAGTAGAGAAACAGCTCTCATTGGGACATTTGTCTTGCAAACCCTGGCTTGTCAAGTCAGTTTAAAGGCTTTCTGGGACTTTGGCTACTTCTGTAGCCAACTCCTGTTGCCATGTCAATTCTTCTCTAAGTTGTTGTTGAAAGTCCTCCAATTCTTGCTTGCATTTTACAGATTTTAATTAGACAGAATGTGCATTCCTAGAGCGACAAGAGCAGACTTTCAAAGCAGTCCTCTAATAGAGCTTGTTGAAAGGGAAAGTGTAGGACTTCTTCTAACAGTGTTACTTGCACTTCGTTTGTTATCCTGCAGCAGATTGCTCTTTTCAAAAATGTCAAAATCATTGAATAATTAAAGAGAATCTTGAAAGTTTCTGAAGTTACTACTTGAAAACCAAAAGGTTTGCAGGGAAAAAGAGAATTTTCTGCCGTTCAAAAGGGAGTTCAGGGTCTGTGAGAGTTAATGAAAGGCAGAACTGCGTCATGAAAGGAGTAACAACTGAAAATACAAAGGGAGGAACAGGTTTAATTAAGGAAAACAGAAAACCCAAAAGAGGAAAGAGTAAAAAAGAAGAAAGGGGAGGACAAAGGGAGATTGGAGAGGAGAAAATCAGAATCATTTGTGTGATAAAATGAAAGAGAAAAACGAAGTAATAATGGCAGCAGTAATTTCAAACATCATAATAATAGTAGCCTCCAAACTTGCATACACTAACGAGTCCACAAAGTACAGAATGGAAAGTGTCAGCACCTTTTGCTCTGTTTACCTTCCCACACACCAGCTGACTCAGCGTTTGTGGCTAGGAGGTGTAAAAAAAAAACTTCACAGCATCAGTGAGATGAAAGAGAAAGGAGAGGATTAAAATGAGAAGAGAGGATGAAGATTATAATGATTAAGAGAGCATGGGAAAGAAACAGGCCAAGCTTGGGCCTGAGTAGGAAACACGTTATTATATGTAGCCGAACTATAAAACTGACCACTCATACTGAATGTTGGGCTTAAATGCAGGAAAACTAATACACATTCAAAGTATTTTAGGCTAAGGCCAGTCCTGTAGCGCATCAGTAACTGTGCAACAACTCGGGTTTGTTTTTACCAATATCTGTGATACCTACAGGTAAAAAATAAAGCCAATTGATCTCAGATTTCATTGCTTAACTCTGTTAGTATTCTTGCATTAAGTACCAGTAGGGTCATATAACTCATAGTGGCATTTTTGAGGCCACCCTTACCCTTGATCAGGTAGGATAGACCCAGAAATGTGATCAGTCGCCCATGCGGGTTAATCCGAGAAATATATACTGATGCCCCAACAGGACAAATTTAAGGTTACTGTCTGTTGTCCACAAGAGATACTTTTCCTGCTGTCCCAGAGGATAGCCCTGTAAGTTTGGCCGTGGCCGGTGGGGGATAAACCTAGAAATTTAGGCTGCTGTTCCCACAGGATAAACCCAGATGTGTGGGCTGTGTCCCTCAGAGGAAAACCCCCACAATACCAACTATAATATTTTCACCAGCCTGAAAATGATGCTGCAGTGTAAACTTCTCAGTCGAGTGACATGAAACTGAAAGACTGACGTTGATCATCCACAGTTTTTTTTTTTTTTTTGGCACAATCATGAAGTTGATTTTGGGTTTTAGTATCAAATATTTGGCAATTGTTGAATCAACTCAAGATAATCTTCACACATTTACATCTTCTTTGTGATAAACTGTTGTGCTCCAGTTGCAGAAAAAGCTCTCTAGCTTTGGTGGAGATTCAGTTATTTAAACTGAAACTGATTTTTAATGAAAACACATGCACACCCACACACACATCGACACACTTAGAAGTAAAGGGAATAGTACGCTGTGGCTCTCTGGTGTTGTTGCGAGAGGACTGACTACCACCTCCATCTGGACTGGGTTAGAATGTGTGTGTTTATGTGTGTCTAGGTACATATTCCCTGTTTTTGAAGTGACAGGTGGGTCTTGGGTGTCTTATATCAGCTTTATTAGGTGTTTCCTCTTCTTGCAGCTCACATGGCGTGTGTGTGTGTGTGTGTGTGTGTGTGTGTGTGTGTGTGTGTGTGTGTGTGTGTGTGTGTGTGTGTGTGTGTGTGTGTGCTGTCTATACCGTAGATGAAAAGAGGAGTGACACAGCATTATTAAACAGCTCCTAAAACAATTTGTGAATGAGTAACTCTACCTTCCTTGTGCCAAAGGAGTCATAAAGAGTGCGCATGTGAGATAGTGTGAGTGACAAATTGAGGTGTTTGTGTATATGTTAAACAACACAAACGTTTTTTTTTCTGCATTCCTGCACGTCTTTCTAGGTTTCTGAGTTTTTCGGTGTCAGGCGAGATGGATTGCTGTTGTATCCTGTGGCATCTACAAAGCAGGAGGCACACATAAACATACACTCAAATATTGACACTCGCACATATGGACACATGTTCCATCTCAAAAGTTTTGCTGTCTGTGTCTGCTAAACATAACTGTTTGACTAAAAAAGTCCCGGGGGTTAAAGGTGAAAGGTCATCGTAGAGTTTTTGGGACTAGTCTTATAGTTTAAGTGTGTATTTAATGGTACAAAATGAAAGAAAGACACCAACAGATAAGTTTGCAAATAGGAAAATATTTTCAAACACAAAAGAATTTAAGGATAAAGGCATGAGAAACAACATTAAAAGAGTGATCAATATTGTTCAGTTTATCTGTAACCCCCCTCTAACTAGTGTCTAAAACATGTTTTTACTGATAGCTCATCCTCTCAGAGTCACAGCCCCCATCGGCCTTCATTGTCATTAATTACAGCTCACACAAAATAACAGGCTGAGGGGAGGCACTCAGTGACTTCAGCCAAGCATGTGGTGTCTTGCTCTGCTGTTTACACACTCTTCTGATTCATCTATCTGCATCTAAAGCGCTAGCATAAGTAAGCTCCCCAACCTCTAATCAACTGAGATTATGACATAAATGCATGTGTTGGTCAACATTTTACAAAGATAACATAAGGTAGAAAAAACACAAATTAAGAAAAATACTCTTTTTAATGGTTTATAACAAAAATATGCATCTCTGAGCTACACACAGGCCCCCAAAAGTACTCCCCCCCCCCCCCCCCCATGGATTTGTTTGCTCCACTTTTCAGAAAATGTGAGTTCAAACAGTCTCTTCTGACAACTCCCCCATTAGGGGAAATAGGCAGACCTGAGTCGAAGCCTGCTTCACAGCTGCCATTGTTTTTTGCCCACTGACGCCTTGCAGCAATATCCTGGCAAGATGTGGAAGGTACGAGCGGAACACGTCAGTCGCTCTGTTTTTGGCTGCAGGAACCCTCACAAAAACCTTTGTACGCCCTGTGTCTGAAGATCTTAGGACTCAGTGGATCGATTTTATTTTTAATAGACATGTAATCACAACAACATCAAAGGCGTTGTATGTGTGTGATCACCACTTCACTCTGGACTGCTTTGACGCCGAGGATGATAGTCAGCTCTGTGTATATGAGAATATGAGAATTATACTACTAGCAGACAGGCGTTAATCCAGGCTGGTCTGCCATACATGAAAGCTAGCATTTGACTTTCCTCTGCTCTCTGGTGACCTTCAGTGGATGATAAATGGTTAATGCCATGGTATCCTAAAAATGTGAAACCAAGGATTACCACTGTTGACTATTGGGATTTTTACCTATGGTATCTGCAAACAGCATGTTTTCCTGCCATCTACTTAAAAATAGATCCCAGTCCATGATCACTCATGTTCTCTCCTGGCCTCAGCATAAATAAAAATGTTTATCCATTAAACTAAAAGACCTTGAATTTCATGGGTCTAAATGTACTTAACTGTTGAGTCTAGTAACACACATGAGTGTCTGAATTTTGGATCCAAAAGAAGCTCATGGCTCATTATGGCTTCATGGCTCTTTGGTTTTTGTTTAATATTAATGAGAAAAAGATGCTTCCAAGTCCAGAAACAAAGTGGGGTCTGTTTCTGCCCTTCTTCTGCCCTTTACTTTCCAAGATGACGGGAGGTGTTGGTTGCAGCCTTGCTGTCTTGCGACCCCATGAAGGTGACTGTGGTTTTATATCATAAAATGGCTATTTGATTTGTTGCATCATGGGACTGATCAGGAGATATTTGGAAAAACCCTCTCATGCACTTTGGCGAAGGCTCCTTGACTTGCTGGATGTTTTCAGCACGGACTAGAAATCAATCACGAGGACTTAGAAAACTGTTTCTTTGAGGATCAAACAGCTACTGAGACCAAAGACTTGGAGAGGCCCGTACATCCAGCAGTCCCACTTTGAACTGCTTTCACTATGTTTGTGTGTGTCTGTGATTGTGTTTATATATGGGGTCCTGTTCACTGTAGCTTTGTGCAAGTGTGTATTTATGTGTATGTGTTGCTTCTCATTTCCTGTTAGTATTACAGAATCTGTCTCCTTTCCACCGAACATTGGCTGTTTATTCTGGAAACAACTCTCCATGTCCAAACTCACCGCTCCCTGCTCGGGTCACTCATTACTGAACTTGTTTGGCACACTTCGTATTTAACTTTTCTCATTTTAGATTCAGATTAATTGTAATTTCCAGTTTACTCATGGGGAGGAGTGTGAGAACTACGCAAATTTCTCCAAGTGCTAGCACAAGTGCCACCAAACTTCAAGTCTCAAATCTTTGGTGTCCTGGCCTTGGTCCAGTCTGAGTACCCTGAAGAATATGGGTCCAGCAGCCGGAAAGTGTAGTCACTATCATTAATATCGCTTACTCTCAGCAGGAGTGCATTTCACTTCAAACTATTAACTGTACAGTCTCAAATGACCGTGTGTAATCTTTTTGTTATACAAAAAAAAAAAAACCCCACAACTGAATTAGAATCTGAGTCATCCTGCTGGTGTGTCTGGAGATTTACATGATCATACAGTGGCATTCATCGTGTACTGTTTAACACACCTCCCCGAGGAGACATGTTTTGGCTGTGATAGAGTCCCTGCAGGTGTCTAAAAACTCCAAATCACCTCAAACTAACCCCCTTTAATTAGAACTTTAACTCACAAAACATGTTAGATCCAGTGGGGAGACAATAAACTCTCAAGGTGGGCTAACTTTAGCATCTCTCTTACTTTTCTGGTGTGTCCTATTCTGGTGTCTGTTAAAGTTGTACCACAGACTGTATATAGAATGGATACTGTCTGCCTCCTCGCTGGGTGAAGCCGGCACCCTCTGGTGATGGGCTGCAGTATAGATCATAAATCCTGCCACCTATGGAGCTGTGGACAAAGTTTAGAAATTTATTACGCAGAATATACATTTTTCTCCCCCCTGGTTGCGATGTTGACATGTAGTTACTGTGAGACTGGTTTGTGCTCAAGTCCTCTTTTTTCTGTACAGCTTCATTTTTAAAAGCTATTAGGGGGTTCATGTTTTCTATGATTGACACTTGATACAGCCTGTGGGGGTATGAAGTTTATGTAGCTCATTCGGAGGATAAACTGTTTGAACTGAGCGTCATCTCAGCAACTCTCCCACTGAATGCGTATAACACTACTGCGCAAGTGGTGGTTCCAGGAGGTGGAAAAAATCCTGGAAATACTGAGAGCAGTTTGGCTTAAAATTTGTATAATGATGGAAGGCAGAGCCAAGTTGTCCATAGTATATGCAGTCTATGGATCGAACCTGTCCTCTGTGGGTCTTTTATACATAGCAGCACCTCTTACACTGCTCTTGAATTTGTAGTAAAATGTTTAGAAGCTAAATGCATGGTTTGTGGTGTCTCTTTCCAAATCCTTGCTAAACAAGACAGCATCTGATTAAAGGTAATAAATGAATGAGTTTGAGACCTCATTTCCACCTTCTCAGTACTAGTGAACTCGATTTCCTAATCTTAGCTGGTTAGACCACTAACTCTTACAGTAAAAAACTGGTTTCTTCCAAATGAAGACATAAACATTTTAAAAAGTTGTCTTGCTTACGTATGTTGAGCAGATAATGCTTGCTCTTGTTTCTGTCGCAGCACTCCAGGGACAGCACTAATGACATGTAATGCTTGAAGCTTCTTAGGTCCCAGGAAATGTCAGTAAGCTTTATTCAACTGTGATTTTTTTTCAGCTTGTCCTGGAAAAACTAACTTTGAGTCTTACAGGGAAAAAAAAACAACTCTTAATCATTATTGCATATTTCTGTAGGATAATTTAATATAACACAGCACTGCCAAATGCTGATTCTGTGCGATACTTAAAGTTAACAAATAAGACTTTGATTAATATGATTTGTGGCTTGCAGTAATGTTAACACTTATATTTCACAACACCATTTTGTCATAAAGCCTATTCTCCCTGACATTTGTCTCCACTCCCATTCTCTGGAGTCATCTTTTCACTTTTTCATCCCAAGGTTTTTCTCTTAAAACTTGCTGGAAAAACACACAGACAGAGCCAATTTTTCATCATCCAATGAGTGGAACAAGCTTCTATTCAGGCTGCAGGACAGGATACCATTCCTCAGTCTCTGGTTTAATTGTTTGACTAGTGCTGATGTTGTGGGAAGTGACTTTGCTGCAGTTGTTTCACACATTTATCATCTGTATAACGGAGGAACATTTCCCCATGCTTAGAAACACTGTGCCCTGCTTCAGTATGGCCACACTTCATGGGAAAAATCTTGGTATTGCAAAATGTGAGGCCTGCAGGACGCTGCCAGAGGTCTTGGCAAAGATGTTGTTTGTATATGTTAACAATATTCATTTCTCAGAAAAACATAGTCGTACTTTTCATGCTTAAACCCCTACACATGTTCTACTAAACCCCAAAGACACCAAACAGTGGTTTCTGTGGGCTGCTTCGAACTTCTTATAGTGTAAATTAGCAGCTGGGAAAAAGTACCAGTGGTCAATTGTCCATCCCTTGAACATTGCTAACTCTTGTTTTCACCAAATAGCTTTGACCCTGGCTTATTCATGCAATGAATACATCCCTACATTTCAAAACCTGGCCAAATGTTAAGACTACTCCCAGAGGTCCCCCAGTGAGACAAAACCAGATTTAGAAAGCAAACCGCTCCATTTTCTGTTTGACACCACTCCCTTTATCGACACTTAATCTCAGTAAGACCACACAGATACATTAAACCTCAGGCCCAAGGGTGGGAGAGCAGAGGCATATTTCTTCTTTTCAACATTTCATTTCACTCTTTGCTCTCCTCGGCCACACAGATGTGTAAAAAGACTCCCAGAGTAGTAGAATGGAAACACAGGGGAGACAGATTTATATTAATCCAAAGCTTATTTGTTGGCTGTCTCAGACCTTTTTGTTTAAATAGAGTGTTTAGTGCCTTTTTTTTTTTACTGTACTACTGTAGTGTAAGATTCCAGCAAACTTGAGACAGAGTTAATTATCATCAGCCACAAGGAGACTGATCCAGCACTAATTTGAGACTGACAATTTTGGCTCCATGCAGAAACTATGATGCTCTTTACAGTCTAGGAAAGAGCAGACTGTATTGGTGTAAACTGTCTTGCACTGCAGTGACATAATTTACATCAGCTCATTAACAAACATCAATTTGTCCCATCAGATACTTAAAATCACAACCCCAACTGACAAAAAGTAGTGACACTGTTGTCATGAGCAGCTCAAAAGAACATGGCAAATAAAAGGAGAGGCACAGAGATAATACTTTTACGAACAGATTTATTTACAAAAGCATAAATAATATAGCAGAAAAGGTGGGATGTGAGGGTCAGTGTCACCCCAGTGTTGTAAGTTAGTGGGTGGGTAGAAGGTGTAGTGTGCAGGTGCTAGTGGAAAAGAAGAGAAAGAAGTGAAACAAGGTGCATGAAGAGAGTCCTCCCGAAAGAACCAAGGTGGTAGCTTTTATAATGGGCACACTGGTCAGTCTGATTAAACAGCTGCACCCCCGATCACAGGCTGCTATGATTCAACGCAACAAAACAGGCCATTGGGCCATCACATTGTGTACACTATGAATAAAAGCAATATTAAATGATTTAAAAGTTATTCATACCCATTTATTTATTTGAGGAAACTGCAACATCAACATATCAGATGTCAAAATGGAAGAAAAAGTCAACAAAAGACGTCCTGTGATGCCTAAAAAAACACCTTGAGGAACTTTTTCCAGCTAATTAAGTTGGTTTGCCACATGCAAACGTCAAACAAGAGATGATGGGCTGAGGTTCCCCACTCATTGACTGTAAGGGTTAGTATCTTTGAAAAAAAAAAGAAAAAAAAAAAAACAGAAAAAAGTGCCAAATTGAGGATTTTATCATCTATAGCTCAAATTTTTTGTAAATTTTTCAGAGAATCTTTAGAAACCTCAAGGACAGTTAGGACAAGGCTAAATGCTGATGGCTGGATCTTTGGGCCCTGTAAAACCAGAAATTACTGTGGCGCTGAAGTCACAGGATTTGTGTAAAATCCCCTTTTAAAAACACTCTTTGTAAACACAGTTCATCACTTCATTCTCAAACACAGGTTATAACTGTACCATGCAAAGAGGAAACTATATACAAACAGTGGTGACTCTGGAACTGAAAGTAATAAATCCAAAATTTATTTCAAAATGAAAAAAAAAGCATATATAATTTTCTCACTGGTTTTGGAGGAGAATTGTCTGTAAGGACATTGGCACACTTTGTATGCATCCACATCTTTGGTGCACATGACTGGGCTGATATGTGTTAGACCTTTTCCAACCTGAGAGAATGACACCCAGCAAATCCCTTCCTTCTCAGCTGACATCCTTCTTTGTCGGCTGCTGTTGTAGACAGGAAAAAGGAAGTATTGGTGCCCTCTGTTTCCTCTGCTCTTTTGTTGAGTGCACAAACGTCTTTCCTCAGTGTTCTTTCTGTGTTTCAGTCTCTGTGACTATTTTTTACTGTCTTCGTGTCTTTGTTTCCATTCCATACGTCTGAGCCCCAGTTAGGGGTGTTTCAGAGTTTACACAATACACACATAGTGCTGTCGTCAGGTCAGACTTTGCTTGTGTCTTTAATTCACTTACATTTTACATGGATATGACCCCTGACATTCTCTGTTTGGCTCTCAGTCATCTCCAAACTTTTACACATCTTGTTCTTTTGACCTGAACGTGATGAAACTTGTTTTACAACATCACTTTGTTCTGGCTGAAATCCAAAAACAAGAGATACAAGTACTGGGCTATCAGTTTCATCTAATAAAGGTCTGATTTTCTTGGCTCTGATCAGAAACATCTGGGATCAATGAGGATTGTAAAGATATTATTTTGGTTCTTTTTATGCTGTGAAAATCAACGTATCTGTATTTATGAAATTTGATGTGTGTTGTATGTTTATGTTTAGATGTGGGTAGAAATTGATTTCTGTGTTTCAATAGAAATTAATGCATGGCTCATTATTGATCAAGGCCAAATTTACCTTGCAACACTACAGGCTGTACCTTACCTCAGCACTTGTATTTTACTTAAGATGTAAGGTTCAAATCTATGTTTGCATCTTTTTTTTTTGCAGACAGAGTGTGCCAACTTTGTTCGCCTCCTGCAGCCCTTCAACCGCACCCACCTCCTAGCCTGTGGTACTGGAGCCTTCCAGCCCATGTGTGCTTTCATCTATGTGGGACACAGAGGGGAGGTAAGCCCTGTTTGAGTGAGACAGTGTGTGCAAGGAAAGACCGTGTAGTGGGCGTACAAAATATCTTCAGAGAGTAAATGTCTCTGCACATTGCTCGTATAGAAAAACACACATACAGACACAGACACACAAACACATAATTCATTTGGGTTTCTATAACCACGGCAATAAATCACAGGTAGTTACATTTGATGGGAAACTCTGATATACAGCTGTCACAGTTATCTGAGACTCATATTTTTCTGCATGCGCTCTGAACTGTCTATACTTCCTCGAGGAAATGTTTGGAAACCATGAATGAAATTGAATTTTAAAGCAATTAGTAAAGCTGGTCAGTTTTAAAGTATAGCTGACCCTTGTATCCAATGGCTTTCAGTTGAGTACCCACCCTACATGATTGCAGACTTTGGAAATGACAAATATATCAGTTCTTATTCTGATAGTAGGGTTTGCATGAAGTAAGGCCTTGTTCTTTACATTTTCATTGATGCTCAGCTGACTCTGAAGTTGATTCTTTAAAGCATAATTATAAATGACTGCAAGCACACTTTTATTTAGCCTCTTGACATTAGCATAGTTTTATGGAGTCTGTCAACATGTATTTCAGTGGCAGCAGATCATGGAGTCATTTTTCCATTTTATGTGAGGAAGTGCTGTATTCATACTCATTTTTTCACTGGTATCTCTCGTCACAACATCTGACTCTAAGGATTACACTGAATTTCCTTCTTTGCTGTTGGGTACCTTTGGACAAATGTTTATGAGTTTTACTTGTGCTATATGGATCCATAGTTTATAGAACTGGGCATATGTTGGTTATAAAAGCCAGCTCTTGTATATGAACAGTACTTTGAAGAGCTTTTTGGGAGCCAAAAAATATGTTTTTGTTTTTTGTTTTTTTTTCTGAGTGCATGGTTACTGAAGAAATCAGTCAATAAGGACAGGTAAAAGACTTCAGTAAGTTACAAGAATTCATTTTCCAGCCACTAAAAGGTCTGAACAAGACATTAAGAAATGGTAGTAAGGAGTCAGGAAGCCACAGTATCATAATACATACAAACAGTACAGATGAGATGATAAGGAATCAACTGAGGCCCCCCGAAGAGTCCTGTGGGGGAAAGCAGGCTAATGGAACAAATATGGCCAATGCCAAAGTATTTTCTTTTTATCAAAACACAGCCTTTCTCTGTGCTCACATCTCCGGGTTCAAGGTTAAGCCTCAGCAGGCAGCTCTGCCGTGAGTCTTTCTGTGGAGCTACTCAGCCGCAGCGTCAGACCCTCAATACATCTTTTCAACCGCACAGGCCGGCTCCCCACACAGCCACTCAGCTCTGTGGGACCCTCTGCAGAGCCTCACACTTGGAGCCATTTGAAAGACACAAATCAATGAATGGAGCTATTAAGGCAAGCTCGTAGCTTACTGTTTCGCGGCACTTTTCCAAATGGCAGCCCGGTGTGCTGCCCTGCTGGGCACAGCACGAGGGGGTCAAAGTGGGCATGAGGGAGAGGGAAGCTGGATGTTGGTAAAAGTAGAGAAAGGGGAAATGAGACAGCGGGGTGGGAGAGTGCCAACCCTTCAGCGGAAAGAGTGTGTGGTTGGTGGATTGTGTACATTTAAGTACAGAGGGTTCATTGCTACTTCTATTTTTTCCTTTTACCATTAGGTGCCCGTCACTGTGTGAGTTCTTCTGTGTCGTTTTCCAACTCACCCTCAATCTGTCATCCTCAGTGTGGTTTTTGGACTACAAGGTTTTATGGCACATCATAAAAAACAGTGTATGTCCTCCTCTGCTTATACTGAATTACTTTAAGCTCTGCAAGTTGGCAGTTGCCTTAAAAGGTGGTTCATGAAACCCGTTTTCTGAAAAGTAGGTCGCCTGTTTGAGACCTGTTGGAAAGGCAGAAGTTGAATTCCAGGAACCATTTAGTAAATTCACTTAATGAAGTGCTGGCAAGTTATCCAACATAATATTTGTGCTGTAATACGGTGATTGTGTGGAAAAGATCAAATGCAAGTAACACTAATTTCAGGGGAGCAAAGGACTAAGAACTACAAAACCAATAATGAGCAAAGAAGAGATGTTTTATAAAATGTAAATCAAAGAAATCTTTGACCTTGGAATAGGAATGAAAAGAAACAGTAGATTATCTAAATACAGCAATAAATATATGAAATATGAAAAGGAAAATGCATTATTCATTAAGAAAAGTTAGTAGCTACTTATCATACCATGTATGGGTTATTTATCCCAACTTCCTGCTCTGTCTCAGGGCCAAATTAACAGAGCCCGTTGCACTAACACATCCACAAAGTTTGCAGATTTGTACATTTCGCACTGTTTTTTTGCATCTGATTATGGAGATGGGGTGTCAGCATTTCTTCCTCAGATGCACAGAGCTGCACTGTGCACCCTAATCCTGACAGGGCTTGTTTCTGTCCATGTAGAAATGAGACATTTTCTTCACACTCAGCAGTTTTAAGATGATGTGGGGTCTGCTCCTGACACATCTGACATAAATCTCACAGTTTATGTCCATCTTTCTTTTTGGGGATGAGCTAGCATAGAGCTGCCTGTGTGTCAAGGCTGTCACAGGATGATGATCTGATTTAGTTCAATTACTGTAAACATTGCATCAAAGGAATATTAACATTAATAAACTTGAAAAAAAAGTATTTGGATGATTGAAAAAGATATTTTCAATCATCATTGAAAAAGATATTTTCAATCATCCAGAGGTGGGATTCTCAGGATTATGAGAAAGATTAGGGGTAACATGTCTTATAAATACTACCAACTCTCAGCAGACATTAGATATTTCACCCCAACTACATGGCTGTTGGCGTTGGTGATTTTGAATCAGTGAGCTTTTACAATGAGGCTTATTTGCTAAAAATATATATATTTTGCCCAAATTAAATGCACAATACCTCATTTAAATGTTTGCAGAAAACACCAGAGCACAGTGATGCTATTTGCGCTGCACAGTTTGTGATGAATTTAATCCTGTGCATGTGCTTTGTGAATGCAACAGTGTCGTTTGTCTCATCTGCTCATCTGCACAGGTCTAGCAGGTGCATGAGTCACACAGTTTCCTTGAGAATCAGGTTTTTGTGTTTAAAGCTTTTGTGAATAATATTTTGCAGGTTGTGAAATGAGCTGAAATTGATACTGATGCCGGTTCATGAGCTACAAAAGCAAGCAAGACCATCTGCATAAAGATTAGATTTAATCCAGATGGTTTAATTTGGGAGCAGAAACTGTGCCAGGGTAAATGAAGAGATTAAACCTCATGCAGCTGAAACAACAATTTTTTAAATCATCAGGGAAAAAATCTTTATGAGCAATGCATTTGAATGTCTCAGAAAAAGCAGAATGAGTCTAAAAGCATGACTTACACATGTGCATGATAGAATCAGGATAGAAGGTATACTGTATGATCAACAGGAGCACTGACACAACTCAAAGTTACCCACAGGAGCTGTAAAAGACAGGGACAAGAAAGGTTAAAGTATCTGTATCTACAGTATGTGCCCAATTGGGCAAGAAATGACTCCCAAGCTGTGTGAGTGTAAAAAAACACCTCTGACTGATGTTAGGATACGTGTGTGTGTGTGTGTGTGTGTGTGTGCGTGCGTGCGTGCATTTGTGCGTGTGTGTCCTCTCAGCTTGTCAGTGTCTGTCTGTCTGAATGGAAGACCCCACAGGGATCTTGTCCATTTATTTAACCAATCGTTAACTGAATAGGAGAACACACACTCATCTGTTTGTGTGACCTCTCCAGGGCACTGAGGCCGTGAACCCTCGGACTGGACTCTGGGTGGGATGACCTTTGACCCTGTGGGTGTTTCATCTGAGTTCGAGTCAGACACACTCTGTCTCGGTTATGTCCCGTTTTCATCATCTTTTGGGGATATTTTAGGCAAAGATGTTGCAGGAAAAACAAAATGGCCCAGTATTGTTGAACAGCTGTGATGAAGTGAAGAAACAAGCGTTCTTGTTATTCCGACTCATTGAATTTCTCCTTAATAGTGCAGAAACTGCTTTGTCCTTCAATTCTGATCATATTTTATACTTTTGTCCGCACATTTTAAAGAGAAACCACCTCTCACAGCACCTCATTCACGATTCAGAACAGCCAAAAAAAAATTTAAAGTAGCTGTGAAATCAAATTTCATCTAGCGCGGCTAAAGTATGTCATAGTTAATGGAATACGTCGCCATTTCTTTATTAAATATGTCGCCATTTCTCATTGAATCTGTCACCAGCTCTGGTTTTGTTATTTCTGTAAGTGCCAAAACTAGGTTTGTGTTAACCCTCCATTCATGGGGTCATTAATCTAAAAATGATAACAACCTATTATCTGTGTCTTCAGTCTTTGTGTGTCTGCCTCATTCCCCACATGCACACAGACTCACTCTAATGTACAAACCTGGGGCCCCAGTGTTAGTGACACGGCTGCTTGTGCGGTGCCATAGATGTGAAAATAAACCACCGTAATTCAGTGACGACATACAGAGGACCAGACCCCCCTCACATACATTCGCGCTCACACACACACACACACACACACACACACACACACACACACACACACACACACACACACACACACACACACACACACACACACACACACACACACACACACACACACACAGTTAAATAAAACAAATGACACAAACTTGAATATATAAATATGTGGGGATACAGACAGTAACACACACAAACATGATGAAAGACATGCACAGTCAAACATAAATATATTAAAACAAATGTGTAAAGAGAGACACAGACTTACAGTTAAGCAGACATTTATATGCAACATGAATTACAACGGACAGACTGAAAAAGGGGAATCAGAGCTGAACACACATCAGCACATACAGAGAAATCACTGAACTCCTCAGCTGCAGGGGCGGCTCCAGAGGAGTGTCCAGGGGGAGGCATGAGCTCCCCAATAGTGATTTATTTACACAGTTAAAAATATACAGTAGTCCCTCTGTTTCATCAGTTGGTAGTTATCCTCATCCTCATCAACTTGTGGATCGAATTAATTCACTCTAAAGGTTAAACTTGAGTCAAAACATTTCCACTTTAACACTCCGAACATTAAGAAAACAACAGCAGGACTTCTATAATATAGTAGGGCCCTCATGATCTTAGGTTTCTATCACCCATTTCTAATCATATTTCTAATCAGCCCTGGGACCGAGAGTTCTGTGGAGGAGACATTGTCTCATTAAACAAACATGCTTTTATTTTGATATTTCTTTCTATCTTGGCTTTCAGTTGCATTATTTACTGTTGCTCTTTCTCTGGTCTTATTTTCTGGACTTTTAGGGGTTGACAATTTACCACCAATTAAAAGTTTTGATCTTTTTGGTTTTGAAAGTAATAGTAAAAATTTCCTTTTTTTTTGTTTTCGTCAGATTGTCAATAGGAGGAGGTGAAATCATAAACAGTCTACCAAATGTGCTGTAACTTCTCTCCACAGATTGATTTCACATGTCATGTGAAAAATAGTCAACACAGGCTTTTAGTTTGAGTTTGTTCTCATATGTAAACTTCATGCCACTCCAACACAGGTCAGTACACAAATGAGGCCACCCAAGTCAAAGAGTCTGGATCTGCCCCTGCTCAATTGAGTGTGATCAAGGACTGAAAAAGGAGGTCCCTGTCGAAGTAAAAGGCCACTTTGATTTCATAGGCCTTGTGGCCTTAACAGAAAATTGCTGAATCACTCATTTCCTCTCACCAAGATGGCAGAAGTCCATGTCAACCACATCAAGTTCACATGGGACTATTTCAAAGTCCAGGGGGCAAACAGCTCTTCAGCAGGGTCACCAGCGCAGTATTAATGTGGATAAAAAAGGGAACTAAAAGATTGAAAATGTAATAAAAAAATAATTGCTTGTAAATCACCAAGTAATTTTTCCCATGTATGTTTCCTTTGGATATCAGCCCTTTAAACTGGGAATGAATGATGCCTCTTATTTTATTGCTCCTGACTTTTTATGCAGTTACACTTCAGTTCCAGTCCATTTACTTGGCATTTAGAGTCTGTGATTATTACCACAGCTTTCTTCACTCTCAGCTTTTCCATTTTCCTCTTTTTATGTGGGATTTTTAGTTAAGTTTTGGTGAAAAGAAAAGAAAGAGGTGATTGAATTAGAGGGAGCTTCCCATCCTTTCAGATAGAGCCCAGCCATCAATTTTAATGAACAGTTAGGAAAAGACCAAGCCAACAGCATCCCAGTGAGGTATGTCTGCTGGCCATGCTGCCTGCAAGATGCTCAAAGTGAGTCCAGACCCGAGATCTTAACAGTAACACTAAGACAACAAAAAGCTCCTTTTGAGCATTAGAGATTGAACCGAGAAGCCTTGGTAGATGTTTCAAATCATCAAAATGATAAAGAGCAGTCCTTGTTAAAAGCTGTGGACTTTTGTCCGCAGAAAAGTAGATATCTCTTTTGTTTGACTTTCTCACTGGGTTGTATGATATAATCAGAAGTGAGAGTCCCCCTTGTCCTCCCGTTTGCCTGTGCTGCATGCACTATACTCTTTGTCTCTTGTACTAATGAGTTCACTCCGTTATAAGTTTACTCTGGAAGCTTTTCTATGGTTTGGCATCGTTGTAAAATTCTTGTGGTCATCCTCAGCATGTACACCATCTACTATTACTTCTGGTACACTTTATTTCTTGAGGTAAATTTAAACAAAATGACACTTCTGAGCTGTATCCAGCCCTTGCTTAAGAAATTCAGCGCTGTCCAGAAAAGACAAAGTAGGTAAGTCCTTTCTCCTATTCAAACTACTTTGTCCTGTTTTTTAGTTACACCTGCTACAAACTGCTAAAACAATACCATCTTGAGCCTTCAAACACTTGCTTCCTCCCTGTGTGACCAAGAGTACAGCACAAGAGTAATGCATAGATTCATAGGAGGCATCCTCTGATCTTGTGAGATGAAGCTGAGGCAAAAGTGCTGAGAACTGCAGTTTCCTGAGAGCCAGCATGAGGCTGGCTGCACCATGACACTACTCCAAAAAACATTTTTGGAGCAGGAAAAAAATACATTTAATGCCTAGATCAAAATATGATTTTGATACGAATATCTCTCATGGTATCTCTTTGGTCTCTCATGGCACCCACCGTACAGGGAGTGAATGATTAGTTAGACATTCATTTCCATGATATTATGGTTACAAACTTGGAGAATCAGAAGCACAGGTGACTCGACTTACAGGAAGCCACACTGTAGCTATTTGTGAGGGGGCTTGAGGTCTGCCTCTAGTAGGTTGGGTCAGCATTACCAGTATTGCCATAGGGTTCAAACATCTGATTCAAAAACCTATGTGTGACGACACCAGCACCATGTCCATGTATTATACAGGCTATAGACATAACTAGTTAGACTGACAGGCAGATGTGTAGTGTTTACCGGGGGGCCAAAAGCCTGCCTCTGCTCCATCTATTCATGCCTGTTTACAGGATGACTGAAAGTTGCTTAATTGTAACATATGTCTTGAAGGAGCCTGATTATATTCTCAAAACTGTTTCCTGACGTTGCTTCAAAGTGTAAAAGGCTCAAGTCAAGAGTCATGAGGGAGGAGCATGAGAGAAATTCTGCCCACTGGAATAGACAGCTGTAGAATAAGAAATACATTGCTCCTCATTTTCCAATTAACATTCTAATCAGCTCTTCAGATTTATTCTGATCAAACTGTTCAAGTCTGATAAGAGTCATGTAAACCTAATCACTGTTGTAAAACGGTGAGTTCAGAAAAAAGCAAAAGAATCTCTTTATTTTCAGGAACTAGAGCCAAAAACAATCATTACTGTTTTTTAAAGGCATTTTTGGGATGGGCTGTTCCTTTAAACAGAGGCTGCATGTTTGCTGAGGTTAGATTCCAGCCTACTGCCCTTTGGCTCTTTTCATTTCCCACCCTCTCTCCCATTTTCCTACTCTTGTCCACTGTTTGATCCCCTCATGGAAAAAATGCCTAAAAGGCCAAAAACAAATATAAAAACAGTTTAATCAGTAGTTAAAATCGGCTTTATTTGCCAAGTTCGTGTACACAAATATAGAATCTGTAGCCACTTGTCTCAGTGGTTTTGTAGTCGGGGTCTTGATGTGTTTGGCTTGGCACAGCTAAGAACAAAGTGGCCTGGATGTCTCTCACTTTCTCTGTATCGTATCTCTAGTGTGTATTTGCCTTGGCAGAGTGACTCTGAGAGTCTAATCAGCTGCACAGGCAGCCTCACCATTCCTCTGGATCATGGTGAGATAACGCAGACGCACACATGCACTCACAAACAACCCTAACCTGCATGGTCTATTATACCTACAGTGTGTCAATCTACCCGGATAACACACTCACTCACACACACACACACACACACACACACACACACACACACACACACACACACACACACACACACACACACACACACACACACACACACACACACACACTAATGGAGAACACAGAGATGCAATGATGTTAACTTCAGTAACAGGGGAGGTGCTGAAAGACTTAGAATGACAAATGAGTGAGCGAAAGGTGGTCAGCGGAGAAGAACTATAAAAGAGAGAGTGGATGCAGTGAGTTGAATTGGAAAAAGGAGGGCAAATGTTTTAGTGGACCCAGCTGTACCAATAAAAGATTCACAAAGGAGTAAATGTGTGTTTCAAGAATGGCACCGTAAGTATCTGTGAGATAAATCCAGAGGTGGCAAAAATGCACACATTCTCAATCCAAGGAGAGTTTAAGTTCCTTTTGAAAATACCAAATTTACATATTCAACTTCTTTAAGGAGGTAAAAGTGAGAAAATTCAGGTTCTCAAAGATGCTGAAAGTAAAAACCTCTGTGGGACATTTCCGCCAGCCGCTCTGAGCAACACAAACAAAGCCTCAAGTCACACTTGTGAGACTGATTAGATTTGATAAATCAGCTTTGTAATGGTGAATGTTTTGCAGCTCTTAATCTGCTCTGATGTCATTTGCTGGTTCATTTGATACATGCTGTCATGAGTTCTCCCCATCAGTCCACATTGCATTTACTCAACATCTTCTCTACAAGGTTCTTTGGTCCATTTTTTTTTTCATATCCTTTCTTTTTTGACCCATAACAAATACACGTACAAAAGGCCAACGTGGCATGTCGTATGAGGAAAACACTGATAATCTTTTGTGTACAACAGCTTTGTCTCTTTTTCTTAACATCCCTCCATCCTCTTGTGGGTTTTGTTTACCAGCTCCCTAGCAACACATTTATGCTTGTGAGGAGTATGATGATGAGGAGCATGTGCAGAATGCAGTTTTAGTCCAATAAAGCCATAAACATGAAAGAGGACATCAATTGTTATCCAGGTGTTTTCTGTCCAACTACAGGAACTTGGATCAAGGGCTATTTCAGTTCAAAATATACATTTTAAGTCTTGTTTTTTTGTGTTGCAAGTCTTGACTTTGTTGTGAATGTGAAAGAGGTACTGTTGCTGTACACAGTGGGTGCACCACATACACACACATAGACATGTACACACACACAATACTGTTCCTCCCTGCTGACTCAAAAGCTACAGATCACCACCTTCTTCCCTCTATTCTGCCTCAGCTACTACCTCCATAGAGGCAAAGGAGGCAGAAAAACTTTGCACTGACTATGTCTTTGTTGTTCCTCATTGCAGAAATAGTGGGGTGTATATGACCCACCAAGAAAATACAGTACACAAGGGCGATTTCAAGTTGATTGTGTCTCGTGAGGACTGAGGGGTATGACAAAGAATCATCTTTCCTATGTGTGACAGTTTCATCACCTACAAGGAGGACAATACAATACAATGAACAAATACAAGGAGGATAACACAATAATATATGATGAAAACTATGCATAGATGCACACCAAAAGTTACATACCTGTTTCTGAAGTATTATGTATAGATATTTGTGTTGGTGTCTAGATATGAAGAGAGCAAAACAAGAAAGCATTTGTGGTTTAATTCCTGCTTATGCAAAGAATTGTCTTTGCATGAAAGCCATCACAGCATAATTTGCCAAAAGTAACACTCCTCAAATGCTGGATTTAGGATTTCAGCTCGAATATATACATGTGGGATAGTTTTAAAATGAATCAGTAAATATCGTCTGGTGCAAAGACTCAAGTAAGAATGAAGAAAGTATATTTTTGTAAATCATCTTGATTAATATCACTGGAGGAATGTAGAGGGAGAGAGGATACAGGACTTTTCTCAAATATTCTTCATCAAGTTTTATTCAATCTGAGTATGTTCAAAGCCTTTTAATACCTGTGGCCCTTCATGAACATTCACAGAGTAACATCTGGATCAAATATTGAATCAACCGCCTCTACTTATTTCCTCACACCTGCTGGAAATGTGACCTGTAGTGTATTTCTGACTGTAGCAATTTGCACCATGTGTGTTTCTTGGCACATCTTATTTTATGTTTGTTTTTGCATGACTGAGAATGCATTACTGCACGTGTAAGCCATCATGTACCTGTGAGTTTGCATTGTCCATTATACTCTTCTGACATTGTTTTTATCGTGCTGACTTCAATGTCATCATCTCCCCTGTGACCAGGGTTCAGTGGGAGACTCACCCTTACTGTAACAATACTCCATTGTGTATTAGAGGAACAGAAAGTCATGGACATGGGTCAGTGTAGGGGCACTTAGATCATTCATATGGACTCAAACACGAGGTTTTACTGGAGGTCCTGTCATCCTTCATTCTCTTTTTATCGCTTCATTGGACAATGTTTGATCACACCCACCCTGCTCTGGACGAGACGGCCCAGTACTCTGATGTGGCTGAAATAGAAGGAGGAGGGCGATTAAACAAAAAGCCTTTTGACCTTTTCTTGACCTAAAAACTCACACAATCCAAGGATGTGGCCTGTACTATTGCGGTAAACTCAACATGCATGTAAATACCAATGAAATGGCAAATGTGTTTTCTAAATTGTTGCCTGGCTTAATTCTCTGTGTAATGAAATAATGTGACCTAAATCTGATGTTGGATGAGGATCCATCAAGTATTTTTCTTTAACTTTGAGTACATGTTAATGTTTTTATGACTATTTTTTTTCTCCTTAAACAATATTATCCATTCAAGGACTACCCTTTTTAAATGTTTTTCATTTTAAACACAACTTAAAGACGTTAAAGTTACAAGTTGTTTCACATTTTGCCAGTCTTAGATCTGTAGATGTGTCATTTGGTATGAAAACACAGACATAGTCATAGGATTTTTTTCTTTAAATGAACAGACGGAAACTGAGTTAGACGTCTGTATTGTCTTTTTGTTGCTGCAGCTTCTATCAACCTGACTGTGCGGTGAAAAGGCCAGCCGAGATTTCTAAGTCATCAAAAATGAAAAAATTTGACAGACGAAAAATGCCGAAATGATTTCTGCAAATCATGAAAGATTGGCACATGTTGGCAGCAGCAAGACAAAGGATGTACTTTTTGTTTTGTAGTTGAAAATGATCAATACTTTTATGATATTCTTCCATTAGCATGTTGCTATTTATTCATCCACTCATAATTAGACACTCCTCAGGTCATAATTCAGAAAACTAAAATGGAAGGAAAGAAATGAGGGACAAAATTAAACAGGATGAGGAAAAATAAAAAGTTTCATGGGGCTCTTCCTGTATCACTGTACAGAATGGAGGATCAACAGTGAGGCAAAATGTACTTTACAAAGCCAGTTTTAAAACAGCTTGTCAGTGTTTATTATTCCCAACTATGTATGTGAGGAGAGGCTAGTCAACTGAAAGTCCATTCATTCAGTGATACAACAGCTGCTTTAGTCACTGCTCTGATGAACATGAGTCTTAAAGGTAAAACATGAGACTCCGTTTGGCCTTTATTGGAGTTGGGGGGTTGTTGGGAGAGGAAGAAAATGGATCAAGAGGTTCAAACATTGTGTAGGACAACTAAACCTGAGTCGACTGACATTTCCAGTTATTAATCCTGGTGAAAAAACACGTCAGAGACTGTGTTTTAAGTTAAATGAATCTAGTATCAGATTATAACACTTGGCAACATTCATTCACGTAAACATCTGTGGCAATGATATGTATTTGCTTACCCAGCTTCAGAGCCTGCAAGATAATCTGGTGAGTGAGTGTGATCCTTAAAAATCTCACTGTTCTCTTCTGAACCGTCCAAATCCTTTTTCTGTAATAAAGTTTGGAATGTAAGAGCAACTCCTGTTTGATAACAGCCTTGTGCCCTTCAGTATCCGGCTGGCTGCTCAATTTAAGGCAAAGCTCTCAGGCTTGATCTCCACTGGGACCTGAGTGGGAAATTTGTCCGAGGTCTGGCAACTCAACTGATCCAGCATTTCCTTGTTTCTCAGACGGTGACTTAGTTCTCAGACAGACTCAAGAGTTCAGTGAAAGGACAAATAAATCTGTAACACAGGCTGGGACTGAAGTTCCTGTCCCTTTTTTATGTGTAAACTCTGAAGCAGAGAAGTGAAAGAATGGCTTTTAAGTTGGTCAAGTCAACTCTTTATTTGACAGTCTGAGCTGGCTCACTGTATGCCCATACTTGGTGAGGTGTGTCTTGATCAAAACAATGAATCTCAGATGCTCCAGTGAGCTGACTTGGTTTTCAGTGTGGAGAGGAAAAAGGTTACCTAGATGGAAATCTTAAAATCACCAAATGTTGATCTGGTTGATTATGTCAAATAGACCATTTCCTCATATAAATTATTGTTCTTTCTCTCACAGCACGTGTTTACAATGGACCCTACCAATGTAGAGAACGGACGAGGGAAGGTTCCACATGACCCCAGCCTCCCCTTTGCAAGCACCTTCAGTGGTATGTCCCATAAATGTTGGATTCATGCCGTTTTTATAGCAGGATCACCGTTGGTATTGTTCCAGTGCGTGCTTAATAACAGCCACATCCACGGTTTAATCCCTGACGGGGATCTGCTTTTTGTGTATAACCCTCCTTTTTCCTGTTTCCTCTCTGCCTCCTCTGTGAATTGTCAAAATAAAGGCACAAATCCCAAAGTCAAAAAACCAAGGTGTAGGATCCAAAGATGTGGGTGTTCTAGTTGTGTCCCTTTGCACAAAGCCTCCAACAACAACTGGACAAGTTGATCTGCTTTGACAAAGCTGTCAAATTAGTGTAGACCTTTTTAAAGCATTGTACTCTGTATCTGCCACATCTCACTACCTTAAATGACAAACACAGAGAGCCTGTTCTTTTCCTCTCTTTACACAGATCCCTGCTATTTCCTTGATGTATGTATCCCGAATCGATAATAAGACCAGCCAACAGAGAACATTTCTTTTGGCGCAGACACACACACGTAAACACAGTTATGCTGACTAGGGTGTTTCCCTCTGAACGTCATAGTACATTTATTCTGTGAAATTAGACTGATTTATAGCAGTGACAGACGATCCTGTAAGCCACTATGAGAGTATCTGCTTATGCAATCCTCTGTCCCACTATCCCTCAATCCGCGATTTGCAGCTGAGTATTTTCAGCATCCAAATTTTCCCCGGAAGACATTGAATTTGGCAAGAATACATTAAATTGTCACCTTTTTGGACTTCAGCACACAAAGGAAAATTGAACTTCTGCAAGAATATCCATGTTGATGTGTCTGTCCTTTCTCTTATGTTGTGTTCACACCAAGAGCAAATAAAACCATCCACTCACTTAATTCGTGCATATTTGGATGCACAAATGTTGTGTATGTACTTGCTTAAAACATGAGAATAACTCGCTAACTCGCTAACTCGCTAATTCATACCAAACCCCAGTCTGCAACACTGCATCCGATTTTGCCTCTTTCAAAAGATATGCACGATAAAAATCTCCCCCTAATCTCTTGCCATGCTCTTGGTCATAATTTTTTTTATTTTTTAAGTAATTTTTATTTTTATTTTTTTGCCTTTATTGAATGGATAGATTGGAGATAGAGAGAGATGGTAGAGGACATGCAGCACATGGTTGGGACTGAACTTAAACCTGTGACCACTGCAGGGAGCGTAATGCCCATACGTGGGGCACGCTAACCCGCTCGTCCATCTGCACGCCCCTTGGTCATGAACTTTTGACCCTTGTTCTTGTGTTTTTGTTCATCTTTTTCGTCTAAACAGTATCATCTAGCAGTAGCTTGGTCTCCTCTCTAACACTGAGCACATGCAGAGGTATGAAAGCTAAGATGATAACATGGTTTAAAGCATAAGGGTATCAGATTAAACTAAATGTATATGTCTCATTCAGGAAATGTGTTTTAATATTTCAGCCAATTAAGATTAGAAAGAATCAATTTACAACCATGAGATCACAGAAACAGCCTGTGTCCATGTGAGTCACCATGTAAGAAGAGTTTAAAAAAGGCATGGTTTATTTGAAAAAATAACAGGAGGACTATTTCCCAAAATAATCCCACATTAATCTTCATTATTAGAAAAGGGATGAGTGATTTTGGTTTTGAGCGTTTCCTGAGCAGCTGAGGTTTCCGTCTCATTTACAGACAGATAATCCTTTCTGATTGTACTAATGTAACGTGCTAGCAGTGCTGCAACACAGGAAAGGTTTCATTTCCATTGAACAGTGATATCAATTCCTTGAGCTGATGAAATTCAAAATGAGCCTGTGTTGATGGTGCTGGTCTCTGCGGAGGAAGGACCGTACAGTGTGTGTTTAAGTTTGGGTTTCAGGTTCCTCTCTCTGTATTCTACAGGAGATTTGTTTGATTTCCTCCTCTCTTCACTGGCATTTGCCGAACCACGAAATCTTTTTCCGTCACCTTTAATTTCCTCTCTGTTTTCCCTCATCGTGGCTTTTCTTTTCCCTAATCACTTTACCTTTTTGCTGCTGCTGCCTCACAATATTTTAATAACCTTACACATTTTCTTTAACTTTTACACTCCTCTCTTTTTCCTGAGCACCTCTCTGGTTTTTAAACTTTTCATGTCCACAGGTGGGGAGCTTTATGCTGGACTGACAGCAGACTTTCTGGGCAGAGACTCTGTGATCTTTAGAAGTATGGGAGGCCGCTCTACCATGAGGACAGAGACTGACCAGAAACTCCTCCATGGTGACGTATCACTCCTCTTTTTATCTGTTTAATTAAACAGTGATAAGATATTGTAAAGGGGTGATTTTTTCCTGCTTGAGGACATACTGAACAAAAAAAGGTTGCACAGTCAGTCCAGGTTCATGAAGTCAATGATACAGAGTGAAAAAGCCACCATGTTTGCAATAAATTATAAAATAGATCATCAGGACTCGACCCTGATTCTGACATAGGTAATGGGAGACTCGACTCACATTTAACTGGAGTTCCTCCCTGGTGATTCAGACACTGAGGACTTGCGACCAGATTTAGACTTCAAGTTCTGCACCTCGACTACAACACTGCCTTGTTGTATCACAGGTTAAAGAAATCAATATGCTTGAACCATCAAGGATACAACACATTTTTAAAAAGCATGTAATGTATGTTAAACAGCCAATCAGACTTTAGTGTTTTTTAAAGGTTGTGCTGTTTATTCTAACTAATTCAGCTGTGTTTTCAAGTTTGATGCTCAAAGGTAAGTTAACAGTATCTGTTTTCGGTATGAGCATCACCAACGATGACTATTAACATGAGAAATAAACAGTTGTGTTGTATCTAAGCTTGTTGTGTTGCAAAGAATTAGTCTTTGCTTAATTACAGCACACAACAGAGAGTCAAACTCTTAAAGTTCCAGAGCCACTAATTTCCTTGAAGACCTGTAACCAACCACAGTAGAGCATGAAAACACCCAGGAAACAGTCACCATTATTATTAACATTTACATGGACATCTCTAATTAATATGTCCATGCTTGACACACATTAAAGGTCATATTTAGATGTTGAGGAGAAAAAGAGAAAGCATGACTTCTTTTGAAAAATGTATTTATTCGTAACAACATTATCAGTTGATAAGTCTTGGTAGTGTGGCCAACTTTCTGTTCATGTTGGGTTTATGTTGATACTGATATGATATTGTCTTTATTGTAAAGTGTGAAGAATTGGCACTCTCCAAATAAAACCTGATTTATTAATTTATGCATGCTCATCTCTTCTTGTAGATCCCAAGTTCATTGCTGCCCACCTCATCCCAGACAACGATGACAGAGACGACAATAAAGTCTATTTCTTCTTCACCGAGAAGGCATCAGAGGCTGGGGACAGAGAGGGGGCCATTCATACACGAGTGGGACGAGTGTGTGCGGTAGGTACACACAGTATATTACAATACAATAAAATACAAGATAATAAAATACAATACATGCACTTTTTTTGTTCCTAAAGGGGAATTCATTTGTCTGGAATCTCAGATAAACTACAGATAAACAAAGTTATTATCTGACCTGCCCAGTGGTGGTAAGGCAGTGGCTCTGTAGGCTTATTTGATATTGGCATACAGCAGGTCCAGGGTTTTGTTAACAAACTGTGTTAATCCAGTCAGGTGAGAGGAGAGTGACATGGTTGAAGTCTTCTGATATTATTATTAGTGCCTCAGGGTGTTGAGTCTGTATCCTGTCAACAGTACCGTGGCGAAGATCACATGGAACCTTTGGGGAGATGTATACAAGTATTGTTATAATGCAGCTAAACTTGCTTGGAACATAATATGGCCAAAGAGTCACTGCCAACAGTTCAATATCTGGACAACACAACTTCTTGACAGTTCTGTGTGAAGAGTTACACCATTCTTCTTGCCAGTAGCTTGAGCATCTCTGTCTGATCTTATGAGAGTGAAGCCAGGTAGATCCACACTGGAGTCTGAGTTGTTTTGATTCATCCAGGTTTCAGTAAAACGCAGGAAACTGCACTCACGGCATGCTTTCTCAGTCTTCACCAAGATCTCCAGCTCATTGCTTTTGTTGGGCTGATGTTATGTGATTGAGTTATTATGATATTTCTATTGTGGCTGCACAGGAAAAAATCATAAAACAGTGATTTATTTGCAGAAAATCTGTGTAACTGATGTCTACCCTTGCAAATACATGCACTGGGTCTAGTTTTTATTTAAGTCTGAAGAGTAATTTATGGTTGCCCAAAGCAAGGAAAATTTTAAAATGGGAAACTTCACAGGAATTTGTCTCACATGCAGTGCACTTCCTGAATGGATAATCCAGTTAAAAAAACATAAACACTTAAAAAGATAGAGATTACCTCTATTGGTATGTGTGTAAGAATGAGGGGTAAGAACAGGTGGACAGAAGTGTTGAACACATCTTCATGGTCTCACAGATGAGACATCTGCAGGGATATTTCAGTTAAGCAGAGGTGATTTGTGAAAGCTGGGCAGTCCTTTTGGGATTCAGCTTCTTCCCACACAAGTCCAAGAGGGTCAATGAGGACACCAGAACAGAGTAAAGCGGAGCTAATAAGAGACTTGATTTGGACCCATTTCCACATGGTTACATTTATCTGTAGAGTGGAGCTCATAAGACAGGAGGTTAGGGTATGTATAGGGAAACTAACAGTACCAAACCCTCTCAAATACAAGACTTTGGGAACAATTAAATATTTATAATCCCCTAAAGGGTTGTGAAAGTATCATGATAGTCTCAATCTTATGAGTTCTTTCCCCTTCCAAAACACACACAGCTGTCAAATTTTCGAACAGTGATGTCCATCTGCTCTGCAAATTCTCTCACATTATTCACGCATTGCTTTGTGTGCTGCAAATGCAGGTATTGCATGAAAGAATACACTCAGACACTGAAATACTCACACTCTTGGAGACAGCTGCAGGATTTCCTCAGAGACTGATCCACGGTGCCAGAAAAGTTTGCACAAAGTAGAAAATCCCACCTAAACCTTCAAACTTTAACTCTGTCATAATTACTCCCCATCTGTCTCTCCCCACAGTGCATTCAGCTTTTTTCCACTAGTGCCTCTCTGTAGTGCTTCTTGCCAAGAGGCAAATTATTACCGCTGTTACTCATCACCTACATCACTGCATGCACACGAAAATGTGACTACAAAACAAATCATTCGACTCTGATGGAAAAAGAACATAAAACACACATGCTTTCACGCAGTGTGTATCCAGCATGAGCCCTGACACATTCAAACTTTGCAGGAAACAGGGGTCTGTTAAAACACTCAGAAGATGTGGGTTCATTTCTTCATAACTGCATGTAGAGAAAGCTATTATTATCTACAGTAGTAGTAGTTTTATAAAGAATGTAATGTGATCTTTATTTGTACTCACCGGATTATAAATAATAACAAGCTCAGTGGTCCCTCTCTTCTTTAGAGCACTGGATGAGATGTGCATGATTTCTAAAAAGAAAGTCAAATTGCAATTCCTCAGATGACTGGACAGTCTTCACCACATCTGTCCATCCTGAATGGACACAAGCCCAGAGTAGTGGGGAAATATTTGGTTACCTTTTTTTCACAGTAGAGTTTTAAGATGCACGTGTTAATGTAGCAATGCTCTGTATTTACAGACAGTGCTTTACAAAGGTGTTTTCAACCGCATGCAGTGATTTCCACTACAGAGTCAGGTCTGTTTTTTACTCAGTGGATCTGAATATCACAGCCATCAAGTCCAGTCTCCAGCTCTGCTATATCTGCTTGTTCGACATACTTTTGTTATCTTAATTTCACTTAAAAATACATAATGAGACAGTTAAACTTCTTGGCACTCCATCAAATTTCTCCTCCTCAGGGAACTTAAAAGAAACTTCTTCTTCCTCTTCAAAAATGACCTCTCTGCTGTACCTCTGTCAAACACCTTCAAATGTATTTTCCTTGGTGTTGATTTTCAAATCAAATCCAGTGTGCTGCAGCTCAAAGCCAAAACAATGGAACAGTTTTTGTAATTGATTATGCTGGTTTCTAATAGACTTATTTGTCTTTTCTACCAGAATGACGTTGGAGGCCAGAGAGTGCTGGTGAACAAATGGAGCACTTTCATTAAAGCCAGGCTGGTGTGCTCTGTACCAGGACCTCACGGCATTGACACACACTTCAACCAGCTGGGTGAGAAAACACATACTTTGACCAAAGGCCCCACATGTTTATGTCTTGACACATTTTACTTTTTTAAGCAATATTCTTTTACACAGAGGAGTCAAATGTTGTGTGCCTTTTGTGAAACAGAGGACATCTTCCTGCTGAGGACAAAGGATGAGAGAAACCCAGATGTGTATGCCATCTTCAGCACCATCAGGTGAATAAAATGCCTTAAAAGGTGTTACAGGTTGTGTAAATGTAACTATTTTAAATGAGTATCCTAAAGCTTGCAGTGTTTTGGAGTGAAAATACCGTATTTCAACTTAGCTTGATGAAAATGACTAATATAATTGACTTTGTTGTGTACAGTCCAAGGAAGACTACATTTAGAAAATGCTGTTTGTGCCAGAAAATGAAAAGATTGAGGCCAAAAGAAAAACTAGAAAAATAAAGAAAAACTTCAGATTTTTTGACATCATTACTCAATTTTTTGTCTTGATGTTGTTGCTTGTTGAGTGTCAACTTGTGACTGGTGGTTTTTGTCATATTTTTTTACCATTTTAACCTTTTCTGTCTCTTACCAAATCTGTCCACATGCCATCCGTCCAGTTTAAATAATAATGTGCATTTTAAACATTGAAGCCTTCCTTCTCTCGTTCATAGTAACGTGTTCCAGGGATTTGCTGTGTGTGTTTATCGTATGGCTGACATCAGAGAAGCCTTCAATGGACCTTTCGCTCATAAGGAAGGACCTGACTATCAGTGGGGAGCTTATGAAGGCAGGGTCCCTTATCCAAGACCGGGTGTGGTGAGTGAACTTTGACCTGTAGCCCTAAATGTACACTAAATTAAGAATAAAAAGAAAAAACTTTTGTGTGTGTAGTATGACCTTGAAATGTCAAATTAAAAAACATGCCTGTTTTGTTCTGCCCAGAAAATGAGACCAATGATTACCAAGTTTATTGACAGATAGAACAGGAAACTAGGGAGAGAGCAGGGACTCAAACCTGAGCAACCTGCTCATGTGGGGTGTGCTGTGCTCAGACCGCTTGGCCCCATAAAACAGCTTTTGTACTTTTTCTTTGGCATTAACTCTAGTGAATGATGCATTTCACTATTGAAAGCCAAAAGGACAGGGTATGAGTCTGAAAAGTCTATTTCCAGGTGTACAGGTCTAGAGAACATCTAAGGAGAAACACTTTGTCCTCAGGGGGCGCCAAATCCAACTCAAACCAAAAGTTCCTCACAGCATCTTTAGGTGTGACTTCAGCGTTCACCCAGTATCGGACTTGAAATGGGGAGGAACTGGTGTGAAAAATGACCTGAAAGTTTGAATACTTTGATCTGATATGAGCTAGTTGTAGAATTATCCATGCTTTGGACTGTGGTGAAATCAATGGTAAATCAGATAGTGTCAAGTTGGAACTGAAAAATTGTCCAAATACTGGAATCATTTTTCTGCAGCTCTGCATCTTCTCCTTGGAATGATAAGATAGTGGAAAACTGCTTTGTAGAAATATGCTCAATCCTGCTGTAGAGTGTGTGAGTAATTATCAAGTAACAAATGAGGTGTAGAAGTTTCCATATCAGCAAAGCAAACTACTGTATGTGATAGTGCAGTGGTGGTGACTGTACACAGTGCAGAGCCTCCTCCTGCTTTACATCCTGGCTCTCTGAGGAGACCTGTCATGTTCCCGAAACCAGATCACTGTAAAATAGACCTGTTTAACACACAAACCTACACGTGCAGGAAGCCTGAAAACACACTTTCATGTCACACATGTGGTTCCAGCTCATTAGAAGAGTGAGAGAGAGAGAGTGAGAGAGAGAAAGAGAGAGAGAGTGCATATGGAGGCAGAAGGAATATGAATAATGTGAGAGGAGAGCAGACACCTCTGTGGTTTCACTGTGCTGACTCCCTGATTAACAAAAAATGTTTTGGCCTAGAATTAGAGAAAAGGGAGGAATGATGGGAAAGAGAGAGTAAAAGAGAGAGAGAGAGAGAGAGAGAGAGAGAGAGAGAGAGAGAGGGAACTGGGGAAATGTAGGCTCTACAAGGGAAGGAAGTTAGGCAGCAGGGAAGAAAAAGATGTGAGCAGAAGGGAAGGCAGATGAGGGAAGTTAAATATGGATCAAAACTTGTTTGATGAGCAATGGCTCTGGATCTTTGCTGGATGTTTAGCTGAAGTTAAAATATTTATCTGTTTCCTTGCAAAACAGTTTAAAATCCACAATAATTCCTAGATTTTCCTGTCTTGCTCACACAAAACAGATCCTTGAAATTCTTTTTCGTCATCCTGGATTTTAGGACAGATTGAAGCTTTATATTGCATACTCGTCACGTCCTTTCACTCACCTGTCAAAACTCGCCTCAGGATGGAACATTAAAGTTCAGTTTTATGTTCTAGAAGAGTTCATTTGAGAGGGATTTAGTGGTTTTATTCCCCCCTGGATATTTATCCTGGACTGAAATACTGCTGCATATTGTTTGAATTTGTGTCAGAGTTCATTCTGCAGCTGAAGAAAGGATGAGGTAGTTTCTTTATTTTACTTTTACCAGAGCTTTGATGCTAATCTTACCTGGACTTAATTTTTCACTTTCAATCAGACATGAGCCGTCTGATGAGTTTCCCTGCTGATGTGCATGCTGACATCCATTTTCATCAAAAAGGTTCATGTTTGATGCCAAGATGTCAGGTTGCCAACGCTCACATTGTATCATTGCATACCCTCACATCCTTTAATATACCTGGACTGATTCTCTTGGATTGCTTTCTGAGTTTAAAACCCCATTCTTGGTCTGTTTAAAACCAGCCATATGACAGTTTGCTGTCTCTGAGCCCCAGAGAGATTTACAGAGGTAAAGCAGGTTGTCCGTTAATCAGTGCTTTCCTTGGCCCCTGCGGTCCACATGTCACAGAGCCTGTTTATGAGGAAACATTCAATAGATAATGCACAACTATTATAGTATTTTAACCATAATTTTTCTTTCTTTTTTTTTTTTTACTTAAAATGCAAACTTTGAATCCTGGTTCTGGGGTGGAATCTTAAAAACATGGTTGGCCAGGTTTCCCAGCTAGCAGCAGCTATTTTAGATAAGATGAGATGAGATAGATGAGATGAGATGAGATGAGATAGCAGCATCAGTATGTACAAAAAACAACAGAATGATCAAAGATTTCATAAAACTTAAGATAAATTAAGTATTTATAAGATATAAAGCTATGGACATTTGCACATTACGGTTAAAACAACTTCTGCTAAAACTACTTCTGCTGCAGCTCCTTCTCGTCCTCTGTCCTCCTGTTACCCCTTCACCTCCCCAGAGAGGAGTTGGACAGTCTGATGGCATGAGGGACAAAGGAGTTTTTCAGTCTGTTGGTCCTGCAATTGGGAAGGAGCAGTCTGTCACTGAACAGGCTCCTCTGATTGATGATGACGGGGTGTAGAGGGTGATTAGCATCGTCCATTATGTCCAATTGTTTGTCCCTTGTCCAGCTTCATGCTCGTCTGATTAGTTCTTGGATGCATTCAGCAGAGATCTCAAGATTTGTATGTCCTTCAACAAGCTTTGTGTTTTATTTCACCACTTCTATCTATAAAGTGCCCCCATTAAGATGTCAGTCCCCCTTTTGTTATTTTAGGTGTTTAGGCTGATTGATAGAAAAAAGTCATTGAAATCAGACTTCAGGCTTCTCTCAGATACAGACCAAACCGCAGACAGCACAAAGAGAAGAAGAGATTTCAAACCTCTCCTACTCCTCACTACTGGAACGGTCTTTATTTCATGTTAAGGTTTTAAGCAAGAACTACCGTGTTAAACACTTCATAAATACATACTCAAAGGCTTGGTAATAATCTAAATCCATCAAGTACTCAAAATTTCTCCCCCCATCTTGTCTTTTGGCACCAAGTTGAAGCTTTAAAGCAGAGGACCTGCTGCAATGAAGTTTGGATGAGTTGATGACAGATTTTGGAGTGATTCCAGTTCAAGTTTTTTATGCTGTGTGAACAGATGAGATTCAGTTCTGTAGGAAGTGTCAAACAGACTGTCATTTCAAGGATGTACATCGCATGTGTTTGTGCCAGAGGGTTTCCAGGGAAGGTACGCTTGAACTTCATTTTGGATTATATAAGAACATTTCAATGCATGTGTTACTTATGATAAATAATCATGCAGCAGACAAATGTACATCTATGGAGAAGGGGTTGAAGTCAGCTATAGTTTCAGACTTAGGATTGGATTTACTCTCACATTCCACACCTTCTGGAGTAAATTATAATTGCTGACATTTGGTAAACCATACCAAGAGGAATGTTCCATTATACAGCAACAGCTTTTGCATTTTGAGTCAGCACAGTCCAGATTCCTCCCATGAAATTGAATCCAGACCACTGAAGGGCTATTGTGAAGATCAGTTTCTGGTGTGATAAGCAAAGTTACAATATTTTTACCATATGGATATACAGCCTGTAATAGTAATTCAGGCGCTGGGATTTATTTAAATACCACAGTTTTAATGACCGAGTGCTCTTTCAACAATAGTGTTCTAAACTTAATATCAATTCCATCCTTGTTTTGATCACAGTTTATTATGTTTGGCCAAGTTTTCAGCCTCATGACTTTTACATATGCTTTCCTTTAAGTCAGTCCATAGTTACTTTCTAATCCGAACCAACACCCCCCTCAGGAAATGATGGTTTTCTCAGTTTGTAAACTGCTGACTGTCAAATTACTGATCTCTTCACTCTCATAGACTGTGATTTGCATCCCTGAGTGAAATTGTCATACACCATAAAGCAAGGACTATTATTATTATTGAGATTTCAGAAAAATTACTGCGATTATTTTTAAATCATCTCCTCTAAATTATTTTTTTTTGTGAATATTGTGGCTACTGACTTATAAAAAATACAGAATCTAACAACTTTATACCAGGTGGACGGTACAAACCTGTAATTTGACAACAATGATAATGTAAGCAAACAACACCAACTACTCTAAATGTGGATGGATAATCAACTTCAAGTTTGTCCTGATCAGCAGATGGAAACAGCTCTTTTATAAGAGCATGACACTGCTGCGCTGTGTGCATGCACAGAACAAATGTAAGATGAGGAGTGGAGAGAGACTGGAAATGTGCAAATCAAAATCTAAACCAAACTGCATACTGCTCTCAAAGTAAAGAAATACTAAAAGGGAGGTAATTGAGAGAACAGTGTCAAATCCCAGGTCACATACAAACATATACATGTATGCCTTATGTACACTTACTAATGTGGTCATGGTGTCTCTATTCATGTTGGTCTTCATCCTTGATCAAGCCCTACATTTCCTACACTAATCCTACTCTGTGTTTTTGATGGGTAAAGAATTTCATATTTAGTACTCTGTAATTCCTAAGATATCCAAAGAGATCTACGTGAGGATACCAACTACTGATATATGTCATCAGAAACACTATGATTTTATAAGCAGAACAGGACAAACATGGAATGACGTAAAATTGAAAAAATAACAATAATAAAAAATTATTGGACAATGAGATGCGTTGACCATTTTATCAACCTTCTATCATTATTATCATCATTATCATTATTATCATCATTATCATTAAATGACTGTAGTATGTACATGCATACTTGTGTGTGCAGGGCACTTATGGTGTGAATTTGTGGTTTCTTTCAAACATAAATGAACTTCATTTTTAGCCTTATCATTGTCTTGTACAGTATAAGCTAATATATGTAAGTTTAACATCTAAAGTTTGCTTTTAGGACTAATCAAACTGATTCTGACCTTATTCTGATATTTTTTTCAAAGTTTAGCTTATTTTTTATTTGTAATTGGAGAATTTTTTCAGTTAAGACCAAACAGTATAGAACTGAAAGTTGACAACATTTCATTTTGAATTATTTAATCATAAATGGCTTTCAATAATGTAAATCAGCCAGTTATTTTGCAGCAGCATTAAGTTTGGTGTCAGAGTGCAGAAGAGACAGTTTGTTGATTTTGTTCCCACCTAAGGACAAATACCGCACAAGAAACTTTAGTGAACTGTTAATAGATGACGTCCACTTTCCCTCTCTCCATTCATGCAATTATTGATTGCTTAAATGGCGAGATGAAGAAAATAGCTGTTACTTATGATGGCTTTGAGTCCATTACTTCTTAATAGCTCATCTGTTTTTTGTTTTTTTTTCCAACATTTTCACACATCTTGTGCCATAGATGTGTGAAACAGTTCATTTGAGCTTTTATAAAACAGCTCTGCGTGACTAAAACCTTGGCTTATTTGCTGATCTGAATCATGGACTAACCAAAAGGCCTCATGGTTTGTGTGTAAATGGGTTTATTGGGTAGTGTTCAATCCTATTAATGGTTTGAGTTGTACAGTATCTCATCCAAGAGCATGTACAACCATTTTCTCTGTGACACAAATTGGAGGGTTTTAAACTCAGTGCACAGTCCTCTACCCATGGAGCAGTTTTAAACGTCTACAGCCAAAGCTCTACAACAACAATTTTAAACTTTAATAAAGCTCTTAAAGGCCCAATAAAAGTGCTAATGAGGGATTTTAGACAGGAAAATGCCACAAATCTGTCTAAAAAGCATGCCACCAGTGGAGTTAAACACTCAGATCATAGTGTCACTTGGTCTGAAATTTGTTCCTCTCTTATTCTCTTAGAGTATCATATTATTAACCAAGTTTCCAATCAAAATAAATTGGTTATAATCGCTGTCTCTTTTCTTCGTCCCCCCTTTCTTTGATACTCAAGTGTCCAAGTAAGATCATCAACCAGCCAGGCAGGGAGTTTAGCAGCACAAAGGACTTCCCAGATTCAGTGCTGCAGTTTGCACGCAACCACCCCCTGATGTGGCGACCGGTGCACCCGGCCCTGCGCCAACCCGTGCTTGTAAAGACCAACATTCCTTACAAGCTGAAACAGATCGTGGTGGACCGAGTCGAGGCAGAGGACGGGCAGTATGATGTCATGTTCATTGGCACAGGTGTGTGATTTCATACCTTTGCATTTCTTTTTGCATTGTTATTGGGGATAATGCTGGGGCAGAGAAATATTTGGATATGTTGTTGATGCTTAGTTCCCTTTGTGTGACCTTGTTGCTTACAGTATGTGTTTTCCTGCTTTCAGACGTTGGAACAGTTTTGAAGGTCATTTCTTTGCACAGTGGAAACAGTTTGGAGACAGAGGAAGTTACACTGGAGGAGCTACAAGTCTTTAAGGTAGATTTAATTCCACTGGTTTTCATATTGATCCCCTCTGTTCTTTCTTCGTCCCCAATCATGGTTCCCTTATATTTCGCCATTTACTGTTAGAGGTGGTGATCATTCAAAGCACTCAGTTGAACCAACTGGCTGCTCTCGGTACCCAGGGAATCAGGCTTTTGTGGTGGCTGCTCCCAAACTATAGAGAAGTCTATTTATATTGAATACACTCAGTGGCCTATCATTTATTTGATCATGGATAAAATAAACTATCATTTATTGTTATTGAATTTCCCTTCAAGGATCAATTAAGTTATTCTTATTCTCATTCTTATCTTATTCTTATTTACAAATTACTACTTTAAATGGACTCTAACTCCAGTTGATCTTGTCTATTTTTAACAAGTTGTTATTCCAGATTGTCTGGCAGATCCGTTATTATTAATCTGTAAAAGTCAAATCTTGGATCTGCATTGTTTTTATTCTCATACAATGGTTCTTTCGTCTGTGTGCATTATTTTTTAATTGTGCTTTATTAACAAATTTGACTTGATTTGCTAATGGGTAAGTTGTTGTCATTTTTACAGGTGCCAACCCCAATTACATCCATGGACATCTCCGTCAAAAGAGTAAGTATCACAAGTGTGAGTTTTATTTGAGAGCTTGTTAACTTGAGGAATCTATGATTTTAATCATTTTTCACCTTTTATTTGGGTTCTCCTTCACAACAGCAAGCCCTGTTTGTGGGCTCTCCTACAGGAGTGGCACAGGTAAAGCTGCATCGCTGCGAGACTTACGGGAAAGCCTGTGCAGAGTGCTGCCTGGCTAGAGACCCTTACTGCGCCTGGGACGGATCACTGTGTTCTCGATATATGCCGAACAGCAAAAGGCGCTACCGCAGACAGGACATCAGGCATGGGAACCCTGTGCTGCAGTGTATGGATCAGAATCTGAGTGGTAAGTATGAGTCTCTGTTCAAACATAATTCGCTCATTGTTGGGAATAAAGTCAAAGACAGCTTACATCTTCAGTGAACAACAGCCCAACTATAGTGCCACAACTTGTTAGTTTTGCACTTTTGTTTTGAGGGGATTAGACAAAGGAAAGAAAGAGATGATACATGTTAGAGATGCTGGTTTGGGTCAGACTGCCTGTCATCGGACTCCCAATCTCTATGCTGGAGCTACAATAGGCAGCCGCTGGCTGTAGCTTTATACTGACAACAACGACTTGCAGGTAGCTTTGCCAATGCTTGACAGGTGAGGTTTGGATTCTCTTTTAGCTTTGCCGTTTTAAAAATGGAAATTCTGACTTTAAAAAAAGGGTCAAATATGGTGCACTTGATTGGGTATTTTCTGAACAGCTACAGTATGTCAGTCTGGGACACCTAAAAAGTAAATTTGTATGATTTATTGATCACATGGTGGGGTCCATGAAAACACTCATTTCAGCACTTTTCAGCCTCAGCCTGAAATACTTAGTTTCGACTGCTTTTAGAGTTAGACACAGCTTGTGGGTGTTACTTTTTACTCCGTTTTGTTGTGTATAACCACCCTAAAGTCATGCTTTTACACAAAATGTGGGAGGCTGGCCAATAGTGACCACTTAAGCTGCTCATTTAGTCCTGTTAGCATATGTTTATTCTCATCACATTAACTACCGTTGCAGTGTTACTGACAGCTTGTGGTTCTGAGCCTTCACTGACACTCTTTTTAGACTGAGTAGGTTTTAGTAACTAAATGATGTGTAAATGTATCTTGTACTGGCCTCTGCTAACAAAGAAGTCAAGAGTTAAGTGGTGAGCACAGACAGCTTTGATATGGTGACTGTCGTCCCACAGCTGTGACGGTGACTCAGGGTGTCCATTGTAATAATAGGTCAGTACTACCTAATAACAGATTTTCTGCATGTCTAGAAACCATGGACTGTATGATATACTCTTGTAGATGTCAACCATTTGTTTCCAGCCTATCAGCATTGGTCGCCATATTGGGAATGCTGACTCATCGCCCAACTAGTAACCTTAATATCTTTGAAACAAATGTTTGATAAAAAAATCTGATTGATAGTGCTTTCAGAGTTGCAGCTCACTCATAACAGCTACCTAGGGAACCTGGAAACAAATCCAGGGATTATGCCGCCATCTGCGTATCTCATGCAGTGGAATGTTGCCAAGATTTGGTTTGGACATCCAACTTTGTAACACTATATGCATGTATCCAAATACACATCAGCATAACAGGTCCCCTTTGAAACCTGTCTTGGCTTGAAATCCATGTCCAAAACTAAGTAAAGGTTTCCTCCATTTCAGATAAGCATTTTCTTTTGTAACATCTGGACATGGACAGCGCTTCCCTTACACTCTCTAAACTGTTTGGCCGTGGGTGGGAAGAACTCCATCATGACCCTGCGCTTGTGTAAACTGTCCATGAGTCCTGAACCCTTTTAGTCCAAGGAAGATGCTGTTGGATATGTGCCAGCCTGATGAAAATTGTCTGTGTTTGTGCCTGTAAGGGCCAGTGTATGTCTTTGTGTCAGGATGAAAGCCAAAAGGTATTTACATAAAAAGTCAGATTTGTACAGGTCAGTTTATCCTAACACTTAGAAACAGATGGTGTACCGTGTTACTGACACAGAATGCATTTTCGCTCCTCAGAAACACACATCTGTTTGAGTAACACAACATAGATAATTCATGTAGAACATGGTATTATACTTATTTCTCACCAGAACTTTGACCTCAATGAATGTGAGACATTTTAAGAAAATATACGCTAAGACATCCTTGAAATGTATCAGCAGATTTTCCCAATCACAGACAGAGTGTGAAAGGAGAAGAACTGAGAGACTGACGGATGAGCTTAAACTGTCAGCAGACATTTACTGTTCAAAAGCCATGAACAAAGTCAGAGGATGTCATACTTGGAGGATGGATAAACAGATAAAGAGGATTTGGAGACATGGGTAAGAAAAAGTATGAAATAAATAGATAAGTAAGGATAAGGAGAGACAGGAAGGAAGAATATGTGCGTGGGATGGATTTTTGTCAGCTTTCCTGAGTATAGATAAATACTGAGGTGTTGAAATATGTCTCCCTAAAGGCCTTTAGAAGAAGTCAGGCTTTACAAGCTTCCTTTGTGCCAAGGTGTCAATCCCCAGAGGCGTGTTTTCTTTTCTTAGTCTGACATGACATCCTCACTTACGATGATGACTGTATGTGAAAGAGTTTTTTCTAAACGTTAACAGTTACAGCCTTGAATGGCTTGTGATTTGCACTGTCACATATATTTATCAGAGAGTGCAGCCTGTTTGGAGGTCATGCCCCAGCCTGTCATTGTCTAAAGTTTTCAGAAATCAGTGTTTCAATGTCAATAAAATCATTAGTTTTTATTGTTTGTCAAAGGAGTAACATATTAAGAGTCTCAGTACACGTTGTGATTTTCGGTATTCTTAAAAAGAGCTTAGCAAGTTGTTTCTATCTGGTTTCAGACGTCAAACTTTGCTACCAAGGCAAACAAGTCCAGTGCCTCCATCCTGAATATGTGCAGAACAACAAATATTCTGACTTTACACCATACTTTGGTGTTTTCACTCTTTTTGTCATTTTTCAAACAGAGGAACTCGATGTGACAGAGGACAGGGCGGTATACGGCACCGAGAATAACAGCACCTTCCTGGAGTGTGTCCCTCGCTCTCCACAAGCTACTGTTACCTGGTTTGTCCAACGTGACAGCCATAAGGAAGAGGTGAGGTGATGAGTAAACCGCCACGGGCCGAAAAATCTTTTCATCTCAATGTGTCCTAATACATCTATGATGAAGGGAAAGGTGGGGAAACTTTGGGAGGAAGATGGGTGAAGGAAATGAAGAGTAACTACTCTTTAAAGTGAGATTTAAGTGTGAATTTGGCATGTGCTTGACACATTTAACAGCTGTTCGGCATATGGCTGAAATTAGCAGGATCTTTTCAAAGGAAAGTGCACGGCCGCTCATTCTCTTGGATAAACAGTAAATTCTGTGCAAATCTTGACCACATGCCACTGAAAGCTGAAGTGTCGCATCATGTCTGACGGTTGCCCTGACTTAAACATGGTGTAGCAAAGTACTTAGAAAATAACATTCCCATGTTTATCCACACCCTCAGTAATCATTCATTTGTTTGAGGGTATGTTTCTTTAAGCTTAGCTGAAAGCCTCGGCCAGCAGTGCAAGTATTAAAGCATTACCAGCACTCTCCATTTCCTTGCAAATAAACATTTGGCTGTCAATCCATCGGACGAGGCTGCTGTGTGTGTTTTGGCATAGGGGGATAGTTGGACAAGCTGAAGGAAGGAATCTGGAAAGAGGGGAAAGATCAGGAGGTGTACAGAGTAAAGAGAGGTAAAACTGAGTTTCAGAGAAACCTGGTTGAAACAGGAGAAAGTACGAAAAAGAAAAGAAAGTAAAAGTAAAAACTGTCAGTGACTGGGCTTCTATGTACATTATTGCTATTGCGTCTCAGGCTGAGAATACAGTACAAAGAGCCTTTTTCTCCCTCTTTGCTTTCTCACGCAATGAAGTGGATTACAAGCTCTTGGCCCCAAATTTCCCTGATTTCTTTTTAAAGTTAGTTTGCATCAGCCAGATGAATCCGTCTTTGCTGCATACAAAGTTTCAGGAAAACTGTATTTATTTACTTCAATTGAAAGGTTTCAAAATCTGCCCAGTGTGAGACACAGTTAATAGTTTTAATAGTCTGTTGGTTTTGTTAGATAACAACAAATTCAGAGTGCAAAACTTTGCCCACAATCATTTTCCTGCCTGCTGATATTGTCCACCTTCTGTCTCTTCGGTTTGTGTTGTGAAACAAAACCAGTGCGATAGGAAGAACACTTGACAGCTGTTGAGGGACTCATTTCCAGTCACTTTTTTCCATCTTCAGGAAAGAGCGTACATGGATGTGAAGACTGTTTAGCTGAGGCTTTGACCACATTGACAAAAAAATCCAGTGATCAGTTCATACACACAAATGAACATTTTTAAATTTCAAGTTTAATGCTAGCAAACATGTTTCTCAAAAGTTGTAACAAGAACGACAAACAAAAAAAGACCTGGAAGAACATCTCCCAGCTAATTAGATTAATTTGTAACATGACTGAGTTTAAAAATCACATTGCTGAGAAGTTGTGGAAATTAAGATGGGGGGGGGGGGGGGGGGGGTTCACCACTCTGTGAAATACTGAGTGGGAAAATATTTCATTTATTCAGAATAATGTTTCAGCCTGAAATTGCAAAGAGCATGGAGATTTCATCATGGATACTGTACATGAGATCAATAAAAAAACTGAGGAGAATCAAGAGAAACTCCGTCACAAAAGTGTCAAAGTTGACAACGGAGATCATTGAACTCTCACTGGCAGCTCTGCATCAAAAATAGGCATGACTCTGGAGTGGAAATCACTGCATAGGCTCAAAATCACTTTTTACACAGCTTGTAGTTGCATCCATAAAACTGCAGGTAATATCTGAACCACATGTGAACATGATGCAGAACGGCTCTCTGGGCCCCACAAGTAGGCATTTCTAAAACTCATTTCCAGTATCAAATTGAACATGCGCACTATTGTCAATTTAACATGGGGTTCAAATAAAAATTGAACCCTCAGATTCTGTTTTATCAACATTTCACACAGATTCTTTGGACTTGGGGGTGATAAATCTGTTATTTGTTGTTCTGTCATTTATGTAAGTTAAGTAAGTTATTAACCACGCTCTTGTCATTTAGGTGAAGCTGGATGATCGGGTGATGTCAGCTGAGCAGGGTCTCCTGTTCCGCCGACTTTTCCGCCAAGATGAAGGCGTGTACATCTGTGTCTCCAGAGAGCACAGCTTCACACAGACCCTGGCCCGCCTCACACTTGAAGTCCTCCAGGGGGAGACTGTGGACGAGCTCATGGCACGCGACAACATGGCCAGCCTCTCTGACTCATTCAAAGACCGGTCCACAGGAAGCTACAGGGCTTGGATGCCTTGTGCTGCTTACAGCAGGGGCTCATCCAACCAACTGAGCCAATCACGTACATGGTTCAAGGACATCATGCAGCTGATTGGGCCGTCCAACCTGCCACATGTGGAGGAATACTGTGAGAGGATGTGGTGCAATGACAAGCTGAGGAGGAAACACAAGAGCATGTTGGAGAAGTACCGCCAGGCACAGGAGAGCGCCAGGAAGGCTCGAAGCAAGAGCTCCGGTGAGAGGAACCGGACACCAAGGGATCTCAGCGTGTGGAAAGAGTAATGGAGAAAGAGAGAGCAAAAAGGGGAGAAAAAGACAGAAATAGGGAGGGACAACATTGAAGTTCAAGACAGGATGAAATGGTCAAAACCAGCATCAAATTCTAACTGCAGGACTTACTGACTTGCATTTTAGAGGATGAAGAAGACAAAAGAAATATGTTTCTCCAGCTCCTGAACCCAACACAATGGATTTTATAAAATAAGTGTAAATAAATGTGAGATTTTGGGGGTCAGATCTAAACATCTGGCCCAAAAAACCATCACGTCTAGCTGCCTGGGAAGACTTTACAGCGACAAACTTCTGCTGAACTGTACTGAGCTAGACTGGTTGTTGCCTTTGTTATCGTGTTGATAAAAAAGAAACAAGAGACAATCTTTAAAATATACTTCAAAGATGTTTGTCGGACAAGACTTTCCTTTTTGCACCCAATCCTAACCCTATTGAAATGTCCTTTCCAATGAAAACCTTCAAGACCTCTCAAGACTTATGGTGTAGACACGCTTGTGGACCGACTTTACCAGCTGCCTCATCAGGTGTTTTCAGACTAGAGGTTTATCATGTCCACAAAGTGGGTGTGATTTTAGTTCTTCAAACTCTGACAAGTCAGTGTTGTAGAGTAGACTATCTCCCAGTGTAAAGAAAGACCCTAATTAACTTCAGTGTTTGTTGACTTCCATTGTCATCATACAACATTAGACTTGTAGTGAAAGTAACTGAAAATGTGGAGCCCTCAGTCTGTCTCTATTTTAACCTTTATATAGACAGGAGATTACATCAGACCAAACCTTTAAAAAGAAAACTGGTTGAGTCTCTGGTTGATTTATTCAGTCCTTGTTGAACAGTCTGAGTTGAATCTTGGGACTTTAAAAGAGAGGAGCACCCGTTCAATCTGTAAACAACAACATACTACAAGATCTGACACATTCACTGGCTCTCCTTTTGGAAAGTCACAATTCAGAATATCATGGCTATGAAATATAACAGGAAACACATTATTGTGATATTTATTGAAAACAGTGCAAAATAAGTCAGAGTGGAGTGACACATTACTTTTCAAACCTAACGAATAACTTACATGTCAACATCTATTCCTCATGATGTTCAACTTTATGAATTCCCACATCACAAGCACTGTAGCTGAAACTTTTTAGTCATGATTTTATTTTGATATTATTTTCTTTGTTATCTTGAGGTTGCTCACTTTCCCAGGTAAAACGATGTATATGCTACTTCCACTTGATTGTAAGTCACAAGACTGAACAAAAACAGCTAATTGAACAATTTGAATGTGTAGATGTTAAGGTGATCAGTAACCCCAAGAGTGCTGTCACAGCTAGCTTGCTAGCAGCTGCTGCCTCTTCTTTCTCTTGCTCAGTTTTATGGCAGGAACTCTTAATATTACAGTAAACCATTTTGTGACATAAAATCAATATTTCTTTGTTTTAAGGTGGTTATTTTCAGTACTGGTATATTTTGACAGTTCTTTTATCCATCTGTTGTCCAGCCTATCAAGTTAGACAACGTAACTAACGGCTATCACTGGATTCCTCTCTCTCCGGTTTTGTATTTAGTGCTTTATGTTGCACTCTTTCTTTTCAGTCCTAGATTTTTGTTGATAGAACTGTCATATTTAGCACAGCATAAGACTTGACTGACTTTGCAGTTTAGATAAACTGTAGTAACAGTATATGTAAAAGAGACACATACAGCCATTGAACACCAGCCTGGACTCTTGCTGACACAGATCGTGCCAATGCACATGGAAAATGTGGGACTTTGGATGTGTATACATACACTCTCCCAAAAGCTAAATCCCACTCACCCATGTTACTGACTGTATAAGCTCGATTCGCTTGAACTGGAAGCATCCATGAGACGACTGTTGATGGTTCAACAGATTGAAGGCACATTGCTTTATTGAACAGCTGTGGGTTAAACTTTCCACTGAACACCAGCTCCAGATCAAAATTTTTCTTCACTGACCCTTTAAAGAATATTTCCCAGGGGCTTATGGTCATGCTTTTGGGTATATACCGTTACACCTCATGTACCTGATGGCCGCAGTAAAGCTCTGTTTTCTTTTGCTGGTGATCCTTGTGCACCTCAGCTCAATAAAATCTGAGTGTGCGGTCTCATTTCAATTATACTCTTGATGATATAACTGAACATCAACTGTAGTATCCATTACATTTTTTTTTTTTTTGCCCAATGCGACCTATCAAAGTGTGGTGTAACCGTTAAAGGAGATATTACATAACTGGATCTCTCCATGGTAACCAGCCACTGAACTCATTTGTGCTATAATGCTGGGAAAGAACAGCCCCTATAGGGAACTGTGACAATGAGTGGAACAATGAAAGGGGTCAGCTGTACTTTTCCTCTGGTGCTTTCTGCTTTGGAAACACTGGTTTTAAGACGGTTCATGGTTTGAACACACGATAATCCACATTGTTATCTTCTTCAGTTTTGTTGTTAAAATATAACTTTTAGGGTTAAAAAGTCAAAGAGTGCAACGGGTGGAGAGGAAGAGGAGGGATTGAACAGTTAAGATGGATCTGGGAAGTTCAGGAGAAAAGGGGAAAGCTTGGCTTGAACAGGGAGGAGGGAAAAGGTGGAAAGGCATCAAAGGAGAACTGGTGCCAAGCTAAAACTCTTCAGTGGAAGTCTAGTTGGGAAATTGTTGGTGTAATAAATGATCTGTTTTGAACATGTAGTAAACATCTACCCATGTGCTTTTGGGTACATACCGTACCCACTGTACACCCCCCCATACGGGTGTCTGCATACTGCAATCAAACTGATGAGGAGACCACCAAACCAAACCATTGTTCTCCATGTTTATTACCCCTTCAGTCTTGTTTTACCTTGAGAGATTTAGACAGTCCGGACTCTGGTTGTTGGTCACTAGACTTTGTTAGTCTGTGGTGTGCTGTGTTGGCCGTGTTATGTCTCTACACAAACACTAAAAGAAAAAAAAAAAACGAATTGTAAAATCCATAGACTGTATATAGAATAGATGCTGTCTGCCTCCTTGCTGGGTAAAGCCACCCCGAGAACAGCACCCTCTGGTGACTCTCCCCTCTCAAACAGTAATGCGGCTTCTGTGCACCCTCTTCCCACCATAGCCAGTTCCTTGGCTCTCCAAAGAGCCCTTAACCAATTCAAAACCATAGACTGTATAAAATGGATGCTGTCTGCCTCCTTGCTGGGTGAAGCCACTCCACGAACAGCACACTCTGGCGACGGGCTGCAGTATAGGTCATAAATCCCGGCTCCTCCAGCAATCCCTGTAGAGCTGTGGACAAACTTTAGAAATTAATTACACAGACTATAAAATGTTCTCCCCCCTGCCTGGGATGTTGACATGCAGTTACTGTGAGACTGGTTTGTGCTCAAATCCCCTTTTTTCTGTGCAGCTCCGTTTTTAAAAGTTATTAGCGGGTTCATGGTTTCTATAATTGACAGTTGATACAGCCTATGGGCGTATGAAGATTGAGTAACTCACCCAGGGGGTACGCTGTTTGAGCGGAGCGTCATCACAGCGACTCTCCCGCTGAATTCATACAATGCTACTGTGCAAGTGGTGGTTCCAGGAAGTGGAGAAAATGATAAAAATATTGAGAGCAATTTTGCTTCTAATTCGCATAATGACGGAAGACGGAACCAACTTGTCCATAGTATATACAGTCTATGGTTAAATCTAACATTTGCTGTCATCTGTGAGTCTCTCATATTTTCTATATTTGTTTCAATATCAGCCTTAAGTGGTGAAATCATCAATATGGGGACAATGCAATCAGGCTTATACTTCGACTAACAGTGGCCAATGAACTGAATACCTCCAATATGGCTGCAAAGTGAGATCCTAGCAGTATGGATAAAAATAATCCTTCCTTATGGAAAAGTGGTCCATCTATTTTGGGAGGCCTCATTGTTTAATATTAGCCAGGAAGCAACCCAGACACTGGTGAACTCAGTGACCTGTCTGTAACCTTGGTAGCGTGTGAACAATTCCTCACTGGACAAATAAAGACAAATGAGCGGTATGGATCAGAAGAAAGATAGGTGATTTTTTTAGGTATGGTACGATAAGATAAGTATCTATGATAAACATCTGTGTGAACCACATTTCTACCACTTCATCAGAGAAAATATTACAAATGGTGACATATTTATTCTCAACTTGCTCAGCACATATTTTTACTCCAGTGAAGTTTATTGTCGTAGTTTGAGAAGTTTGATATTAGCAATAAGCTTGCACTTATTTTCTCTGAAAATATTTTTTCTCATGCATAAACTAACAAAAAGGTAATTAAAAGACAAAAGTAGGAGCTAAATTAACAAATAGATGGATAGTTGGTGAAGTGTTGAAAACTTTCTCTGTCTCATATGTATGTTTCAGTCTAAGACTGGCCTTTTATTTCTAAGTTTAAGAAAAAAAAGTGATTTACTCTAAAAAAAAAAAAAAGTAAAATATGTGTAAGGTGCAACTTCTTTATCTGTAGTGTCAAACTAACTGTAAGGTTTCAACAGTCCTGCATCCATCACATGAGATGAACTGCTAAAATAAAAGCTGACACCGCATTTGCTGGACTGTTTGAGACTTAACTGACACAATACTTCAGGGTGATGCATTATTTTTGTGATTTTAAAAATATGACAAAAATGTGTAACTCTTCTTTGTTGGTTACTCATGCATGTTTGAAACACATTGCAAAGCTTTTAACTGCATTTCAGTTGCAAAGTTGAACAAAATAAATTTTTGTGTTCTCCATATGTTCTCCATATGTGTTCCCTAACTGTTCTAGTGCTCTCTTCAATTGTGGTAGTTAAAAGTATTTGTAACATTCGATGGATTTTGTAATGTGACAAGGACTCAAATAGTCATCTGTGTATTGTTTTAACTTCTGCAAAACTGGGGCAGAGTTCTGCTAAACTACACCAGGTCATTTCACTGATTGGAGGCTGATTGACTCCACCTGATCAGAGGAACCCTAATCAATAAAATGTGTGCACCTGCAGGGATCTCCACAGCTCTTCTGCTCCAGGCAGACCAAAGGTTCAATCAGTAGGAGACAGAAAGAAGAAACTGCTGTCAAAGACACATAACATAGTCATGGCTATGGCAGCTGTGAGCTTGGAAAGTTGGCCGTCCAATAAGCACATGGGGGTTTGTCATCGCTGTGCTGGAGGACAAAAGGGTCATAAACATGCTTTTCTGAGAGAACGCGTCCTAATTAAAATAAAAGCATCAAGACTGTTACTGCAGAAGCAAGAAAAGAGAATAAAAAGTGGACTATATTGTGTGAGTGCTTTCTCCTGGAGTGCTGAAAAATTGTGCAGGCTGTGTGGTCTCTGACCAAGCCTCATTTAAACGTGTATCTGCTTTTTATTTAAGTGTCTTTCAACAGTAAATGCTTTGCCATTGTCCTTGTATGCTATTTAACAGCAATAAAAGTGGATTTTCTAACATTACCAGGATTTTGTGAAGTTTGTGAAGGACAACACTAAGTGAAATAACTTGTGACAAACACAATTGCTAACTTAGTAAATAAGCCACAATTTTGACCTCAACCTTGAACTGAACTAAACCAAAAGCATGCTCTGTGTAACACTGAATTAACAACATACAGACTGCACACCTGCAACAAGGCTGTTTGGGTTTTTAAGGCTCTTGCTCTGCCAGAAAAAAAGGCATCAACTAAGGAAATCAATTCATCATTGTATGGCTTTGAATGTCTCATTCAAATATTGGAAGATTTGTGATTTTAAGTGTAATAGGACGTGGGGTTGCATAGAAGGCTTCCATATGGATACAGTATGTATCAGTGCAAACGTTCTGGTATTTACATTAGGGTGCATTTTCGTGACTAGAGATTTACAGACCTAGTACATTACACAGCTCCTGGATCTGGCCATGCATGTGATTGGGGGGTAATTGGGCTTTAACATCTGTGGAAATGTGGAGTAACAATGACTGCTTGTTGCCCAGGCAAACAGACCATCTCATAAAAACCGAACCTGCAACTGAACCCACAAAAGGAATTCACACCCTGATGATTACAGCAATGGCCAATAACACAAAAAAGAAGAAAAAAAGAGTGCTGGAGAAATGTAGGTATATAATTTGTTCACATGGCAATGCACAGATAAACTTATTTAAAATCTCAGAATGCCATGGTCACTGTCTTAAAACTGGGCCTAAACCCGGAGCTTGGGCTCAGTCTTACTTAGTTTGGAGGTGCATGTCTGGGTTTGAAATCGGGCCCAGTTTCAGCCTGATACCTCTGCAGTCTAATGCCATACATGACAACAACTCTATCACAAATAATACAAAGCTTCAACAATGTCAGCTTCTGTTATTGTCAGAAGTGAAAACTGATTTTAACATTCTCCTAGCATCCTTGTTTTCAAACTGTTAATTCACCTTACCAATTCAGCATCTGCAGCTGACAATCAGATCTAAAGCCGTGTTCAGACCAAACGTGACTTGAAGCGACCTAGTCGCATTGGTCGCCATATTCGCGTCGCACCCTGGTGTGTTCACACCGGGTCCAAAGCTGCAGTCGCGGAGGTCGCAGGATGCGGCTGGTCGCCAATGACGTCACTAGCTCAGTTTTTAGTGCAACAAGTGTTCAAGATGGCTGACGTTGTCCTCTGTGCTGCCGCGTATCTTTACATCCGCCGCAGACGCCGCCAGCGTGTTTGGGTGCATGAAACCATCCAGAGGAGGACGAAGCTGGAGGAATTTTACCCCTTGCTCAAGGAACTCCGCCTAGACGATGGGCGCTTCCAGCGGTATCTCCGTGTATCGTCGGTGCAGTTCGAGGACCTCCTCGCCCGGGTGGGAGGCAGCATCTGGCGTCCTGCGATCTTGGGCAACGCGACTTTGGCGAACATGTGCAAACTAATCGCGTAGGTCACTCAAGTCGCGTTGCCGGCAGCCGGCGGTTGCCTCTTCGCGTCAGGTCGCCGCTTTACATGTACTTTGCATTGGAAGTGGTCGCTCTAGTCGCTGAGGTCGCGCTTGGTTTGAATGCGACTTAAGGCTACGTTCACATTGCAGGTTATGATGCATCTAATGTAAATGGAATGCGTCCGTGAAGTGACCCGCATGCACATAAAGCACAAATTGCTTTCTGCGCCTGTTTGTGTTGTCGAACAATGGTGACGTTTATCGCATATTGATGACGTATAGGTGGGATGAACGCACCTGAGCGTCCACACTGCAGTCACATCGGATAAATATCCGATTTATATTCACACACAAAAGAGGCCTGGGTCGGATTTGAAAAAATCAGAATTGCACTGTTCACACTTACGTGAAAAAATCAGATATGTGTCACATATGGTTAAAAAATCAGAATTGACCTGCAGTGTGAACATAGCCTTAGAGTGTGAGCAAACAAGCGTCATTCTTGTTGTAAACAATTCACTAATACCATGTGTTCAATCTCCACCATTGACGTGTGTACAAACGTTCGCCTAGCCTGGGTGGAAAGACTGATAACCAGAGTATGAAGTGGGTCAAGAAACAAAATTATACATGTTATCAAAATTTATAAAGATTTCATGTAAGGGAAAGTGGACACCAGCATAGAGACAAGATCCAATAGAGTAAATCTATAACTTTCATTATAAATAATAATTATACTGATTTCTAAATCTTAATTGATTTATTATTTCCATAATTTTGTATATATATTTTTTCCCCTGATGTGCTCTTGTTTTTTCCCTCTATTTTTCTCACGCTTGTGTGTGCATGTGTTTCTCGTGGACCTGATTGTTGTCCATCCCTTCATCTGCTCCTGATTACCTGATTGGCCACACCTGCAATCCATCAATTTCAGCTGCTGCAACATTTGAAACCTGCCTTTCTGCTGCAGCTTAGATCATGAACTCAAACGCACCGAGAGCCTTGCTCAAACCATTTCGCTTGAGAGCCTTGTGACTTGTTTCTGTGTGGTAACACTTTGTAAGACATCAAACACAGGAAGATCTGAGACAATCAAGAGTTCATCCCATTTTCCCCTTCCTAGTGCTGTAATAGTAAAGGTAAAGCCCAGATATTTTTAAGACTTAAATATTTCCCCACTTCGAACCTTTGGTTTAAGAATTCACCCCTCCCCCATGTTGTAATCATACCCCCATAACCTTCTCAAAAAAATTGACATGTGCTGTCTTCAGATTTTCTCCTTTTCATCAATAAAGGAACATATCACATGCTTTTGTGCTGACTCTACAGACACTCTGGTAGGACATTAATGAGGAATGAAATCCTTCAACAACCGCAGCCAACGGTCTCCAGCTGGCAGCCACAAGTAGAAAACTATACCACAATCCACAACTCTGTAAAATGTTTTATATACATAGACAAACGCTTGTGTCCAACCACAAAGGCATTTAAAACACAACATGTGCGCACAATTACTTCTGACCGAGTCACAGGCTACAGACACAAACACACCCACCAGTGAAACTTTGAGTTTTGGTTGTTTTTTCATGTGCCTTGTGCACGAAGTACAAACTTTACTTCAACTAAGAATCTGGATACGGAAGATTAAACACTTGAGTTATACAGCCCAAAACCACCGAGCAGCGTGAACCCATCAGAGGTGGTTTACATCCAGTAATGTAAACTGACTTTGATGGATTACATTGAAGCTGCCTCAGAGGCTGATTGCAGTGCTGTTATGGTTCAGAGGGGATTTCCTGTTGATAATCTTGAGGCTTTTGATATTTTTTTAAATATGAACAAGGAAATTTTCTTTAAGTTTGTATTTTCTGAAATTATCAGAATATTACCTCCTATCGTTAACAAAATCATGTATATACTAAGTTTTTAGAGTACGAAAATATTTCACAATGTTTATTAATTCAGACAACACTTGGTTAGGGCTCTTTTATCACAAATTAGTGCACCAACACAGCAGGATACTGTGGATATGCACGGCAGAAAACTGTCCATACGACCATTTTCATGCATGGATCGACATCCCTCAATTTGGATGATAGGGTCAAATCTCCCGACAGGTTTCACACCGTGTTCGCAAGTTTGAGCAAGTGCAGATTTGTGGTGCAGCAAATGTCTGTCTCATAATAATTATCAAACAAATCTGTCATTAATTACAGATTAAGAAGTATATGAATAAAATAAATTGTCTGTCTGCATACAAAAATAGGCTACATCAACAAACAAAAAACTAGTTAGAAAACAGAAATAATTACCTGAAACACAAGCCAAATAAAAAATACACTCAAAAAATGTAATTTTTTATTATTTATTTCAAGTTCAATAGCCTACAATTCCATCGTTTTTGGCATTTTTGATGGGTGGGTCACATCCATTTGTGGTAAGCACTATGGTTGGTCAGCTGTTCACCCACGCCACTATTTAAACAGGAGCTTTGACAATACCCAAATCCTCATAATGGCAGGCTGGCTTATATGAGAGGAATACATGCAGGTGAGACGTGAGCGAGTCTTCAGGGACCACAGAGATATCCTCATGAAGTGATGAGTGGCTCATCTGTTGCTTTCGGCTTCCAAAGGCTGTTTTGCCTTTCTGTGGTCAATTTCCTGCTAATTTGGATATAATTCAGTGGCCATTGAGCCTCTATTATAAGTGAAAAATCAACGTGATTTTACAGTTTCGGGTTTTGCAGGTTTACTCGTGTTTAATAAAGTAAACTATGTTCCTTTTATGCTGTGCTGTTACCCTCAGACAGAGTTAGCAGTTAAAAGTCCTGTTAGGGTCCACATGGATCAGGGATTGACCATCGGATTGTTCTGTGTTACTGGTAAATCCAGAACCAGGAAGTATTTCTCATCTACATAAACTGTTACACAGTTGGGAGTCCGCATATGTTGTTTTATTTTGAAATACTGATGACATGCATGGTTTTCATGCTTGACATCCTGTCTACAATGATCTTCTCTGTGGAGATCAACGTGTATTGGATGGGTAAAGCAGCAAAAATAGACTTATCACATATCTTTAGCAGTGCTGCGCTCAATTGTCCTGATATGGAGCTTATACGCGTCATGTATACAATGCTGCATTGATTAGAATGTCAACGTATTTGCTGCATGATACGTCACATGCTCAATACGGATCTTGTATGTTTTAACCTTAAGGAGGGAAACCAGATGAAACATTGGACTTGGCTGTGTTAACCCTCTCCTCACCTTTAAATTCATCCCTGTTGTGGTGTAATGTTATTTTGATGAATAACTCAAATGGCTGAAGACACCAACGATAGACAGTGAAACTTCCCCCAGGGGGAGACTGATGTTCTGCTCTGGGAGGTCCAGGCTCACAGTTGCTGGATCTATGGTCAAAGGCTTTCCCTGCTGATATGGCACATGCAGTTCGGCCTCTCTCTGTCTTAGGTCCAGTAATCTGTCTCAGTGAGGTCAAAGTGGCATCCATGACGTATAGCTATGTTGTCTAAAACACAACATGCCACAAAGAA